CCCCCCCCCCCCCTGGAATTGTACAGTGATGCATTTATACATAAAGAATGCAGAATGTGCTGTAAAGCATTTCAGCAGATATATTCAAGTCATGTTCTACCAATGAAACTTTCATTAAGTGCCAATGATTCAATCTTTATGATGATTTATTGTATTTATATAATTTCAAAAACGTGTCAGCTCATAAAGTCCAATGTCCTGATGGTGTCATGCATGACAACAAAATGAGCATCACCATTGTCTGAGTTCCTCCTGTGTGTGGCTCGTGTTGTCTTACCCGCGGGTTTCTCCAGCGGCTGCTGTGGCGACTTTTAATGCACGACAAGTCTCGGGCGAGGCCGAACTCTGCCACTTTCACCTCCCAAGGAAACTTATTGACCATGATGTTCCTCAGAGCCAAGTCACAGTGCACAATCTACAGGGAAGACCACAGAGGACATGTGTTTTGCTTTGGTGGACAAATCTTAAGAGATTAAAACCTTACTCATCACTCAAGTCTGTGGTCGTCACCATTTTGGAGCGCAAGTGGTGCATAGCTAGAGCGATGTGGTAAGAGGCGATGGTGAGGAGGCTCTGCAGCTCAGGATCTGCACTCAGGTGCTCTCTGTTGCTCTGCAGGAAGGTCCTCAGAGTGCCATAGCTCACGTACTCCATGATCAGAATGTAAGGCTCTGCACAAAGCAGCAGACACAGTCAAACACACTGGTGGATGTAATAACAACAGTCTGTGTGTACGTGACTCTCACCCTCAGTGGTGCTCCAGTCCAGTAACTGCAGGATGTTCTTGTGATGCATCAGTTTCCTCATGATGGAAACTTCCACGTCCAAATGTTTAGGACGGACACCTGAAATGTTGTGGGGGAGGAATAATATCAAAGAGTGGAGTGAGTGGTCGCTCCCTACGACCGATCTCTCAAATGTCAAAGGTCGAATGACTCTTCAGAAGAAATGCGTTTGAAAAAAAGCACATTATTGGTGGGGATTACAGGAAGTGGCTTTTGAGCAGACTGTGGTTCAGTAAACCAATAAACAACATGTGTCTGACTCATGTGCAGTTACAGTCATGATGAAAATAAAATGTTTGTATTTTTTAGTTTTGTGAAAACCAGATAATCTCAGAAACTGCCCAAAAAGAAATGCCCGTGTTTCCAACCTTCCTTGCTGATCTTGCACGTGAACATATTGTGGCCTTTACACGTCCCTCTGGTCATCCTGGCCTGGTAGAAGGCGCCCTCCTTTCCCGCTTTGATCAGCTGCAGCAGGTTCAGATCTGACTTAGTGAAGCGAGGAGCCTTCAATGAATCACAAGAGACATTCAGCAGTGACACTGACATCCAGCAACAAACCAACACCACCCAGGTCATAATCACACTCATTGTCCTCATTGGCTCCATCTCGAGCTGCGGTGTTGCTAGGCTACACACAAAAGCATTAGCTGACAGATCTGCGGAGACGATGTGATGCAGTCATGTCAACATGGAGTTCAGTGAGAGTGTATAACGACACTCAGCAGGTGAGGCATCCTGTGTGTGTCCACAGGTGACCGGTGGCAGAAATCAATTAAAAACAGATCGAATATCTGACCAGAAGAAAATATTGAATCTATAATATATCTGAGTCGTGCGATGGCGTGGAGAAGTTGGAAGAGCAGTGGTACCTGCTGCAGGCCTCTCCACAGCCTCCTGGATGAGCACCTGAAGGTGCTTCTTTGCTGCAGGGGAGTCCTGAGAGGAAGCTCCTTGTGCTCCTCCTCCGCTGCCGTGGCCTCCCTCACAGGCATGATGGGAGCCTCTTGCCAAGGTACAGGGCGCAGCACGAACTTGCTCGCCTCCAGCTCTCGAACGGTACGAACCAAAGAGCGATATCTAAAAGGGAATGTGGTGTATATTGTCAAACACACAGCACTGTACACTGAACCTCCCTCTCCTGTGTCAAGATGAAGGTTCTTCACGTCTTTATTTCATCTTGTTTAATTGTATTCAGGGTTAAACCGAGAAGCGCTGCTCAGCTTGGAACAAAGACATGATCACAACAGCCCTGTTCTTGTCTGCACTTCACTGGTTACTCGAGAACGCCATGGCTCAGCAAAGCCTCAGATCCTCGACCTGCTGGTGGTTCCAGCTTCAGAGATAAAGCTTCTTCAGTCAGGGCTCTTCAGCTCAGACTCTCGCTGCCCGAGGATCAGGGACATCGTTTCAACCAACTCATGGGTATGTATCATCTGGGAACCACAATCTTTACAGTAAATCTTCCACCAGTGGAGTATTTCCGTTCAGTGGAACCAACCATGTTGTCAGCTCAGTGTGAAAACTGGACCACACTCAAACTGAGCCGAGACACAACACTGACGCTCATGTTGCAGGAAAATAAGGATTTTGAAGAAAAACTGTTTCATTAGACGACAACACGGAAAGTGAATAGAGTAGATCCTCATGAGTGTGACGTTATCTGGTTACTCAAAATGTAAAAGCAGCACAACAGTGTTATACGTTTAAAGAAGCACCTTTTACCACCAAGGGTGCTTCTTTAAACCTGAGTGTGATGCATCTCTGGTCTGACACCAGCAGGCTGTCGGTAGAAGTAGGTTACCCTGTGGTGAGTTTCTGCAGAAACACATGGTGGAGGCCAGCTCGACAGAAACAGGAAAACCACACCAGGAACTAACAACATTAACATTAACATGAACAGTAGCTGAATTGCATTTGTATTTCCTCCTGCACTGCGCCTGCTGACACTTAAATGGAATAGAGACACAAGTAAAGCAGTAACACATGTACTGTCACCTGCTTTCACAAGGTTTTCTTTACTCTTGTATAAACTCAGTTTTCAGTTTGCATAGAATTACATGAAACCCAGGATGCAGGATGTTCTATGACATAAGATCTACTCATACAGGTAATTACAAATCTACAGTAGCTGCACTTGTTGATTTAGTCTTGAATGTTTCAGCTGAAAAATAATCCAGCCTGAGTGCAACTGTACAACAGATAAAAACACATTCAACGACACCGACACCAGTAAATCCCTCGTGCGATCATTTGGACCTCTCTTACTTTCTGAGACACAGGACGCCCAGCAGTGTGAACGTGAGGAGGGTGAAGCAGAGGACCCCAGTGAGGATGTGGACATCATTCTTGTGGAGGACACCTGAAACAACGGGACACAAACACTCAGCTCCAATGTGCTCTCACAGTGTGTCCGTGAACTCAGCCGAAGGAAAATGTTACCTCCAGAGTCTGAGGCCCCATTTGAGCTTTGATTTCCATTGGTGTTATTATCATCCATCATATGCTCTGCTTACTGAAGGGGACTTGGTCTCACACACGAGGAGTCAGACTGGAAGACGGTGATCGTTGTATTCAAACACCATCAGTGATCCAAAGAAATGCTGAGCAGAAAGAAAGCTCCTAAAATGTAATACTCAGAAACATAGGACTTTCTTTATGAACGGAGCAATGGCCCCAAACAATATCACGCAGAGGAGACACATTAAGCTGAGACATTTACATGAAATGTTCATTTACAATATAAAAGCGTCTCACCTGCGGTTACCTGAACACCAGCTCATCCTTCAGCTGACTGGAATGCTGATCAGAATCAAGCAGTTGAAGCAGTCCGTCCGGGTCTGTCCTGTTCATTGCGCTCGAGAATTCAACATGGTCTTGTGCTAACCCTAAACATGTCTGTATAGGAGATGTCACCGCACGTGAACCACCAGAAGCAGAGGAAATGCACTGTGACAGCAGGCGGAAGAGAACATGCATGACACTGTATCACATTCCACCAGTGACTTAACTAGAGTCGTATGAACAATCACAGAACAACAGTCAGTGAGTGGATTATCAGGCGTGAAGGTCTCAGATTAGACAAAATGTAAAACACGATGAATCAAGTTTAACTGGGTTTGTTAGATTCAGATCACATAAACAGGTTTGACATATTTTTTCAACCAGAAATGATTAGAATAGTTGATCTACTTACTTTTATGATTGGCACGACTGACTCTGGGTTTGAACCAGGGCCTTTCTGTGGGTTTGCTCCACATACCTCATCATGTCATTATTATCATCACAACAACCTGTTCTTTGTTCAAAATCCTTATTTTCCTCCAAAATGAGCTCCTTGGTGGAATCTAATTTTATCTCTAGCGCCATAATATATATATATATATATATACGTATATAGATCTGAAGTCTGATTAGCTAAATGTCTTGTCTCACTTATTTCTCCTGGTGAATTTCAGGTGAAAATGATGATAAACATATGAGACAAAATTAAAAACTACCATGAATCAGACTTGAGTCTTCTGAGCTGCTGAGAACAGTATAGAGAACTGCAGAACAGAGCGGTAAGATGTTCCTGTGGTCGAGCTTGTTGCTCGCAGGACAACGTGCTAATGAGATGGTGAGGAATAGATAAGCGGTGGTAAAGAAAAGCCCTGTCACACGGCGTGTAGGAAAGAGATATGTACTGAATGAGTTCACTCGGGGGAAGATGCTGCCGAGACCCTGAGTGTGGTTTCCTCTCTCTCATCTGCAAACCGCACCAACTAGTTCCACTGAGAGATGAACTCAAATCATGGTCACTGTGACAGCGCCAGACAAATGAAAACATCCCAGTCTGCCGTCATTGCTTGCTCTGCAGAATTTAATTTGTTTGTTGGATATTTTGTTACAGATCAACAGTATCACTCCATATACAACTACAAGTACAGTATTTTGTACAGTTCATATTCAAATACATAAATTTCATTGGCTTATTTACAAAACACATTTCTATGTACATGTTTTTTCATGTCAGTGCAATGTCACTTTCTTTCAACAAACACCTTAAAAAAATTTCTTTAAATTAACACATCTGGTTCAGATCCGACAGAAATGAACTTAAATAAAGAGGCTACAGACACTGACAGACAGCTCAGTAGTAGATTGCACTGTCTGCGACCCTGAACCTTTCTGGAGGTGGGTGGGGCAGGGCTTCTAGAGAGGGGAGGGGTTTCAGATTTTAGCCTCGTGTTTTACAGGATCAGCGTTCGCCCAGGTTCAGCTTCAGAGCTCAGTTCTGTTGGGCAGAAAAAAAAATCTTTGTTCCTGGATTATAAAAGTTGTGCTGAAATTACCCTCAACTCTAAACATTGTGTTTTTGCTAATACAGTTGAAGCCACAGGTGGAGTTAGCATAGCATCACACAAGTAGTCGTTCGAGGGCCAAAGGGGAGTAAAATCAGTTGACAGCTATTGCACCATTAAACGAAGCAGGCATTTCAAATTGGTACTAAAGACACAGATCCTTAGCAGAACGTTTCCCTTTGAGCCATGTGATGACAAACACGGACACAAACTGGACATGGGCTACAGCTCGGTGCGAGGGATGGAGGAAAAAAAGAGCTCATTCAGAGAGAGAGCCCTCGTATGTACACTTCCATTTGTTCAATAAACATACTCTGCAAAGGAAGAGAACAGTGACAGAGATCTCTCCACACACAGACGTCCATAATGACACCACCTTCTCATAAATACAGCAGCTAAAAGGGGCGAACACACAGATTCATCTCGTGTGATCTAGAAGACAAAGTGGGGAATCGTCTGCGGTCTGTTCACAGTGATTAGAGTCCCACGCAGCAGGAGCTGCACACACACACGGCGGACACATCTCTGCTGCTGGACTCTGCAGAGCAACACATGCGTTTGTCCATTACAAACTAACCAGTCACATCAAACCTTCAGATAAGAAGAGCAACGGAGTTTAGAATTTACATTAAACGGGTATTTAGATTCAGCACAAAGAAAACAAAGATATATATTATCTAAATGTTGGGTCCAGTGATGAGCGAGAAGCCTTTACACATGTAGCTACTGTCCAGACGCACGTCCTCAACAGATTCAACAGGCTTTGGTTAGTTTTAAGTATAAATAAACAGCCAACTTAAATTATCAGCCCATCTGAAATGTTGTTATTGTTTCCTTTACTGGGTTTTTCCATTGAAAGAAAATTAAATTAAATAATTCATATTTTGTAAACATTCACCATACAAACTTGAAATGTGTACTTCCCTACTTTATTCTGGGTGCATGGGGCCAGATTAACCCATGTACAAAAACAGGAATAAAGTTAGTTTGTGATAAATTAATAAAAGATAGATTAAACAAAATTAATGTTTAGAAATACAATTATAATGACAAGTGAAATACTGAAGGTATTAAAACTAGATTTTGACATTTATCATTTAAGTTCATATCTAAGATAGTATCAACTAAATTTGCAGTTGCTTTAAATTTGTTTTGGGGCCGTGAGAGTCTGAGAAGTGGAGCTGGCCCCTCTCCCCAGTTAGTAATCCAGTGTTACTGAAGCTTCCACAGATATTAACCGGGTCAACCTTTCACCCGACTGCAGTGATGTACAGGTTTACTCGAGTGTGGTTGGAGGTGCAGGTAATTGAAACACAGCCGTCAGTGACACCAGGAACACTACAGCTGCTACTGAACCATCTGCTCCTCAGGCGATATGGTGGGTATACCTTTAACTTCAATTGTAGGGAGCAGTCTTGTCATTCCTTCTTTACATACAGTCATTGAGCTGAAGAATTTGATTTTGAAAATCTTGGGAGTGAATTTAGAAAGAAGTGAGCTTGACAGACTCTGTAGCCTGCTCCTCATGTCTCCTGGAGACTTCAGGTTCGAGGACACTAGCAGATAATTTAAGTTAAATTAAATTTAACAGTATTTAATATAACTGTGAGTGTGTGGAGAAAAAAAAAGACAACATCTTTGGTTCTGCTGCACAGATTTGGATTCCTGTTTGTTAAGCTGATTACAGTAAGTTCAGGGGGTGCTAGAGCAGTGCGATGCTAAATCGGTGCAGTCTTTAAAATTACTCTTTAAGTAACAATGTTAAAATGAGAACTTTTGATCACGACTTTTTCTCCTTTCTTACGCGGGAGGGTGCGAACTTTAGTGTCACGGACGGGTTTGAATCTCACCTGCAGTGGGTGAAAGGTACATGTTGAGACAGAGCTGTGAAGGTGTAAGTGTGGCTTTGAGATAAATATCATCCCTGGGCCTGAAGGGGCTCCTGAGGCCTGTTTTAAAACAACAAATCTATAAATAAAAAAACAATGCATGAGCAGTATAAAAAGAACCAAAATATGAAACATATGTTGTGTATTAATTATTATTATATATCAAGTCTCTTCTGAAATCATGGCACCTGTCCTAAGCAAATCAAAGATTCCTGCTCAAGCTTTTTTTTTTTTTTTTAGAGATTCTCAGCGAAGTTGTGGACACAGATCAACATTGCACAAATCACCACTGATATATGGCAGCTGCAGGATGAAGCAGTTCTGGCAAAAGCGCCTAATTTCATGTGGTCATCAGGATGTGTGTGATTGTGCCCAGAAGGGGGGGGGGGCGGTATTTTGGGTGGGGGTGAAATGTTTGTACCATGTCTCCTACAGGAAGGACGCATTTTTATATTATTAATACTGTCAGACTTTTAGGGTACAGTTGGCTGAGCGGCCGCAAGAAGCAATGAGGTAGCGTATGACTTAAATCTTTCTTAGTGACGCAATCACCACGAGAACCGCTGTTTACCAGAGAACAAATTTCATCATCATGTTGACGTGTGGCATCAAGTGTGACATCTACGCACGGTTTGGGCTCTGCTTACACTCGGCTTTAAAAGTGTATTGAATCATTGGCTGTGCATTTACAAATAGAGAAAGCATTACGTAGTCTCACTACTTTCCTTCTGCAGGTCGGATGTCCAGGCTCAGATCACACGTTAACTCTGCATTCTGACATCACAAATGATAAATGCACAACAACAAAGCTACATCACTTCATGACTTGGCCAATACTGGCATACATTCAGAGATGTGTTAGTATGCGAGTATATGTTACATGTGTGTTATGGCGGATGTTGTTCACGTGAGGAGGAGGGGGAGGAGGGGTTGAGCAAAGTGCACCAGTTTAGTGCTTTCACCGGGGCTTCCATGTTGTCTTGGCAAACCTTGGCACTATTCCATGTTTGCGATCAAGTGTAGAAAGTGCTGCGACGCATCCATAAAGACAGAGAGCACAGTCTGACTCTGGTCGTTAGCAGTGTGTGAGAATTCTTCAGACCGATCAGAATGTCCGGTGCTTCCTGCTCGGAGCAGCAGGAGGCAGCAGAGAGCAGGCATAGTGCTGGCTGATGGAAGACGATGTGCCATCACTGGAGGACACAGTATTTCTTGTAGTCAGACTCAAAGTCTTCGTCCATGCTACTGGTGTCGGCCATCTTCTTGCCATCGATCTTTGGCAGGAACTGGGAGTAGTTTACACCTTGCTGCTCGTAGAAGAGGATGTAGGCTGAGTCGGTGTCGACTTCCTCCGAGGGCACTTCCTAAACATTTTTTTAAAATGTCACAGTTGAGTTCTGTTTGTTATGTGCTGCTATTATATATATACATATATATATATATATATATAATAACTGAGACAATTCTGTAAAACATAAAACTAAGATTTAAAATAATAGGTAATAGTATTCACTTCTGGCTCCCACGTTTATATTCAGTATATATTTGTACGCACTTATTTCATGCCCACAAATAATCAAAATGTTGGAATTGATGAAAACAAATTTAAATAGTTTACGAACCAAATTCCATGCGATTAAAAGCAATAAAATATTTACTAGTAGCATAAGTATTAGTATTACGTATGGGTGTGACATTGTACGTTCAGCCAGTTTAACCCTAAAGTAAATGTTTAAAAGGTAAACTGTGAAATACAAACTTATGAAGTGTTCAGAGTTTTTTTTTTACCTTACAGCTGCTGTCGTTGTAACAGTACCACTTCTCGTTCGGGTTTTTGGCATACGTCACATAGTGGCCTCCTCCCATGATTCCTGAATGGCACTGGGAAGATAAACCACAGTAGGATTTAGATTTGTTTTAAACAGTAAATCTATTCTAGTCATCCGGATGGCAGTGACTTACTGATATTGCATAGAGGTTGTAGATGGCTTCCAGACACATGTTGTCTCTGTGCTGAAGCAGCGAGTTGTCGGCGTCCATGTTGCTCTCACTGCTGCAGTCTGAGCTCAGCCCGTTGGTGTCACCGTTCAACAAGACCACATCACAGTGGCTGCTGGACGCCTCAGTGCTGTACATCGACTCTGATGCTTCCGCTGATCCAGGAAGGCCCATCGCCCCTGCTACTGCACTCCTCTCTGTGTCTGCCTGTGGAGCGTCCTCCCGGGGCTCAGCCTCAGAATTTGCAACTCCATCCAGGTTCTCCTTGCTGTTAGACAGGCGGTGTCTGCTGCCCAGCTGAGGCAGGCGTAGTCGGCCAGGCCTTCGCCCTCCGCCGCCGCTCTTTGGGCTACCGGAGGGGCTGCTGGACCGGCTGAGAGAAGGAGCTGACTTCCTGCTTGAGGCAGGGGAGGCTGTTGGGAGATCACAGGTGAAGGAGCTTGGTGATAAACTGCTCTGTTCAGTTATAAATGTTATTTCAGGCGCTCAATAAATCATCAGACATGCAGTGTAATGAGCAGCATGTGGTACCTTTGGGGAGGTTGCAGAAGCCAGCTGGAGCAGAGATGGAGGACAGGTTGTCTTCTCCGACCCTCAGTAGATCCTCACTTTCACTACGGGAGTGGAGGCAGTGCTGCTCCAGGTCTCTGGGAGCCAGGAAGGCACTGGGGTCAAAGTTCCCCCGCGGGAACTTGACAATCTTCTGGGACTTGATCCAGCGACCATTAACAAACTGGAAGCGCTTCAAGTGGACAATCTGATGAGAAGACCACACAAACAGTGTTTTCCTATTGTTAAAGCAAAGGTAATTGATAATACTGATGACCACAAAGAGCTCTACATTAAACCACAGCAGTTAGACAAGAGCTCAGGTCAGACAGAGTCTTATAAGTGTGACACTAACCAGAATGGGTGGCAGCCTCCAGAGGTCTAGTTTTTTCGTGGCTAGCCGATGGGTCTTGCACTTGGAACAGTAATAGAGCTCATCCTCTCCCAGCTCCTCTTCACTGGTGAAGGCCTTCAGACAGCTGTCCAAACTGATGGGCTCAGCCTGGGCCCGGCGGGACTGCTCCACACTGCAGTGCTCCTCCACGATCTGCACAGAGACCATGATGTGATGAGACTGCATGAGGTGAAGAACACGGTTCTCTATCATCAATACAGCGAAAGAAAAATGTGCGATCTGTTGATCTTTGAGTCCAAGTTAACGTTTCCCTCAAGGTGTTCCTGAGTAATCACAGTCTCATAGTGCAATGTTGGTAAATATCAGACTATTGGTTATGGTTGGAGTAAGTTTGCATAAAATGAATGCAAGTCTGTGATGCCCCGAACAGTGACGTATGTGCATGCGAGTCTCACTCTCTCCTGGGAGGTCTGGTAGCGGAGGTGCAGGGCAGTGGGGTCCCAGTCCACAGCTATATAAGCATTCCCGACACAGGCTCTGTCCTCTGAGCAGTCTATTGTACAGCCTCGACAGAACCTGGAAGCATAAAGGCACACACACATTACAGTACAAACATTCTCTTAGGCACGGAAATATGGAACCCATTCATTAAAAACTATCCATCTGATCAACCTCGCGCAAGGGAGCATATTAACCCTTTAATAGTGATAATGTCACCATTAACTTCCAAGACGTGCTCGAGTCAGTTGTTTCAAAATAAAAGCACCAGTGGTTCCATTTTGATTTTTTTCACTAAGAAGAGTGAAAAGTGACAAACTCCTTGTGAATTATTGATAAGAAATACCTCATCACAACATTAATAAGGGTTTTATAATGACCAATAAAGAGCCAATGTGATCCCAATATTCATGCTGACAAGGAACGTATTGAATTTCTTATCTGATTTGAAAAACACCTCCCCAGTACCAAATGTCTTGGAACATGTCTGTATGAAAGAAATCTTACCTGTACCAGGGACACCATGCACACGAGTTACCATCCTTACCCACGACCCGTAAAGTGAAGGGGTACTGGTAGCCCATGCTGTCATCACTGCAGGTTGACAGATGTGGAGGAGACAGAATAAACCATTATTTTCTTCTAGTGTCAGACTTACTGTCTGTGTGGAGCTCGTCATCTACAACTGTTTAGTACAGTGTTACAAAATTATTTCTTTGTTTTATGTATGTGATGAACCCAGAGTAAATAACAGAAATGGATGAGGCTTTAGATCAGCAACAAGCTTATGTAACACAAGATTTTCTACTCAGCATTTAGCTGCTTTGTTGTAAAATACTAAGAATGAGAAGGACAGGGATTTATTTTCTCGTGACTGAAGACAAGGTGGAGTTGTTGACATTAAGTGTTAGCGACTCTGCCACTGTTTCCTAAAGTCTCCTAAACTTGTGTCTGCATCTCAGGATCTGGTGTCTCAGACGAATGTTTAAAGAAATGTTTCAAAGACTGGAAACAAGGGAAACTGATGTTCATGTTCAGAATACATAAACAAAAGAGGGGAGGAAAGTGTCAGCCTACCAGTCCTGGGCATGGTTACTAGCTTCCTGTGGCGGCAGTGGGCTGGCCAGCCGGGAGACTTGGATCCAGACGGCGTCATACAGGTCTTTCTTACTGGTGTGGACAGTACAGGGAACTATGAGGGGCATGCCGAACAAACTGGGCCGATTCTTCTGAGATGACAGGAAGTACAGCTCTGTGCGCATCTGAAAGTGGACACAGTCACATGTAAGTAAAGTGTAAGATCTGGAACTCAGCCATGTCAGTTTTCTTATCATTGACTGGGACACTGTGGTAAAGCAGCTGTTACATAATGTAATGAAAACTATTTTTGTAGCCTGAGTAATTATCAGTAATAGATTATACATTTAAAATCTCCCATCCACTCATCCATACAATTATACATCCCTTGTTTAAACATACTGTACAGTTCTCACCATCTTCCTGTGCATGGCGATGATGTATCCAATGAACGGGCTTTCCTGCACCGGTGTGATGTGTCCGTTGGCGACTCCACCGGCCAGGGGCGTGTCAGGGCTGCAGGGCACCATAGTGTTGGGCCCACCGTTAGGGATGAGGACAGGCTTATTGCCCAGGTGCCCATTAGCAGCGGAGCCATTGACAACTGGGGTGATGTCTGATGACGTGGAGAAGAGAGAGTCAGAAAGAAACTCTCAGACAGAGACATGGTTAATACAAACACAGAGCGGGAGTGGTCCAGCTCACCTGTCAGTGTGGGTGAGCTCAGGGACGTTGGTGAACCAGGCACCGGGATCTCAAACGCACACAGGAAGCCGTTTACTGACAGACGCACCTTCTGGTTGTCCTGAGGGAAGTTCTACACACAAAGCATTTGAACATCAGAGTGTAGTGTTCCATTGTAATTCTGTTAATAACAAAGATATAAGTACAAGCACACACGAAACCTTGTGTTTCTATCTCAGTGAGGACATTCATTGGCATAATACATCCCCCGGCCCCCTTCTCTAACCTTAACCATCACCTGAGGCATAACCCTGATTCTTACTCTAACCCCAAAATGCATCACTCAGCTTGATTTCAAACCAGCTGCATAGAGGAGAGTTACTCCAGAGAACGTATCATCAGCTGACAATTCCTGATGACAAGTGTTGTATTTGTGTTGATGTTGTGGTTATTCCCCCTCCATGCCTGAGGATGGTGCTGTTCACGTGTTCTGTGTGTATTCTTCTTTTCCTCCTGTCTCTTTTAGAACAGCAGATACCCTGAACAGATCATTCCTGTGTGGACTGCAGTCTGCTGTAGTGCTGGTTGTTGTTGGGTGTGGGGGAAAGGGGGGAGTCATTTGAATGCTGTGCACAAGTTTCCCCTCGGTCGGTCCTAACAAGTCCCAACGAGTCAGTTTAGGCCTAACTGAGTGCTGCGCTGGTAAAAGGGCGTCACACTTTTTACAGAATAAATGTATTGTTATCTTTTTTATTTTTTATTTTATCCCATTTTGCATTCCTATGTTAATTTATCACTTCATCAAATGCTAATGAAATTTTAATTCCCACTATTTGTTTTTGCCTGCCAATGCTGGTTCCCAGACACAAAAAAAAAAGACAGATTCACTAAACCTGCACTGTAAAAAACTTTGAGATTTGAGTGAACTTTAATTTAATTTCAAATTGTTTTGTAAAGCACCAAAGAGGAAGTCCTTGTACTCTGTGTTTCCAGCTTTGTGAGACGAGTTGCAGAGCAGTCAGTCTCAGTACCTTGATGTTGGAGGTGTGGACCTCAGCCAGAAGGATCTGCTCCGGCTTCAGACTGCACAGTTCACTCAGCTGTTTCTTCAGTCCTGTGTACTTTTCATCCATATTCAACCTCAGGCCATAGCGCACAGGTGTGGAGCCGTCCAGTTTAATGACTACAAACACAGAAGAAGGGTCAGGCGTGGTTATTACAAGAAGAAATTCAGTCTCAGAGTCTCTGTCCCCGTCCTCCAGCCTCCTCACCTGTGATCTCCAGATGCATGGAGCTGTCCATGGGCAGGGGTAAAGACAGGAAGTTGAAAGGGTCAAAGCGAGCGCTGATGTGGCCACAGGTCTTACATTTCACCTGGGACTTGAGCTGACCGTGGAACAGATCCACCACGATGGAACGGTTCCTGCGCAGGTGGTTCTCCCACGCCTGCAGGTATGGACACACACACAAACACACATATAAACACAGTGGGTTGTAAGGATCAAACACCACTAATCCTGAAAATCCCTCCCCTCAGGACAACCAGAAACAAACAGAACATCAATACAGCTCCATTACCAATTTAAGGGAAAGCTCAGCTGATGGACTGACTCGTATCGATTCCTCTGTGCTCTCCTCATCCGTTGACTTTCAGAACGGACACCAGAGGATGTTACCGCAAAATATCTCAGAGAGGGAGGCTTAACTCATCATCCATCCTACAACTGACTTCATCAACATTTTGCTGTGCTGTTATATTAAAGTCTAATGAGACTTTGTCACTTTTAAAGTTATGATATGTAAATAAACTATAATACTGCAAAAGTAACCCCTCTATTGTTTAACTCATTCAGCACTTCAGATTGAATCTGTGTACTTTGATGTATTTTAAGCTGCAGTTCCTGTATCTCCCAAAACAGACAAAAAAAGCATTAAAAAACACAAACATATTCATTTGTTCTTCCCTTGATGGAGATAATGGACGACAGCAAATAATAATTCAAGTTATTCAAGTTTATCAGAAGTCTGAACACTGACCTTCACAGCAAAGTCTGAAATACACTCAGATTGTATGCGTGCGGAGACGAGACCATAATGATCAATCATTTTTGTCTTTGAACTGTGAAACACAGGCCTTATGTTTCTTGAAACTGATGAAATTACACACTGTCCAATCCGTTGTGATTCTTTGCAGCATTAGTTTGGAACGTGAAAGGCAGAAATAGGACTTCAAAAAGGACACAGTGCTGAGAATCTGTTAATTATTGAATTGGAATTGAATTTCTTTACTTCCCTTTCTTTGTTTATTTCTTACTGCTTACTCTTTCTTTCTATTATTATCTTCTTTCTTTTTTCTATCATTATCCTATTTCTGTCTTTCTATTATTACCCTCTTTCTTTCTTTCTATTATAACTCTTTCTTTCTCTCTTTCTGACTATTTAGCAGCTAAATGCTTCACTATTTTAACAAGACAGTCAAACACGCTGAGTCTCAAGTTGTGGAATTATGAAGAGCATCATTTTTGAATGTTGTCTACGAGCTGCATCCTTCATGTTCCCTTTTACACCTTGAAGACCTGGACCATGATGCCAGAGCAACATATATATATAATGCTTATTCCATTTGTAGATAGCTGTGTTTGACTGACCTCGGAGGCCACCTCCCAGTCAGGCCGGCCATCACTGTCCTTCAGCTCCACGTAAGGTTTCTCATGGACTCGGTTTAGATCTTCATGGAGACCATCCAGCAGGAAGGCTAGCAGCTCCTGGGAGTCCTGCTGCTGGAAGCCATTGAACCGTGGGGCATACTTTGCTATCGTCCACTGAAGAGGAAGTAATATGTGAAAATAAAGATTTCAGAGAGGATAACGAAACAGTTCAACAGGTTCAACTTCAACACAGATTGTAAACTAAAGCTTTGCAGGGCAGACTGTTAGATAAGAGACAAGACTGATGAAAGTGCTCACTCTGAGTTTGAGGGGAGCCACATTCTTCTGTGTGCCGCTCCACAGCTCCATCACCAGGTCGCCGTAACACTTGGCCATGTGACCTCGCATCCCAATGGGATTGGTTCTGTGAACGCATTAACACAGGTCTGTTAAAATGAAAGGTTCTGAACAAGGTGGCAAGGTGAATACAAAAGTGATGCACTTAAGTGGCACCTATTGAGCTCGTAGAGGTGTCTCCCTGAGATGAAGTAGTCTGTGAGTGGCTTGGTGTTGCTCACACACTGGATACTGGAGTTCATGAAGCAGGTGTTGCCAAGGTTACTGAGACCCGTGGCTCCTTTCTCTGTGGGAACTGCGTTGAAGAACAAGGACACACTGATCACATTTACAGAAACGGCTGAATGAGGAAAAACAATGCAAACTAACGAATTAGGGTAACAGATGTTTTGATTTGACTACCACTAATAACCCTTCCTGTTGCATATATGACACAAATTTAAAAAATAAATTAGTACAATTTTTAGTAATGTACTTTGTAAATGTGGTCATTTCTACTTTATGACAAAGAATGATTGATGAATCTAGATTTGCTGTAGATCATGTCTCTAATCTTATCGGTTACATTTCTACACTGTATGTAATCATTGTGACTTCACAATGATTTCATTAGTAATGATTTTTCTATCCATAGAAAAGTTTGGTCATGTCGATCATCCTACAGGATGCAGAGATACCTGGAACTATGCATGACATCAATATAAGCTTTAGATTATCACCGCATTTTTCTAATACTCTTCTCAGGACCTGCTTGTTTACCAATAGTGATCTGGTCATGTCCGTGTCTTCCAGCTTACCTTTGTGTCTGTCCATTTTACTACTGTTGGCAATGAAGGACATCTCCTCAGGCCAGCTCATATCTTTGTTCCTGACTGTGGCAGAAGAGTAAGAAATTCCTCTGATTAAACCACTTCACTCACAATTTCATGTGCCAGTGTTCAGAATGACCTATTATTGATGAAAGTATTTGTTCATTAGAACTCTGAAGGATTTTCGCTTTGAACAGAAAGAGGGACGTGTTTCATACCTTCTATAACTAGCTGCTGCTCATCCTGGATCTTCAGACTCTCTAGTGTGTGATCTTCATCATCCAGGAGGGTGAGGTAGTTCTGCAAAGCAATGAGAGAAACATCCTGAAACTGGGAACGAATCATCAGATATTTGTAGAACTTTTCATTTGTTACAACTAGTTGTTACATTATGAGAAAAGGGAGGGATCTGCCCTCCGAGGGACTATATGAGACAACAGTAAGCTGCTGGGTCCCTTTTAACCTGTTCTTCATACAATCTGTGCAAAATGTGAACACTTTTTCTTTGCTGAAATCATTTTTAGGGAATACTGTGCTCACATGATACATTTATTTCAAAACAAAGTTGGGTTCAGTGTGTAAGATTTAGGTGAAATAGATATATTAAGCAGATACTGAATAAGCTCTGTGGCCCACCTCACTGTTGTAGAGCCAGAGTCTCATGTCCTCCTCCTTGATGCGGAGTCTCTGGGACAGGTAGAAGTGGATGTCCTTGATGGTGGCCATACGGCTGAAGCAGCCCGTGTAGGCCAGCACCCTCTTCAGAGGAGCGTTGGGGGATGGAACATTACCTGCTGGATTGTACAAAGAAGACGGGACAGGGCCATTTGAAAGAATAACTGAACATGTAGTCTATGTTATTTCAACTATTTATATGTATTCAGTTGTCGTTTATGTGAAAACTTTCTGCATTTTAAATCACAATGCAACCGTAATCATGGTCTAATGCACGGAACACGCTTACAGATGCAAGTAATCACTGAAATAATTTACCCACGTGAACATCGATACTAACAACAGCATTCAGCTGACCGAGGATTAGTTGTAAGGAAGCAGCAAGAAAAGTTTTATCAGTCAGTGCAAACTTGATTGGTCAATCAACTTAGTGGACTAAGATTGGATTAAATCAAATACAATCAATATTAGTCCTGTTAAATCAATACAAAAGCTTTATTTAATTGATTTTTAATTAAATTAATGGTTTTAATATGAGATTTTTTTATGCTTCAGAGTGTAAATCATCACGCAGTCTTACCCATCAACACAGACTTGCCATTCAATTATACCACAACAGGAAAACATCCTCTGCTCTTTTTGAATGCTGTTCTATTTATTATTGATACTTTACCACATGTCAGGCGAGGGTCTAAATGCCCAGCAATGACAAGGAGCTGCTCAGACAGAGAGTGAGTCATGGTGGAGGACAAGGCTCCACTGGGGAATCAGGTCTGTGGCCTGAAAGCTGATATTTTAGCGTGATTTGGATCAGCGCTCTCCTGCTGAGTGCTGATGCCATCCACAATCTGATTATACTGGAGCGACTCTGCATGTCTCTGCTTAGTGCTTTGTCATCGTGTTTCTTTCTACAATTATGCATTTTACCTTCATACTTGTCCATAATATCCATTTAGACATCGAGTAAAGAGATGATAAGAATAAACCCAGGAGATTTCATTTTCAGTGTGGGAGTGAGTGGGTGTGTGTGTGTTTACAACTTACATTGTGAAGAAACACTAAATGGCTTCATTTGGTTGAGAGCAGACTACATGAAACAATGTGACAGGAAATGAATGCTTAGCAACTTTTACGCCCCCTATTCAAAAATGCTTGTTGCTTTCCTAACTACTGTGTAATACTGCAAGTCTCGAGTCCTTCTGTGATTTGTTGCCAGAATTACTGCAACTGATTATTGGTGTTCGTTTTAACTGACGATTGTTCATCATTAAACACAAAGATATAAGCAGATGGTGAAGTCCACACAGGAAAAGATGTTTAAATTACTCAGCATGTTGAAAATTAAACTACAATCACAAGTTTTATCTGTGTATGTTTGTTCCTCTGCTTCATTGCTTGTTAGCAGGATTACACAAAAAACACTATTTTTATTTTGTGGACAAGTGGGGCTTGACCAAAGGAAGAACATTGAACATTGGATATTGTGAATTCTTATCAGCAGGGCAGATTTTAAATTTCTTAAACGCTGTGAGATGGGTGTTTTTCAAAACTTTTGTTGATTTCTTAGAGAATAATTCATGGACCTTGATGAAAATCCTGATTGAGTGAATTTAAATGTGACTTCATAGAGCCGGTTGGACCTTGGCTGAGTTATGCTCTCTACCTCTACCAATCTACAGAATAAGTGCTTGAAATACAAAATACTATATTGTACATAATAATTACCTTTGGCAATATTTCCATATAAAAAATATGTTTTCATAATATTAATGAACAGAATGTGTGTGATTAAAAATACTTTTGATGGGGTTTCATAGGTTCATCATAGGTTTTGGTGCACTTCTGTAGCTCGACCTCTCAGTGATTAGGAAGGACGAGGGAGAAAGAAAAGATTTTCCTCTGAAGTAATGAAGATTCCTCCTACAATGTCAATTTGTATTTAAAAAAGAGTTTGAAATTTCATGGGATGAAGGATTTGCTTTTGTTGTTTTGTAAAACGATGATAAAAAATTAGCGAATGTAATGATTCAATACTTCAAAAGCAAAGGTAATGATTTTAACGTCCAAACCATGAAGGATGAGAACAAATATTTAAGAAATTTAGATCCAGGATGTTCTGTTTCAATGTGTTTTCCGGTTGATCGGTTTAAACATTTTCTTTATTTTAGAATAACAATTAAAATACTGCTATCATTGTAGAGCACTACAACTTACAAAAACTAATACCTGAATGGCAAGGTCTGTGAAGACTGGAAAGTTTGAATTATTCATCTTTTATAGTGATAAGCAGTAAATCCCCTTCATGGGCTGTTGGTTCATTCTCAAGCCCACTCCAGAGCCCTGCCTGAGCTGGATCAGTCCACTGAAGGAGGATTAAATGGGGGATGCAGTGTTGCTCGGTGAAGCATTTGACGGCTTGCTCTTGTCTTGCTGCAGGCTTACGTTACCTCTTGGTGGGTTCATATGTGGAGGGAACATTCGCAGGTTGGTCATACCCATATTGACCCAGATGTTGGACTGTGGGGAGCGCGTTGCTGGTTGCTGGCGAAGGAAGAGGACGTAACGGGGAAAGAGCTCCAGCTCTGCATGGCCCGTCTTGCTCTCCAGGATAACCTGCAGGGGTGAGAGAGAAAGTTTCAAGTTTCTGCACACACCTTTTCTTCTCTACTTTACATGAAACTACTGAGTGCACTGATCAGACCAGAAACAGGTGACCAGGGTTTTGTCTAAGGTCACTTTCACTCCTGCACTTATTTCACTTGGCTGAAAGAAATAAGAGAAACCAAACGCTGACATGGACTAACAGGTAACTCAACAGTCAACAGTGGTTTTGGTTGACTGTCCTCTTGCATGATCAGCAGCTGTGTGGTCACTTCTTTTCATAATAGCATCTTAATACATGTAAGAGTTGGACACATTCACAAACATCGTTAAATCATGGTCCATGTCTACAAGTTTGCTTGCTTCACATTTCCCACAATCCATGTGCTGATTGTGCACCAGAGCTTCGCTGGAGCCGGACAGAGAAACCCTTCTTCAAGCAGACGGGGCAGATGTTTAGTCTGCAACAGTGTACAACTGACACATTTCACACCAGCCTGAGTTACCTGCCCCGTCTGTCTGGACTTGGGACCCATTCCCTTGCACTTGTGACACAGTAGAATTATAATGTATATGGTCATGAAAAGATCAAGTTCGCAAATATATTAAGAAATTATGAAAAGGGATGTGGAATTTGCAATTAAGAACCAATACAATTACATTTTTTATTTAAAATATCAAAAATATTGAGTAAATAAACTGAGTTCAATTAGCTTTCACATTTAAGCAGCAGCCATTTTCTTCTGACGTCACACTGTATTGAATATTTGCAGGTACTGTATGACAGAGTTCTTCGGTTGTCTTCACTCACCGGCCGTGGCAGACTGAGGTTGGCACCGTACCAGTGGTAGAGCGCTCGCCACACTGGCTCTGGCACCGTCTCAAAGTCTCTAGCAGGCAGCAGCTGCAGGGAGCGCTTCAGCCTGCCACCTTCCATGGTTAACGAAGGGGCCTGCAGGGTCACAACAGAAAGAAAGACACTTTTAGTCAACTTGACTTATAGTTATTGGACAGACAGTATCCTATTGGTACGGCTGGTTGCTATCATTAGCATGAAATGAATAGATAAAATAAAGAAAAAAATAAGCACAAACTGGTCTTTGGTAGTTTGTGCTAAGAGGATGATTCACTCCTTATTTAGAAATCTCAGATTATAAACAGCCAAAAACCTTCCTCAAACACACTGTTGGTTTGTTATATATGTGCTGAAGAGGGCAAATGCTGTTAAGATCAACAAGACGGGAGATCTGCTTCTGTTGTCAAAGGATCAGGATCACAACTATGTGTTGGCTTTATGAAATAGCTGCTGGACTCCTTAGAAAACATGAGCCTAGTTCAGTAAACAAACCCAGAGGGAACACACGCCACTCTGAGTCTTCACTGAAACTGTGTAGCTTCACTGTTCTCATATGTCAAACGTGCCAGAGATAATGAATGTGATGCATGATCTGTGCTACATGATTACCTCCTGACTGAGGAACATTGATTTTCGGATAAAGCACTAGGTTGTCAAAATTAAAACTATCTTTGGAGCAGTAAATAATCACACAAACTGCTGCAAACAACATAAAATATTATTTTTCACATACTGAAAAGCTGCTACTGCTTTTTACTGGAGTCATTCTTCTCACAATACATAAGCTAAGTTGCTTTTAAAGTCACTAAATGACACGAGGGTGGGACAGTTAGTGTACAGCTCCTTACGGCACACTTTTTATTTAATGCAACAGACCAAGAAGGACTCACTCAACAACAACACACACACACACACACACACACACACACACTCCTTGCCTTCATGGGGTCAGTGTTGACCAGAGACTGGTTGTCGATAGCTCCAGGTCTTTGTGCTGCCACCTGAGAGGGGAGGTGTCCATTGGCTCCAGAAAAACACTGATTGTTGTTGTCCGATACGTTGTGCTGACGGGCAAAACAGCTCTCTGTAGCAGACGGAGCTAACTGAGGGCTCAGGGCTGTTGGGACACAGGAGTAAGCACCCAGATCACACACATAGACAGAAAAAAAATCATGGGTCTTAATGTATTGACTTGTAACAGTTGCATCTGACTGGGTTATATTTCCTGAAGTAACAAAATGTGGACAATTACATTGATAAGTGTTGGAAACAATTCAGTACAGGATCTGTTGAACCTACATGTAAGATCTGTCACGTGTCTCTGATCTCTTCAGAGTAATTGTTATGTAAAATGACTGACCAGTCTCTGTGGCCTCTGAGGCACTGGACACAGCGTCAGGTGACCTCTCCTCAGTGGGGCTGACAGCGCTGAAGTTTCCCAGTCCTCCCAGTCTGTCCGGAGGCGCGGGCTCTATGGTGGCTGTGGCCATTGGACTTCGCAGTGAACCCAGGATGGATGGCTGCTCCACCACGATGCCCTTATGCTCCTGGACAGGAAGACAACAGCAGGGACTGCCCTGTCATTGTTTAAAGTGATATCTGATATTAATGTGGTGGTTGCACTTATGACAGTTACTGCCTCTGTCCCAGTGGGAGGTTACTGCAAAAGCAGCAGTTATAAACCAGTGGGAAATTTAATAAGAGTTACAGAAATCAGTAAATGAACAAGGCTCTTAAAATGGGACACACTACTTTAACAATGCATGTTGACAAAACTACTGAACTCAAGATATTTGAATGCTCCCAAAATAAATCTGCAGCAGGACAAAGAGTCCTAACATACAGACATACACTCTTAAAGAACTATATTCAGAGACAAGAAGAACAAAGAGCCCTCTACTCAGCATCATGGAGTTAGTCTGGGATCAAATGAGGAGACAGCCGACAATGTGACTAAATTCACATAAGATCTGTGGCGAGTTCTCCAAGATACTAAAAAAAAAAAACAAGCAACCAGTCGAGTACCTTGACAAAGAGCCTCAAAGGGAAGCGAGGAGAGATGGTGCTAGTTTAAAGGCAAAGCGTGGCCACAGCATGAACTGATTTTGAAAAAATTGACTTACGTATTTGACATAGTCCTTCCACTGCTGCCACCACAGCATGGAGATGAGGAACCAGTTCTGGCCTTGCTGCAGCCCATGTCTGCTCTCCCTCTCTAACCAACCTCTGCATGCAGACACGTACGTACGCACATAAACACGCACACACACACAAACAGAACGGAAATCCAAACACCAAAGATCATGAGGTCAAACAATTTGTTCCTCAAAGTTGTGTATCTGTAATGTGTCAATAATGAGGACCTGTATGTACCTGATGATTTGTCCCTCCTCTTCAGGTGAGGCAGGTCTGAGCCCCAGTACTATGTGGCAAACCTAGGGCAAGATGATTAATATTACTATATATTATTACCATCATCATCAAGCCAGCATCAGTCAAACCTTATATATGTGTGGCTTTACTGACCTGGAAAAGAAGGTTTAGAAACTCATTGGCCAATGCGCTCTTTACGCTCCATATCTGGTAGTCCTCCAGAGTCAGGTGACCCAGCTGGTGAGGGGTGAAACAACACGAAGGTCAGTAGCTCACAGGAAACAGTTTGGATGTAAAACAAGAAAGACTGTGGCCGTGTGGTTGTTGAAAGTGTACTGGGCAGCTCAGTGTGATGTGGTGTTGACGTTCTCTGAATCAACGTCTTTAAATCTAATCACATGATGGAGTCAGAATATCAACTTCTTGTCAGCTGCATCAAAGATGATTCTGTCACCAGAAGTTCTGTCTCACCTTGGTTGTGTCGTGCATCTTTAGGATACCCTCTACGATGTCTGACACGCTATTGTGCAGCTCCTGCAAGGTAACACAATCAGAATGAAGCAGCACCAAACACCAGATCGCATCGTGATGGACAAATGAACAGATGGATGTAAACTTACAGGGAGTGTGTCTGTGCGATTGTCCTTCCACACCTCCAGCAAGGCCACCACCATTTCATGTAGTTCATCTCGAGAAAGAACCCCATCACGATCCACATCGAACACTTTGAAGCAAACTGCCGATGAAAGAAAGGGAAGTCATAGCAAAATACAAATGTGGACATGAAGCAGAGCACTGCTACAAAAGCTTTATTTTAAGCCTTGACCATGCACTTTAGTCTATTAGCAGGAAATCCAATATGCTTCCATTGCTGATAGATAACAGCAAAGAAGAAACAGACGACACACGTTGCGATAAAAGGCTTGGTGTCATTATGTGAAGCCTCTGGGATGAATTTATCTGTAATGATTTAAAACCAAAGCATGGCTTACATTTCTGCCTCTCAGCGATGGGCCCTCTGCAGCAGGCCGAGAGTCCACAAGAGATCTCTTTAAAGTCGATGTGATTGTCCCGATTCTCATCAAATGCGTGAAACAGGCCTGGAAAATAAGATACAGAAGACGGATTCATACACAGTCTTATGAGGGTTGTATTTACTGGATTAAAAGAAAGACCAGAATGAGCCTGTGAGGAATACATTTAAATAAATATATAAATATCGAACCTTCACTCAGTGAGGCATGGATAGGAGGAGAGACCAGTGGAACAAAGGTTTCCAAGTCAAAGCGGCCAGTTCTTGACTGCGCTTTTAGCAACCAGTAGCGCTTCTCCAAGTCTATAATGTCCGACTCCTCCACTGCAGGAGAGAAGGAGAGGAGAAGAGTGAGAAACAGAGAAATACAATTTGCAGCAGAAACATCACTTGTCCCTGTTTCACTGTGTTGTTCAGTGAGTGTTTAGGATTATACAGAAATTCACGAGACCTACTGAATGACACCAGGTAAGAATGAACATGATCCACTGTATGTACTGTACACAAGACACAAGCTATATTATAAAACGTCCCTGATCATTTTGCTGGTTTAAGTTTTTAAAGCATTCGTAAAAACATTTTACCAATTTTACTAACTATAACTTCTAGATGCACATCATGTCTAAAGAAGAAATAAATAAAGTAAAGAATAACAAGATGTATGTTGAATGTCATCATGTAGTGCATGTACACATGAGTTGGTCAACAGTAGAAATGCATCAAATGGATAAAAGTGTTATTAAGTATTAAGGTACAGTGCCATGAATAATGAATAAGGTACTAAGTGCACAGCAGTGAGAAATCCTGAGCGACAGAGCTCGTGTTCATCAAACACTGCTGCTGATGACTGGTGGGGATGTGGAGAAAACACTGACACACACTCTTCATCAGTGTGCAGCTGCTGACAGAAAGCAGATCACCTGAGGGGGAGACCAGTGTCTCCTCTGACAGACCAGAGTGTGGTGACGGGGTTGGAGGGATTTGTTTGTGATCACCAAGCTGGTCTCTGTTCTACTCTCAACCACCATGGTCCGGTCAATTGCTTCAGTTGTATGTGGTAGTTTTTCAAGATATTCTGCCACCGTCCATTGTCACACCTTCTCCGACATGACAAACATGACAACATTGCAATGAATGGATCAACCAATTAATGCTTCAGGGTTTTTCATAGGTTTGAGCTTTGATATGTTTTATTCTTGTCTTGCTATACGTCTCCTTTGGTGTGGTGGTGTTTGGTAAAAGGATTGGTGTATTGATCATTGGGTAGGTTGACAGATGACGTAAATAACTACTGTCAACTGATCATTTAAATAAACAGCTACTACATTGTCAAGATTACTTTTTTGGATCAAAGTAAACTGAATATCTGCAGAGACTGAACTTTGATGATGAGTATCTGTCACTAACTCCTCAAGAATCCAGAAAAACACTGATGAGGTTAAAAAAAAAAAAATATATATTTTGTTGCAGTCATACTGGAAACACCAGAGTTAGGTGACGAAGTCAACCTATTTATAATGTGGCAACAGTCATGATACCACGGCAAACCCGAGGTGTGGTTAGGTAATGGTCACTGTGTGGAATATTTGACTCAGCTTATATTGAAGTGATGCAGATCAGACCAATATAGCATATGAAGCTCTGCCAGGGTCAATGAAGCAGCCTCCCCCCCTTCCAACATGCTAATCCGCAGCTTAGGGTAATAGGATTCTGGAGCTAACCAGTTAGCCGTTGGCATGGAGCCAATACATATGACAGGTGTCAAAACACAGACTCACAAACCAAATGGCCGGTGATTCCTGGCAGGTTTTTACTGGGAGCTGAACAAAGCAACCTTCCTGCAAACTTGTTTGTACAGTCAGAAGATCCCCACAGAGAAATTGCTTGGAGCAGGTTTTTGTCACAGTTTTTTTTTTTTTGATGGGATGATGATGCTGGTTGTGGCCGACTGCGGGTGAACCAGAACCCTGAAGAATGGACGGTCTAAGATGTTTCCCCTCTTGTTTCGGTTGTGATTTTCTGGAGTCCGGAGGTGAACGTCAGCGCAGTTGGCCTTTGCCTGACTGGGAAGCACTCAATCACCTTTAACTGCCTCGGTTGAACTCTGCTTCCTGGCTCTGATGTTTCGACTTAAACTGACTAAAAGGCAGCATGGAAATGAATATTAATGATTTACAACCTGAAGGGGACTATATGGATATTGCATGGGGAGGGAATAGCATGACACTGCTAAATTATTGAGGATTATGGACTAAAACAGGTAGTGAGCACTAGAGACTACCTTCAGTTCTCAAAGTTCAATCGAACATTTCCAACTCAGCAAAAAAGCAGGTAAGAACTCTCATAAAACAAGCAAACAATCATCCACACATCAGTGCTAAAGAGCAAAAGCACATGTATCTGTTATTTTCAATTCAAAGGTTGAAAGGAGATGACAGGAACTTGAGTCGGAACTCGAACAAACTATTCCAACGACGACTTTTTCTACAAGTGACCATGAATGTCAGTCACCAGGTAACTGACATTTAAAGAACAGTAGCGTCCACAAATCCTTCCATTAATTTACTGCTCAGGTGCACTGCTGACCCGATACCCACCTAGAGGTGCGACTCTCTCCGAGTGGCAGCAGAGATACCATACCATTATCCAGGGAACATCCTTAGAGAGGTGTAGCCACAGCCAGCATGTGTCATAGTAAAGTCCCTGCAGTAGCCGCGATCACAAACTGTTATCCTGTGCAGAAGCTCTTATTCCCACAGATTTCTACACTGATAATATTGTGATAAGAGTCAGAGGTCGGCAAGTTGGAGCATGGAGGATTCACTGTGATAAGCTCTTCCATGAGTCAACCTTGGTGCTCCTCTTCTGGCAAGAATCATGGACCAGGAGTGTGTCAGTCACTCTCTCCAACACACACACACACACACACAAACATACAGAGAAACAAACTTAAGAGGATAAGCTGGGAGCAGATTAACAGGCAGCGTCCAGTTTCTCTGGACAAGACAGGCTCTTTCCAGCCCTCTGTCCTTAATTGGCAAAATAAAGCCTGGCTAAATTTACTTGGCCTGCAACTTAAGATGAACTCTATCTATGTATGTTTTTATTCAAATTTCTCACGTACAAATGTGAAGATGAACGCCTGAACTCAGGATATCGGCCAATGCCAAATCCTGATCTGATAACAGTGCTCTCTCCTCCCTACACGTAGAATCTTCAGACCTCACTTTGTGTCACTGACTGGAATCCTTCATATGATGAATGTAATACTGATGTGGCACTGAACACTCGATCCGCGACCTGTCGTGAATTAATGGATGTAAATAATAAAGACAACACTGAACTTTATACTAAAACTGCCAAAAGAAGTCATTTTAATTGTACTGATTATTTCATGGCTGATACCTGACCCACCAACCCGGTGTATTATTTTGGTGCATCTCTTAGAGAGAGAATACAACAAGCAAGGTCCACCTGGGGAATTGTGTTTATGGTTTAGACTTTAACTGCTAGGCTAATAGGTACCACTAACAACCTCTGTTTTTTTCTTGTTCCTTGTTACACACACAAACAAATTATAATGTATCAGCACTAGTGTACTGCGCAACACTAATGAGGTCCATACAAGGTTAAAATGATTTCAGAACAGCTTTAATAAGGTTGTGCAGCTGCAGCCAGGGTCCACAGGAGCCATTTTACCTCATTATTTCCAGTAGTTTCCCCACGAGAATAACTGAATGGTCATTTTCCGAACTGTTTAGAACTTGGAGACAGCAGTCGACAGAAATTGAGTGTTGGTTGGACAGAGAGCTCTGACAGCTCGCTGCCAGCTCTATAGTGAGATCAAATTCAGTATTTTCACTAACAAAAAGTTTAATAGATGAAGGCAAAATGCTTTCTGATTAACGTGATGTAATATAACATGAATTCATTTGAATTGAACAACGACAAATTTAAAAGGTCAATTAAACTAGAATCAGTGAATAGCATCCACTGCTTGGTCACTCATACACTTATCGTTACAGTTAAGGAAGAATAAAATTAACACCATCAGTATTTGAAATAAAAACTAATATTGATAATCGGGTGTCTATTAATGTGTTTGAAGACAAATGACATGCAACCAACTTAGACATCTGCATTCTCACATAATTTTAAACAATTCCATGCATGTCTGAAAGCAGCTTATTGAGAGTTAATGACTCATATACTGATATACTTTGGTTTGTTGCTGTCTGGTTGATGCAGTTATACGATGTGCATAGACTAATAACAGAGCAGTTCATGTTTTGAGTTGTTTCAATGTATTTTGCATCCTGCTAAAGTTTCATGATGAAATCTTTTCACTTCCGCTTTGCTGTTTGTTTTGATCGGTGTCAATAAATGTCAACACTTCCTGCAGAAATATTTCACATTAAAAGCCAGAAGTTGCGTGGTGATGAACTCACAGTGTGTGACGCCAGCCAGAGTCTGGTAGAAGGTGGGTGTGTCGCTGTCATCGGTGAGTGTGACACACACTCCTCCGGACAGAAGCCATCGGGACAAAGTGAAGGCCTCCTTATTCTGCAGCAACCAGCTCCTGAAGCGCTCATAGTTCACCTTGTCACCCTGACACGACACACAAATCACACCATTAGATTGGTCTACATCTGTCATCATCCCCAGTCTTTTCTGCCTGTGTTCTGTTCTGTGTTCCTGTCATGCTGCTCATTTCATTATCAGGTTTGGATGCAACACTTTCTTTGCTTTCGGCCTTTTATCATTATGAGGATTTACTGTTTCCCTTGTTTCTTTTCAACCGTGTAATATGAATATCTTTATCTTTTGCTGTTGCATAAAACAGCTTGAATAGGAAAACTCATTAGATGTTACGTTAATATGATGGATGTAAATCCTCAGTCCCCACTGTAATTCTCTACTGTTACACACTGTGTTAAAAATCATTGGTCCAGAGACAGCCCTGTAATTACTCGCTGACAGACCACCTACAGTAATATTTAATGTGGATGGAGGAAGAAGGTACTGGAGCACTGAAGCTTATCAGGGTTTAATTTCTAAAACTTTAAGAGAAGGGTATATATAGGACACCTTTTAAGACCTAAACAAAGAGAATTTAATGTTGAAGATAAATATGTTCAATCACAACAGTCAACAATAAAATCATGAAATAGACAAGGGATATTTTATGTAATCTGTGTGTGCCTTGGTACAATAACCATAGTGATAATAAAAACTATGTTATAATTGAGCTGTATGTAAGTACCTAAAAAAAGAAATGTAAATAGTTTATGCATTCCAAACAAAACCCCATTAACATGAATTGTAAAATGTCAGGGGCTGAGCCAGTAGACTGAGTGAACAAATCCTGTAAGGGATTGAAACTAGACTGAATTACACACAGTATGTACACTGACAAACCAATACACTGCATATAATGTAATATATTAACGTTACAAACTGTGTGAGACTAATCTGGGCTGGGTTTTCACTCCCCTACACTGTTTTTCATAGTTTGTAGTTAATTAATTTGAAAGACTTTTAATGACCAGTATAATAACTTGCTGTAAAACCAAACTTTGTTATCATCTCAGCTGAGTTGGCTCCAACTACTAACAACACTGTTTTATGAGCATGAAACACAAAACATCATAAGAATGATAAGAACTAACTCAGTGATACAACCGGAGAAGAGAATGTGGTGATATTCCTGTTATCAGTCAAGAGAGATCCCGACTAGAACATGTGTTCCGGTGCGTGTTGCTAACCTCACTGAAGCATTTCTTGAGGGAGGTGGGAACTTCTCCATCCAGGACCTGGAGAACTGCCTCTATGTCTTCTCTGGCGGCGTATCCACCCAGATCACTGGCAAACAGGCTGAAGAGGTCTGTAAACACACAGACACACACACAAACAATGTCAGAGATGAGCTTTATCACAGGAAGTCAGGCCACTTGCACATAGCAATAGTTATGACAATAGAAGCTATGATGGATTAGACCGTCTGCAACACATCAACCAAAACCATCTGAATGAGAATGACGATGAGAGAGGGAGATGAACAGTCAGATCCAAATTTGGACAAGAAAGAAAATTTAATCCAATAGACATTGTTCACAATAAAATAGCTATTGCATCCGTGAAGGTTCAAATTCCTTGGAACGTGTTGAAATCCACATTAACTAATTTATCTGGATCTGAGTCACACAAACAGAATGACTTGTGAGTTGAAATTGGGAAGTTGTGGTTATTTTGCGTGTCTAAGTCTCTGAAACCACACATCCTGTTTGTACAAGGACGACGTTGGATGATTGACAGTTTTGAGTATTTTCACTCCCGGTTGACTCATCTGTACAAAAGATGAGCAACTGTGTGAGAAAAAATCTAGTTCAGTGACAAAACGTCAGAAAAGTGACTGAGTATGTAAATATATAAAAAGTTAACTTCGATTCCCAGGAGGCATTTTGATTGCAGGTGCTTCTAAGAGTGAAAGCTAAAAGTTACGGTCTCGCCAAACACAAGAACATTCACCAGCTTTAATCCAATTTTGGAACAAAAAAAAAAAATCAGCATTAACAGAGAAGTGTTTGCTTCTCAACTGCAACAGCAAAGCATTTTGATTCATGTCTCTGAAACAATAGAGTTGTCTGACAGGCCACACTTTCTCTGACACAAATCTGATTTTTTTTTAGCTTCAGGGGAAAGCAGGTGTAACGACCGTGTGAAGTGAAGTTGTGAGAACACACATGGAATCTGCAGGTGTAACTGTGTCATGAACACAAGCAGAAAACAAGAGTCTTCTGCATTCCAGGACATTGGCAGCCACTTTTATACTCGCGCTGTGCTGATCAGTTGACCAGACACAAAGTGGGGCTCCCACTCAACGTTAACATGAAACATAACTGTGACTTTTTTTTTTTAAGGACAAAGTAAGAAAAAAAAAAAAGGAAGTTTGACAGGAAGCTGCAGTTTTAAACTCAACCGCTAATTTACAAAAAATCATATATACCTGCAGTAAGGGCTGAGCGATATGTAAACATCACTGGATATCGATATAAATCAAAGAACCAGAAAATAACTTTTTTTGCACCTTTTTTCTTTTGCACCAAACAGATTTTACTTGCTCGTACAATCATCCTGTGCCACTTTACTCATAACATTTCATACAAACCACTACAGTGAAGAGATGTATAGAATGTGCATACCCAGAATTTTTTTATTTTATTTAATTATTTATAACTAGTGCCTTTTTATATTTCTTCATTCTCTTGTCCACCTCATTCTGACGTGCCTGCAGCTGTAACAACTGAATTTCCCCGGTGTGTGGATCAATAAAGTTCAATCTTATCTTAACTTTACTGCACTAAGGCCCATTACTCCGCAGGTCAACAAGTGTCTCTGCTCCTCTGATGTTTTCTAATCACTCTCACTTAGAACTGATCTTTATAAAAACCTACTGAATTCATATTTATGTTCCTCGATAAACGAGGAAACAATGAAGTTAAAACACAGCATTGCATCATAATCTGCGGGAGGAAACTTCTGTCTGCATGAGTGTGTGTCTGTGTGTGCGAGTGTTTGTGTGTGCGAGCCTGCATGCGTGTCCGCTCGCTCTGTCCCTCCTCACACGTGAACTGATAATCATATTTATTTAATTATTAATTGATGATATCTGATCATGACTCCAGATCGTTCACTATAACCCTGATTTCCTGTCTGTCTTCCACGTCAGGTCTACAAAGCAGTTTATACTTTTTACACTTCATTGTCCATTAAAGTATTTAAATTTGAATAAAATGAATAAAAAATGTTTTAACTTATGGGCTATTTTCTCTAACTCAGGCTCTTTCACTGCTGCTTCTGTTTTTAAAGATAAATGGGAATTAATGTCACAGATTCATATTTCTGGCTTCACTGAAATTAAACCTGATTACTAGGTCAGACCACGGCCAGCAGCGCCCGGCTCATCCAAACATAGTGTGAGATTTTCCAGGTGGCGCTCATGATAAAAAAAACGATGTCAAACGAATAGTATTAAAAAGCAAAAGGTTGATGCTACTCCATTATACAACTGTGTTGGTGATTTGTTAACAAGATTCTGTTCTTGTAAAAACAAGAGCACGTGCAATGGAAAAAAAGGGTAAATGTAAGTTGGACACCGGATGATATATATTTTGTTCTTGTCAGATTCTTATTTGAGGATATTTAGACAGAAGATGTTGATCAGAAACATTCAGACAGCAACAGATTTGACATATGGTGGTGACAATACGTAAACAGACTCATCATAAGAACTTACATTTGGCCTTCTCCTCATCGCGTCCTCTGGTCAGAAGCACCAGACCCACGATCAGATTGTTGAAGTGCAGCCCTTTAGACGAGCCTCCAAACGAGGTGTAAATAACCTAGACCACAACAAAACACATGGCAGCGTGAGAATCAGACGACTGCTTCACACTCTGCTGTTCGAATACACAGTGAACAGACTATAATAACTTGTTATAATATAACTTGAAGTATGTGTGATCCTTGCGTGTACAATCTTTATCGAATGAATCTCCTCAGAGTAAAGCAGGTTTTCAAATCTGTTTATCCTCAGTCAGTGAAACAAAGGAAAGTCCACTTGAGAGACGCCCTTTCTCTATACACGACTGGTCAGTGGAGGAAGCCCTCTCTTTCCCTGTTCCCCTTCTCAGACAAATGTCCCTTGAACTGCACTCAATGTTTTGGATGGCAAGGAATTACTTCTCTTTGTTTGAATTGTTGCTGCAAGGATTTTGAGCAGTTGGTTGTGTCTCCACGTCCTTGGGAGAGACTTATTTCACAACCAGTGAAGATGTGTGTTTGACGGTAGCTGGAGTTGAGCATAGTGAGCAGGATGGATCTTTGTTTAGCTACCGCTGTATGGTTTTGGGTGAGGGAGGAAGTTCCCTCTCATCCGCATTTCAGCCAGCAAGTCACACCAGCCCTTTATAAACCTCTGTGTTCTCCACAGTGGAGACATTGTTAGTGCCAGCAGGGCATCAAACCCTCTCTGCAAACAATGTGGACGAGTAAATCATTTTGAATGAAACAAATGTAAATACATATACTTCATAATGATAATCATACAAAACAATAACGGTGCAGTTTAAGTACAGTTAATATTTGACATGCTTAATGGGTATTTGCTTTACTTTATTTATTGTTTTAAGAGAGTGTTTATTTTGTTATTTTACTTTGTAAAAATTACGAGGTAAGAAAGACAGTCATAGTTAACCAAGGATGAATAAAAATGAATATGTTTTGTGTTTTCTGTTCCTTGTTTCTACGAAGCGTGACGTCAAAATCAAGGTACGTACTGAACCATGGTGTTTGTGTTCCATTACACCCCTAATGTTCACTAAGAAGAGCAACAGTCTTTAATTCTCTGCAGAGTAAAAATACTAAATAATAAAGACATCAGCTGAGTAAGCTGTCTTTCATATGAGGCCCAGGACACATTTGTGTTCATGCAGCTAAAAGAATGAGGCCACATGTGTCCCAGACCACCTCTAAATGTGGTCTAAGGGACTGGATCTCAGGAAGCATTTAAGATGAATTGGCGTGTGTTCACATATGTTATTAGCGCTGAACACTTGGGATCAGTTCTGAAGCGGGGGTCTCACTGAAAGTATGAGGTGGTGCTGAGATCTGGAAACTGCAAAATCATTGGAAAAGAAAAATGACCCTGTGTGACGTTTTGTAATCTACAAAGGAGAAGCAGTAAATCCAACTGTGCAGATAACAAATCATGACACTGCAGCCAAATCTGAGCCCCTCCTGAAAAACACTGATTCTATCTTCATCCAATACAAATTATTGTGTATACCATCATATGAACAAATAATCAAATTAATGTTTTCCAACACATGATAGATCTAATTATGTGTAACTTGCTCCTGAGGTTTCTTCTGATTAAAAACAATGTCTGTTTCTTGGCTAAGTGATCAGGCTTTCTTTCAAATATCAGACTGTGCAGCAGCCACAGAATCCAGCAGTCACCTTAAACCTGGACCAATGTCACAGCGGTGACTGCTGTCATGGTGACAAAGGAGGAGAAGAAGGAGAAAGATGCTGAGAGGAGGACGAGAGAAGATGAGCTCTAATGTTCACTGAAGTGAGCACAGTGTTTAAGGATTCTGGGGGAGGACAGGATGAGTAACACTGGCCTTGTCGATGAACTCTGAAGGAAATTTATGTCCAGGAGGACTGAGCGCTGTAAGAAGCCCTGGTTGGTGCACGGTCTGCAGCCCCCATGAGCTCAGGGTTTCTAGATTCTAACACTGTTTTGGTTGAGCAGAAGTTACTATATGCTGAGGCAGTGCAGAGTGAAGCGATTATAGAATGTACATCAGAAAAGATTTTTCAACTTGAATAATTTGTTTATCAAGATCTGATGTGTGATTTAAGTGTTCCATTCATTTTTTGTGTATATCAGTGACTAACTAATTTTAAAAGGTCCTATGGGACAACTGGTTTACACTCAAGACCGATCCCTGGCTCTCTAATTCCTGTCCCTATCATGCTCTTTCAACAGAAAGTGAAAATGCATGTTAATGAGGCCTGCAAGTGCTCGAGTGCCATGCAGAGCTTTGTGCTGGGTAAAACTATCAGAGGATGACTGCAGCTTAATTATAAGAGAACGACACAGAGGGTTCTGTAGCCTCCATTGTCACACTGGCAATATATTCTCTGGCTACTCCCATCCAGGTGATCCCCATGTCCCACAACACACCCACTAAAAACCTTCAGTTTGTCTTGAGTTAAAGAGATAATCACTTCCACTAACATCGCTCCTTTCTGGGCTTATATCGTATTAAGGATCATCTGTTTATCGACTAATTTCAAAAGATTTCATTAGCTCATGAGAATCATCCCTTCATATTGACTGCTCATCTAAATGTAAGTATCAATGTGGCTTACCTCTGCAACTTTAGGGGGAACTCCATCGCCCAGCACTTCCCTGTAGAAGCACTGTTGAGTCATGTAATAGGAGAGGCCGCTGGTTCTCTTGAAGGCATCCTTCAGCCGTTTCAATTCCACATCAGTGACTACAGAGGAGAGATGATCAGAAGAGAGAATTCATTCAGAGGTGCAAAGCTTTTGTTCACAGAACATGTGTCATTGCATGTGATGTCACACAGAGCTTTGTTTCTCCGTAGAGTCTCAAAAGCAAAAATGGACACTGGATATAATCATGTATCTTTTCCTTTGAGGTCCGCTCCGCTATTCAGTTTAAATGTTTTCAACTTAACGCAGAATCAATATCAGCAGCATCTGACTTTTCCCCTTTCCCCTAATAACACACGGGTTAAAAAAGCTTTTCTTTCTGTAATTTAGATGAAATGGGTAAAAATATTATTAAATTTAACTGTGAGTCTTACACGTGTATTCAGGTATTACATTTTTATGGCTTTAAACAGACCAAAAAATGGCTACAGTCCATTTAAGATGAGCTAGGAACCATACTTTGGTCTGAATGCTTTCAAAATCATCAACACCTCAGCGCTGACTAATGAGTGAGATGGGTCAGGTTTACAGTTTCAGAGTAAAACCACCACAGCCAAACGATGAGTCATCACATATCTATCTATTTCCCACAAAGCTGAATTATTCCTTGTCATGTGTTGCACTGTTCTACAATATACTGTAACTTTTTGATTGTTTGCGTGGTGGACGTTGTGCGCAGAGCTTGCAGTGAAAAATACAGCTCTTTTGTTTCTTCATCCAAATCAAACACTGATGGAGTTTTCCAGTTACAGTAGCAGCTACAGACTGTGCTGTCTGCTGAACTGGTAGAGATGTGCGGGTAATTCCAAAAGGGCTGAAAACACTTTAATGTGATTAATCAACGGGCATACTAAATAATAAAGAAAGAACAATTTCAACACTCTATGATAGACAAATAAATACACTGGTGGCATAATATTGAACAGCTTTAAGCAGCACTCTATTTCTCCACTCAGATATCCATGGCTGTGTGCCCAAGTGAAGGTCAAACATAAGCTCTTCAAGTTTAAGTTTCCTTTAAAAATCACAATCAACTGGTGGCACATGCCTGGGTCTAAAACAGCGGCTGCGGGCTCTTTGGCTCTCCAGCTCTGCAGGTCGATGAGATTGCCTTGCTTAGATCAGTTACATGTGGTTACCATCTGTTTTGACACCAGCCTGCAGAGGGCAATACAGTCCTTATGGCGTAAACATGAAGCTTACCCAACTTGCAGAGACATGTACACCTGCCAAGCGTGCACGCACACAAGTAATGTTCAGTAGTTTATAGTACTCTTCTAGAACAAAGTACAGAGTCAGAGCTGCAATCACCTTGATTACAAAGACACCAAATATCAGACTTATTATATGAGGAACATGATTTTTGAATATGGCCTATACAAATAAAATTTGATTGAATGATATAAATATTTGTTATCTTTAATCCAACCTCAAGAAAGTAAAGAGGCAATTTTGCCTAAACTATACATTTAATGGAATCATTCAATTTACAGATGATTTTGTATTGTTTTGGTTTTTAGTTAGGCATGCTGCTGACAACAGGACCAGAACAGGATTTGTGATGATTTGCATGACTTCTTATAGTTCAGCTTTCTCTACAAAGCCCACGTCTGACATAATTCAACTTCAGCTTTATGAAGACTGATGAGAATGTGCTTATTAAACACTTGTGTAAATAGGAGAGAGGAAATTGCTAACATAACTGCAAAGAAGAAGGTGAGAGGGAATTATTCCAGAGAAAAAAAGAACTGATAAAGAACATATTAGAAGGGGTGAAATGTTTCTGCACCTTCACTGAAGTGGAAAGACATGCAACACTCGTCTATATAGAGGTCTCACAGCTGACATGGATGAGAGCAAAGACCAAGACATGAGGTTAAAGGAGCTGCCTGCAGAGATCAGAGACAGAACTGTGTCGAGCTGCACATCTGTGGAAGGCGAAATCTACAAAACCTTGACCTGCACATGACCAAAGCAGCTTTCAGACATGCACTGAGATCCAGAGGTGTTCCAGAGTTTCTCTGCTGTAGGGGCTGGAATGTGTAAACGCAAATGTCTAAGTGAGAGCCTCTGGAGTTTTTGCGGAGACAATGTGAGAACACAGCAGGAGATCCTTCACAGGTGGGAGTGTTGATGAGGCTTCTAACACATGACAGACGCAAAACTGAATAACACAAAAATAATATCAATATCTCAGGATGAAAAAGCGGTGCCTGCATGTGGAAGACACCAAAAGAAGAGAGTGTTTGAAGAAGAGAGCTGAGGCCAGTGTCTATGTGCTGTAAACAAAAAAATGCAGCGCAATTAATATGTCCTGCCTCTGCACCACACCTCACCTGAATCTTCCGGACAATTGTTCCCTGTTCAGTAACAGGTATCTGTGAAGAATGTTCTGACATGTCTTGCTCTAAATAATGAATGAAAATAATTGTAAGTGGAAAAGAGTCATAAACTTAATGTTCTTATTGAGATTCATTACAAGTTACCATAAAGATACTTTTAAACTCATGAAGTTCAGTGACAATCACTGCTGACTCAATTTCTTGTTACACAGCAACGTGTGACAGTGTGTGGCCTCTGAGAACACAAACAGTAAGAGAATGTCTAGTTTGTGAATTTGAGTCAAGTGTTGTGCTATACGTCAACGTGATGACTAACCAGCACAGGCAGATAATAGCAAAGCTGTTTCAATTAAATGGACGAATGAGGAAGCAAACAAAGGATTCTAGATTATGGAGAACACTCTGTGTATTGTCATGCTGTGATGCCGTGGGTGGACACTGGGCTGCATTAACTGCAGTAGTTACTGTTCAATTCGCAGTTAACAATAGCTCTGATTCCTTCAACTCTTACTAGTAGTGAAAAAGTCCCATTTGACTTGGATGTTTATGAATAGAGAAGAGAAATACAGTTATGAGTTCTATGGACCTGATTCAATATGTATTAGTTTAAATAAACCCAGTGATTTGCTCACGTTATTAATGACTACTAACAAGAACTGAAACTACAGGAACTAGGATAAGAATGAAAATGATGAAAGCTTCACTGCTATGTTCAACATGTGCTAACTATAAAAAATACTACTACGGCTACAATGACAGAATATGATTCACTTCATAATAAAAAAATGTCTTTAAGCAAAAAATGGGGAACATTCACTTTAATCTTTGCAAGGTTTTCATGCATTTGGCAGTTGCTCGCAAAAAAAACCTATAAATTCAGCTTCAATTCATTACATTTGCATTACTGTCCCAAATTCTTCAATCATGTGAAAAGCAAAACAGAAAGAAGTTCAAAATGGGAAGTTTACAGTTGTTTCTTTGCAGAGGTCACACGAAAGGACAACTAATCTTTACACTTTAAGTGGTTTGAACAAATTTAAACAAATATGAGACAAATACTTTCCATGTGCACACGTCATGGACTCTATGGAGGCTTCAGTAACATGACCTTGAACATGAAGTGAACATGCACATAGTCCAATCTCATGCAGAACTGAGAGGGCACAATGAGGTCAGGTCTAAAGTTAAAGTCTGTCTGCCTGCTGAGAACTGCATGCTCATGCACACCATGCAGAGCTTAAGGGGAAACTACCTGCGTTAGGATGAGCTTGTCTACCAAAGATGGTAAATACTGGATGTTGTGAGAGCCCACCATCGCAGCAGGATTTCTCCCAGTGCTTCCGATGGCCTGTCTCACTACAATGTACAGGTCAATGTGTTTGTGTGAGAGAAAGATAGTGACAGCAGGTTCACTGCACACAGCTCTCCAATGAAGGCATGTTAGAAATTGTTTACATTATTGTGAGAAGTATAAAATAAACATTTGGTTTATTATGAAAAGATGGCAGGAGAAAGTATCGGAAACAGTCTAGGTAATAATTAGGTCAGACATACTGAAAGACCTTTTCACCGTATCCTGCAGCTCGAAAACGAGATACGCTATCATGTAAATTACAACAATATAAACATAACCTGCCCATGTGTCCAAAGCAAACACACTGGAAGCCTTTGTGGGAGCAGTAAACAAATCTACATCCACCTCTACGGAGGAAAAGGTTAGAATGCAAAGCAGGGGTCTATCACACAGGCTGATACAGCCCGCTGACGTCAACCAGATATTAGACTATGCAGTCACTAAGGTGACTGTAAGGCTGTGCCGTTAGACAGATGGGCATGGTGCTTGTATTACTAAACTATATCGTGGCAGTAAACAACAAAGGGTCGAATGGCCCGTGAATGTATTTCTGGGAATTTCTGGTAAAAAAAATATTGTAGTATTTGATTCAAAAATATTATTAACGCACAGAATATACAAGCTGTTTCAATATGTCCTCCACAGCCCTACCCAGACCAACAGGTGTATATTTTTCCATTGGGACCCATGTCACAACAACAGACAGGCCGATTCAGGCTAATGTCTGAATTATCCAGCTTCACAAACATAAACAATTGGAGATGTCATATCAGCGGTCACCATTCAGGGACTGCTTCCTTTAGAGGACTCGTAAGAACTCAGAACTATAAAATTCGTAGTTCAAGTAGACTGTGAAGGCTGAACCAAAATAAACCGTCTGGTCTCCTATTTGGGTCGCCAGCTTGTCTCGCGCTTACCATTGCATCATTACCAACTTTGAGCCACTGTGCCTGCTGCAGCTTGGCTACCAGCATAGCTGGGTTGTTAGCTTCCTCACCAACGAGAGATAAATCCGAGGCTAAGACGGCTCCACGAGGATCCACCCACTGAATCCTTCGTTTCTCGTCATTGAAGTCACTGAAAGGGGACAGCCTGGGTGCACTACTAGCCGTAACAGATACAATCAGTCTTCAAAGTGGCCTCTGAACCACAGCCATTGTCACATAATTTATATGAACGTGTTCTTGTGGAAGATGGATTGCCACGTGTCACAAAAAATTTTGTGCAACACAAAAGCTCCACAAATTATGGCTTAACAATTACCTCTGAGGTTTGGCAAGACTCCTGACAAGGTCAGACAGGAGTTCTTGTTATTGAACATTATGAGGTGTTATCTGTTGCAAGGATTTACGGTCACTGCTGTTTTAGGAGGTACTTTTCCACTGTCAAATGTCTTTTAAATAATTAGATGACCTCAAACAATACCCTTGATGTTACTTAACACAGGATCACACCCCGCCCCCGGATAATTTCACAATATTTACATGGGATTTATCTCCATTGATGAGCAATACTGTTTTTATCCAATCCATGTTTTACACTGAAGTACACGATGACCATGATCAGCTAACCAGGGCTATGAAATAGAAAGAAACCCTGATCCTTATCTGATGCAAAATTCAAAACAGAAATTATTTTAATTGATGACTTAATTACTTGTGCTTAGTTTCATACAGGTTTTACAGCCTCATTACCTTAACAAGTGACCTATTTGTTTGAATGTTTTGTCTCCAGACGACGTCACTCTTCTATTTTATTTCTTGAACCTTCGAATCTTCAAATTATTTTTCATATATGTAGAGAAGAATCAGTGTTAGAATTTTACATCACAATTATAGTGACCAAAACTATCATAGCTATCACTATTATGGCGTTGTTTTTAAAATGTGCGTAAAATGTTCAACAATTATTGATCAATAAACTATAGTAATCCCCCCAAATTTATATAGACAAAATATATATTATCAAATAAAAATTAGGATATTATTTTCCTTACTTATCTGAGGGTTAACGTTAAGTGCAGACATCAGAGTAGGGACAAAACATCAGCATTGATATTGGATATTAGCATTTTTTAGCTAAGGCCAAAAATAACTAAGAGTTCTCCTTCAGTAACAGCCCCCACCTGCCTGCCGCTCCTTACAACATATTTTTACAACACAGCAAATGCTGCGCTTGCTGCTTCTGCATCTTGGAGACTTGCTGACTTTGATGCTGGACAGTGTCAAACAAATCATCTCAGTAATTAAAGACTATCAGTACAAAAGCCGTCAGGTAAACGTTTCATCCCTACATGTATGCTCAGGTGGCACACTGATGACCACCTGGGACAGTTTTTGCCCATTTGAGTATATAACCAATTATTGTGTGAGCTGAGGGTGATGTGTGTGAGTTTTCTCTATGGTTTCCCACTGAGAGCAGGTGCTGTGATCGCATCTTCTAGACTGCTAAGTTGTTAAAGCTGTTTATGCTCTGCACCTCTGAAAACATGGTTTCTGAGAATCCCTATCAGGTAGTAGTGGACCATGTTGTCCTATTTCAGCTCTTCACAACCTGTCTGTTCAATCTCTGCTCGACATGGAAACTTTATTTAATTGTGGCAGAGACCTGTCTGAGTTTAAATTCCCTGTGTGTCTATAGTGGTTAACGTAAGAATAATTAATAAATACACCAGTTGTATCAAGCAGCCACATTGTTGTTTTATATTACTTATCAGTGACAGCACTTCCTTATTCGTTATCCATTGCAATAAAATCTTTATCTGAATGCTTTCCACTCGCTATGCACAATCTTATACAGCACTGATCAAAGGTTCAAGAGTATTTGAGCATCAGCTACTTGGATGAGCTACTTTGTTTTGAGTCTGGTGAACAGGAAAATCTCTACTTCTGTCTATTTTACAGAAATACTAGTTTTGCTATAGGTGTAAACAGGCAGTTCTGTTGTGTTGCAGTTAAAAACAGTAAATGTGAATAAATACAGCCTTACAACATTGAACTTAAAGGAAGTCTGAATGATGCTGAGCTTACAACAGGAACACATCAAAAGCTAACCTTTTCAATATGCTTCCTGACGATTATCCTACTGGTGTCCTGCTAGAATGAAAGCCGAGCCGTAAATTGCCACAGTCAAGCCCGCTGTGGGAATTAGAAATGCTGCGATGTGATTAGACAGATACGACGAGATGGCTGAATAATTTCCACTACTTGCGATCACGTGATTGTGATAGTGGAAATGGCGATGAGCTTGAGGAATGTTATTACTACCACCACACAGGGAGCTGAAATTGAAAAAAATGCCATGTAGGTAATAAAGAACACAACGGGGGAGTGAAGTGACAGGTATGAGACCACAAAACACTTTTAGAGTTTAGGGGTAAACAGCATTGCTGGCATATTGAAGTAACTGGGAGACCACAGCCGGCTCCGGGCTGAGGATAAAACAAGATAAGACATTTAGGATAAAAACAATGTGTAAATGACACCATTTCAAGTGCGATGTGAATGTCAAGGCTTACAGACACTTGGATGACACCACAGCAGCAGTATTGAGGCATTCTGTGTTTTTGTTCTTGTGTTCCCAGTTACTTCAATTGTATTGGATTTGGCTGCAACACTTGTTCAACCCTGAAACTCAAAAAGTGTTTAGTGGACTCAAACACTTTTCACCCACCAGCTCTAGCGGCACAGTGGTGAGTAGATCATTTTCATCTTTGGGTGTACTCTCCCTTTGAGTTAGCATCAGTCAAAGGCCATAATCATGAAGTTAAATATGAACACAAGGAACAGACCAGACTAACTTCCCTGTACGACTCTGGTAAAGATATGACAGTTTCCTGGATGAATGTGTAACAACCTCTCGATGCCTGGAATCCAACCTGACAAAGGTCAGCTCCTGCCAACCCGGGGAGCAAAGTGCAGCAGGAATGCCACCAGGGATAAGATCTGCTATGTGCTTCCTGATGAATGCTGGACTGTGCATCAGCTGCAACACAGCTCGACCCCGGCTTGGTGACTGTAGCTGCACATAACCTGTCATGACAGGAGTGGAGGACGGTGCAGTGGACACAGGCCTGGAGACACCGCTCCATGTTGTCAAGGATCAAACGAGGACTCGGTTTAAAAACAGCAGAGGAGCTGCAGCAGCGTGTTGTTCCACCGAACGCCCTGACTGCGCCGCGAGCTGCTGCACGAGCCACCAGACACCACACAGTCCACGGACACACACAAACACACCGACGTGATCACAGACACAGAATAAAACTAAAACCGTCCGGAGGGATCCCCCCTCCACCACCACCACCACCACCCCTGTGAACTTAGCTGTAGCGAGCAGCTAGCGGGAGGGTGAAGCTAGCAGCTAAGCTAGCCGTGGTGATAAAAGGCTAATAGACACACCGAGCTGTCAGACATCCAGGGTCCGTCTGACGAGGCGTCTCAAACAGCTCCGTGTCAGACCGACCCGGGCCCCACAACCACCGCTCACTGGTCCTGACAGCGTCACACCAAACCCCGTTCACAAATCTGTCAATTTAACGTGACCCCGCTGAAAGGCGACGGCTCAGACGTCACAGACGACGGGTCAGTGTTTCACCGACACTCGTCGGAAGAACGCATCGTTTCGGAGTGAAATTAAAACACAAACAGACTTAAACGACGGTTCGCTTCAGCTTTCTTTACTGGGGGACGCTCCTCGCCGCTGCCCTGCTCGGTGTTATCATGAGGCGGGGGGCAGCGACTGGAGGTCCGGGCTTTAGCTGTAGTTAACCTCAAGGTATCGCCTGAACCCGGGCAGCTTCCCGTTATGTGTCGGTGCCGAACACGAGCGTGGACGCGAGCGATGTCGCAGAGGACGCGTGTTATTTTCTGACGCGGGGACCGTCCGGTACAATCACCGCGGCCACTTAGACCGCTCGACCCCCGGTGCGTGGTCCGGGACGTGCTCCTCATATGCACCAGGTTAGCCCGATAGCTTCGGCTAAGCTAGCGCCGCCGAGGCGGATTTAGTGTGTTGCTCTGCGGCTTACCTCTCTTCACGGCCTCGTCATACGACAGGAACCCTATCCTCGACTCTTTGGCCCCCATGCTCCCTCATTTCACTGCGCGGAGCGGAGAGAGGAGCCGAGCGGACCCGGGGTGTTTGTCTCCTTATCCATTTATTGTGAAATCGGTTCCTGGTGGTGTGTGTGTGTGTGTGTGTGTGTGTGTGGTGAACGGGTGAATGTTTTCAGCGACGCCTCCACTCTGTCACATGATCGGACTCCACAGGTCAGTTGATCCGCTCCCCCCCCCCCTTGAACCGGAGAAGTGACCGGACACCGGTCGGTTGTTGTCGGTTGTTGTCGGTTGTTGTTCACGTCCTCTTCTTCTACGGTTTTTTTTTTGTCTCCCCCTCTGATTTACAAAGTGTAAACATTTAGATCGATGACGCGCTCTCACGCCGAGCTGTGAGTGCGCGTGGACACGCACAGGAGTGTGAGTGGCGCCATCGTGTGGCTGCTGCTGCATCACACACAGACACACACTCCGCGTTAAAGCTTCAATTTCACTTTTTTCTCGTAAATTTCAATCGTAATTTAATTAATGTGCGCGTAGACAAAGACCGTGACTTTCATTCATTCATTACATTCATCTGTTTACAGCCTAATTTAATTGCACACAGTCCTGTATCCCCATCTGTAGTTATTTCTCATGTCTGTATAAAACATTTTTATTTCTACAGCTACTTTCTAGTTTTTGTATAGACGATTAGCACGGGTTAACTTAACACAGTTCTATATTTATGTTCTATGCACATTTTTTAACTTTAATATTTTAACTCCTGCACATTTTTGATTCATCTGTATATATTTAAATCCTATGCAAATGTTTAATTTCTCTGTAAAAGTTTAATTTTGCTACAAATGTTTATTTTGATTTAATTTCCCTTAATTTCTCTGTGAGCATTTAAATGTACATTCATCTCAGGACAATTTCAACGTATGGTTACTGTGTTATAAGTTGATTCTAATGTATAAGTTAACTCTAACGTATGTTTACTGGATGCTTGAATTTCCTGCGGGAACAATAAAGTCTCTATCTATCTCATTTCATCCAGGTGCCTCGTTTGCCTCCTCGTGTTTACATCGAGGCATTGCACCGCCGTCTATAAGCGTCGCTCAGAGGCTGTGACGAACAACAGAAGCGCCCACGGTCGCGGCTCGTCCCGGTGACAGCACCTGAGGACGCTGCAGGAGGACGTGGACACGTCAGAGGGTTTATTGTGCCGGTTGTATAAACCTACAGATGTGGACTTACATGGACAAGCTGCTGGATGGAGATGGGACTCCACGTGTTGCTGTACTGGCCGAATATTATTGGTGGGAAACATATGTTGGATTATGAGGAAGTGCTCTCTGTATGTGGATGTGACTGTAGTTGTTTATGTGGACTGTGATGTTGTGATGTGAATCCTCATCTTGAACTTCTTATGTCACAGAGTTCACGAGGGATTTGTCTCGGTTGTTCTTTTGTGTCTGTCTCTTCCAGGATACATCAGGATCGGCCTTGTGTTTGCTGCGTGGGCTTCCTCTGAGACACCAGCAGCCTTCGTCCCTCTTTACTCGCTCTTCATAGCACTTGATGGTGACGTAGCATGTGTTTAACTCGTTTGACACGTAGCTCCAAGTTTTGTTTGCCTCACCTGCAAGTCATGGTGCATCCTGTCACAACTTATAAAAGATTCAAGTTCAAAGTTTGCTTTATTGTCAATTCTGCAAATGTACAGGACATGTGTAGTATTGAAACTGCGAGACTCTCAAACCCATGGTGTTTAAGCAAACATTGAATAAACAATAATAATAAAACAATAAACACTAAATTGTGGAATCGGAATGTAGTGTAACCGTGTGTAAAACTATAAACAGTGCATAGAAGTGTAGAAGACCATGTATTCTAGTGCATCATGTGTTTATTCTTAATGTGTTCTATGCAGGAGTGGATGGGTGGCTGGCGAGGAGGCTGGGCCAGAGCTCCAGGTTCGGGGCCTGGCTGGACGTAGCGGTGGACAATCTGGGGAGAGGGATGCTGTGGGGCCTGCTGTTCGAGGTCTGGTGACTGCAGCACATTCAACACACACACACAGCGCTGTATACACACATTCACACCAGGTGTTCACTTGAAATCCTGTAAATGAGTCTCTCTAGATTAAGATTTTAAATCAAGTCTAGAACCACACACACAAACACACGTGAGCCCTTTCATTCAGAATGACTAACACAAAACATTTCTGCAGCTTTCCCCTGTTTTCTTACAAACTCTTATAAGTTGATAAAATGACAGAGACAGTATTTTCATGTTTAACACTTTAAAAAAATTCAATAAATGAATATTATAGTTTAAAAAATCCATTCTCCAACTCAAACCATGACCACCAGCTCCACACATACACTGTATATAAAGATGGATGATATGACTGCTCCCCAAAAGTCTCTTAATGGCCCCTGGTGGTTGGCTGCAGTATTGGAAGTAAAGCTCTTTACTTTTGATTCATCTGTCTCTCACAAGTGTCCCACATTTTAAAAAGTGTGACTGGAGTTCTCTCAGGAAGAATGTGAGTGAAGTTTTGGAGAAACAGACGTAAGAACTTCAGGTGTGTCATTAGTGCAAAACATAATGTACAGGTATTGTTCTGAACCTCATAATGTTGTTGTCTGTTGTCATTTGTGTGTGTTGTTGTCTAGTGGGGTTGGCTGGTGTCTGCACTGGAGTGGTGTGTGTTTGTGTGTAACCACAATCCCAGAGGCGTCCACTGGAAGAACAGCTTCACCAGCAGCCCTCGGTTCATTCAGGTCGTCATGGCAAACGGTAACATTCTGCTGCTGTACGTAAATGTGCAGATCAGGTCTAATCTCAGATTGTGTAAATTCATTTGAATGTATGTGCTGTTAGGGTTCCGGACACCACTGGGCACATGGGTGGTGAGCGGGCTGCACTGCCTCCCTCTGTGGCTGTATGGTTATCAGCGGGGTTTCCTGTCTCACTGGTTCTATCTACCTCTCTGGACCCAGGCCCTGGGGACCGTGCTGCTGGCTGCAGGCCGCTTGCTGGCTCTGTCTGTGGAGGTGAGAACTCGTCTTCAAACACCCAATCACCTGCGATGATCAGTTACATGACGACACGTGTTGAAGAGACATGTGGTTGCTGCTCGGTTGTAAAGTTGTATATGTACTGCCATCCTTTTACTCTGCAGGTCTGGTGTTTATGGACACACATTGAATATCTCACTAACGATGAGCCGGAGGAGAAAAACAACTGAAAACCTCGACTTTCACTGTCCCGTCTACACCCTGATGTTATTCCATTACTTGTAGATGAACAACGGACAGGATCACTGCTCTGTGGTCACATGAGCTGCATTTTAACTTTTTGTTCTATTGAAGAAATGTGTTGTCATTATATTTTTTTGAACCACCATATTGAATGTATCAGTCAGCAACATCTGTATCTGTACCTTTCACTTATTTATACTTTAATAGGAATTCAATGTATATCTTGTAAACATTTTTTTTATGTATATATACTTTTAGCTGTGACATTGTTCAAAATGCATTGTGGGTATTTAAGCTGGTGACTCTGCTCTTAAGTCTAAGGAAGGGCCTTGTGCTCGAAACGTCCCTGGTGGTAAATCAATCCTTCAGGATCTTTGGATGTACAGATTTCTTTTTTTTAATGTTTACTCGATCCAGCGCCCATGAACCAATGATTTTACTGGATGTAGGTGTTCTTCTAATTGTGTGATATGAAAACAACCAGCTAAACTCATATTCACACGTACAAGCAATTTAGAGTCTCCGATTAACTTGCGTTATTTTTGGATTGAGGGAGGAAGCTGGAGAAAAGCCGAACAGTCACGGGAAGAACTCCTTCTGGAAACACTCGAACTCGTAACCACCTTCCTGTGAGGCAACTGTACTGACCCTGTATGGTTTAATTTCTAGGATGTTAAAGGTGCGAACACAAGAGAGATCCATGTGGTGATTGTGATCAAGGATACATTTTAAGTTTTAATGTTTTTGCAGCTAACAGTGAAGCAGTAACAAGACAACAGTGAAACATTCCCTCATCACATTTGATGTCAGTCACCTCATCTCAACTCTTTTGAGAGAGGAGAGATCACAGCTTTATTTAACATTTGTCCAACGTCCACAGCAAGCCCACACCCTGACCCACCACCCCTCCTCCAGCCCTTACAACTATTTCATTCCCTTTCAGATCTCAGTAGATCACAATGACAATTCCATGTTGTCAAGTCAAACCCTGTCTCCTACATTCCACCAGTCAGCTGATTTATCACGGTCATATTAAAGGAAAGACACTCTCAATACATTTAAACACTGCTTTAAAAACACATGTCTGAGTCCATCTTTTTAAATGTTCTCTTCTTTTTCCTGTCGGCCAAACAGAATATGTGACATCGTGGTGAGACACTGATACTTCAGCTTGAGTATGGAGAGAAAACACTTCATGTCAAAATCAGTGGAAACAGGAGCTTTGTTGAACTTTTACAGGTGACACAGAGAAATCTTTCTCCGCCACAGACCAGGAGTCTCTTGCCAGCGGGTAACCACAGCAGCTCTAACAGACCAGACTGCAGTTCAACAAGCAGAGAAATGACCTTTGATTAAAACACAGTCAGTGTAGCAGAGGGTGAGGCAGAAAGAACACAACAACAGCTAGTATGGAATTAACATATCTTAACCATGTACGAGTATCTCAGGCTCAATTTTCCCCCATTCAATTTTTCTTCATAAGGACAAGATGGGAATTGACCATCTTGAATCTTGAACTGCTTCACTTGCCACAACAATGTGTCATTTAAAGGTTTCACTGGAATAATGAACTGGATGTTGAGGTGCAGAATCGTCTGATAGGCTGAGACTGAGGGAAGGAGGGAGAAGAGGATGAAGGGATGAGAGGGAGGGAAGGAGGAAGATGAGGGTGAGGTGGGAGAAGAGGATAAAGGGATGAGGTTGAGAGGGAAGGAGGGAGGGAGAAGAGGATGAAGGTGAGAGGGAGGGAGGGAGATGAGGATGAAGGGATGAGGATGAGAGGGGTGGAAGTAGGGAGGAGAGGATGAAGGTGAGAGTAAAGAAAGGAGGGAGAAGAGGATGAAGGGGTGAGGTTAGGGATCAAGGTGGGAGGGAGAAGAGGATAAAGGGTTGAGCAGATGAGGTTAGACAGGAGGGAATGAGAGTGAAGAGGATCAAGGGATATGGATAGGGAAGAGCAAAAGACAGAGAAGAGGATGAAGGGATGAGGGTGAGCGGGGGAAGGAAAGAGACGAGGGCAAAGGTAGGGGGAGATAAAGGGATGAGGGTAGGAGATAGAAGAGGATGAAGGGATGTGAGTAGGCGGGAGGTGAGTAGTGAACGCCCTCAGGTTTACATACACTGTACAAACGTTCTGTCACTGAAGGGGGTGGGGGAGTGTTGGGGGGGACTGTGCCTGTTGAAGCACCGTGAGCGGAGCGTCCTTTAAGGGGACTAAGGCTGGACCTCCTCAGCTGGACCCACTGACTCACATCACTGCTCGAGAGGGAGACGTCCCACAGCACTGAAGCAACATCGAGACAAAGCTTCATTTCTTCATTCATTAAAAAAACAGTGGGGGAGGTGAAGGCATCATTTTCAGTAATGTTGCAGATATTAATGCCTAAATCTGTTTTTCCAGCTGGACTCACACATTCTATCAGGACGCAACGGCTCAGAGCAAAATCTCATCAGTTATTTCTCTCTGTAACCACTGTGTTCACGACTCTAGAGCTACATTCATTTTAATTTAGAATTGAATCACATTATGATTTTACCTTGAATTGATTTGGTTCGAGTTACCCAGCTATGATCACCTCTGACAGTGTGAAAGAGAAACAGATGGAGCTGGACTGATGAAATCTAATCCACAGGTGAAATGTTTAAGATATGTTTAGTGTGAGTGAAATTCTATGTCAACCATATGAATAACCAATTGGTTAATATTGCAGATTTTGTTTATGCTATTTGTTTATGTAAAATTAATGAATATCAGCTGATACAACATTTCTCTGTCATAAATTTGAGTGAACAGATGCTTTAAATTTGACACGGACCAGCAGCTGTAGCTCAGCAGCAACATGAATCGGTGGGAACGATGATTTGTACTGAGTAAGTGAACGTCACAGCTTTAAGAGCTGAACCGAGACGCTTCAGCTGTGAGAGGAAACAAAAGATGAGATTCTGGTCATAAACACTTTGGCTGATGGAGGCAAGAAGAAACAGTCCAGTAAAAAACATACATGGAACCTTTCATTTATGGGATATTAGAGTGGAGAGGAAAGGCCAGATGCACAGATACACTCACACCACATTATTGGTCCCCATTGTTGTGCCCTTAAGGGTGTAAGTTTAATTAGCACTTAGAAGTATGGGTCCGTCTACAGACAGATAACTGCAAGCTGGTGTAAGGCTGGTAGTCATCAGTGGAGCACTTGAGCACCCAGAGTTCTATCTGTGAATACTGACACACACACAAGCACGCACACATACACATGCACACACACACACACACGAAGCAACACCTTCACATGAACACAGATGGGGAGGCTTACAACCTCTGTACATGTAGCGTCATCCTCTTTTCACTCCGAGTCACGTCCCTTGATTTTAAAGAAATAGTGTCGACTTGTTTGCTCAGTAGGGAAAGCATAAACAAAGGGCTACATACACACACCTCTGCATATAAGTTATTGGCATTTTAATGATGCTATGTCAGGACTACGCTGGAAAAAACAGATAAAATAAATTGAAAACAAACCTGTGACCTGTTATGTGTGTAACAATTCACCCACTGGTTCAACACATTCCACTGTTTAATCTCTCCACCAAGCAGTTCATAAGAAGGTCCACTTTCATTTCCTTGCAAAGAAAATAACAAAGAAGCCTTCAACTGAAATAGAAGTGTACAATCTGCCGTATCATTTCACTGTACAAGTGTCAAAAATATCAGACAACTTCCATCTGTGATCCGATGAGTTATGATGCTGATGGATGTGAGCTGAAACACATTTCTCATGTGGGGTCCAGATGCTCTGTAACATACAATCCTGGAGAACATGGTTTTGATCTGAAATGAGTGTCATGGTATCAAGAGCTACTCCGGTTCAAATACAAAAGCAAAAATGTCCTCAGATTCCAAACTGAAAAGAAAAAGGCAAGCAAGACTAGCGAGGAGAAGGGGTCATTAGTCATCCTTGCAGGATGTTTGAGGTCTTTTGTAACCCCCCCACCTCAGTCATGGGTTCTTTCTCTTGGAGAAATGGAACAGTATTATCTGAGGTGAAGCTGCATCCTGTCTGAAGTTGCATCCTGGTGGTTTGTGTTGGTGTCAATGAGGTTTGACAACAGTGTCTTCTCTACTTATTCCATGACTAGATGTGTGTGTGTCTTGTGTACACACTGGCAGCTTGCAGTTGACCACACCAGCCAACTCACTTACCAGTGATGCTCGGATTTACTGTGTATTACTAATTAGTTGTGTGCCACTGAAGCATCACATTTGGGCTCATTTCGTGTCCTCACCAGCCGAAACCCCACGTGTCTGTTTTTCCTCTCATCACGTATAAAATCAGCCGAGACAGGGGCGGGTGGGGCCTAAGCTTTGAGCCAATAAGAAAGCTTGCACCACCTCCTGGGTCTGCTGGGGCGTCGTGTTGACATCCTCCAGGGCGTCTGCCACAGCAAACTGCCGGTCCCTCAGCCGATTCCAGTTGGACAGCACGTTGTGGTATTCAAACACCTTCTCGTAATTTCCCACTGAGTTGTAGAGTTTGATCAGGCCTCGGTAGTCGTACTCCAGCCCACTGTACCCCTCTCCAAACAGCTTCTTACCTGAGAGGACAAGGACAAGGACTTTTTACAGTCAATCAAAAGAATCATTTCATACTACTTACAAGCTAATCAGGATCTTTTTCACAACACTGGGTCCTGTCATGGCTTAAAATCTCCACATTTTCCATTAAGTGAGTAACGCAGTATCTGCTTCCTTGTAAAGAAAAGTAACACTGACCAATAGCGATGGAGCGCAGGTAGAGCCTCTCTGCGTCTTCATACTGGTTCATGTCGTAGTTGTAGAGAGATGCCAGGTGACCAACAGACAGAGCCACCTCGTAGTCCTCGTGGCCCAGGAGCTGCTCCTTGATCTGGATGGCTTTGATGTGCATCTCCTCTGCCTCCTGGTGAATGGTCGTCCGTATGACCAGGCACAAACACACAGAGACACAACATATGGAGGTATGGATGAAGCGGCTGAATAAAAATGTGTAGTGGGGCAAGTGCTGCATGGAATACAATAAATAATCTAAGTTTCAATAAATGATTTATTCAGATTCTTATAGCAATAAAATATCTCTATATTTATTGTTCTCAGTAAGGACCAAGAATGAGATCACGTGATCACAAAGACCAGTGGGGTGTTTAAATTTAACGTTAGACTTTTTTAAGATCCAACCTAAAGGGATTTCAGCTGCACCATGAGTTTTGTCACACTGTGATGTGCATTTATTCTAGTCAAGGCCCCAAAAAAAGCGTGGGTCGAGTTAATAGATAAAACGAGTTTTGCAAACCATCTTTATACATCTTCAGCACAAACCTTGAACTTTCTCATGGACTGGTAGAGTCGTCCTAAGTTGCCGTAGTGTTTGGCTGTCTGGACGTTGAACTCTCCGAAGGCCTTCTTGGCCAGCTGAAGAGAGGAGAGGTGCAGATCGTGAGCTTCCTGCAGGAGGCGCTCCTCTGTCTCTTTATTGTGGCAGTCGATGGCGATTTCCTCCAGGATGAGGGCTGGCAGAAGCAAAGAATGATGGGCAAATATTAGTGCAATTAGCAGTGATTGAGCCATGGCAAGTTAATTCACAGAACCCGTGATGTGCTATGAATCAAGATTATATCTGAGATGAAGCTAAAGCGCTCGTTTGGACAGAGCTGGAAACTATTATTAGTGTGTGGGCTGCTTGGTCACAGAGCCTCTCTGATACTTCCCCTCCACATGGTGGGCAGTGGTCCAACAACTTCTTACCTTTGACTCTTTTGGAGGAGGCCAGCAGCAGATGGTCCTCAGGCAGAATGTGAGTTATGATGTCTATGGCACGTTCTGCATGGAATCTGAGAAACAAACACAGCAGCTGACATAAATTATGTTTGCAACTCAACTAGACTAAAAACTGGATTCTATTCAGGAAGAACACTTCTGTGAAAGTGAAGTGTTGTTTTGAAACTCAAATTCCGAAAATGAATCAGGTCTCGGAGGTCAGAACATTTTCTCATTTTTTGAATGAGGCCCTTTGTGTAGAGAAATTCACTGAATTCAAATCACTGACTGATTCAAAGAAAATGCCAACATTTCCTGCTCGAGCTCTTTACCATATCACCACATCTACCTCATTGTCTACATGATCAGTGCTTTTAAATATATTTGTAATGGCACACACCCAAAGCATACAGCCACATTACATGAACACCAGTACAGTGAGACAGAACAGACCATCACAGTGAGTCATTATCATGTGCTTCCTCTACCATGGGGTTCATGTCTAATGGAATTAGCTGGCTGGTGTAAGAGCTGTACCAAGTTTGTGAGATTCATTGTACTCACAGAGCATTGTCAAATTTCCCAGAGCTGTACTGGTGCACGTAGGATGAGTAGGCCAGGTCTTCATGGGCTGTGGCAACGTGGATGTTCTTCCCCCCAAACACGGATTGTCGGATGTCCAACGCCGTCTGCAATTTGTACAGAGAGAAGACACTTTAGATCAGATACTAGTAAGTCCACAATATTTTTAAAAATTTATACAGTTATATTTCCAATGGTTCCTCTTACCTGGTAAATAGCCACTGATTGACATATGTTGTCAACATTTAATAGGTAAAATCCATAATCTAGTAGCGTGTCCGAGTACTTGGGATGCTTGTGTCCAAAATGTTCTCTGTAAGACACCACACATTCAGAATCCACGATATACACATCAACAAGAATATTGTTGACACTTATAAGACACAGCAGGTTACCTTGCCAGAAACACTGCATGTTTGATCAGCTGCTCTGCTTTTCTGAACTCTCTCTTCACCACGCAGGCCTGCAGCAGAAACACAAGGTCAAACTTGACACTGACTCAAAGGATTTCCTTTTGATGCTGATGTATAGTTCTATGCAGACACTGTAGCCCCAGCAGTGACTTCATAACATTTGTCAAAAGAAATAGATAAAAATCACTCTAAATGCTACCTTGGAGGCTTGCCGGAGGACATCAACCACTACTTTGACAGGCAGCCCTGGAGTTATTTCCTTCATGGCCTCTATACACCACCTGTATGCCTGAGACACAAGGATGAGTTACATATTTCTCAACCCCACCATCACACGGTAAAACACCTTCACTACACATTTAGTCAGAGAGAGTTCAAGATACATACCTCATCATAGTGGCTTTTGGCGAAGAGCAAGGCACAAAGCTCGCCATAAAGCGCAGCCTTATTGGCCTGATGGCCATGTTTGGCTAGTTTGTCCATGTAAGACTGAGCAAGCTTGAAGGTCTCCTCCCCCAGATGGTACTTACAATTACCATTGCGGACATGAAGCAGCCTGTGTAGACAAGACAATAAAACTAAGTGACAATCTTAGGTGTGGCTATCCTATGTGTTTACTGACTTTAAATATAAAAACAGCAAAGATCTTTAAGGAGCCTTTTTTTACTGTTATCTTAAACCGCCAATGTATTGATCTCAATTAAAGGACTCATAGAGAAAAAGTGCTGCACATAGAGGCACTGTATCCACCATTTGTGTGAATGTAAAACTGTACTGTAAAGCGCTTTGAGTGGTCAATAAAAATAGAAAAACACTATATAAAGAGAGATCATTAACTTGTAGAGAAAGTAAAAGAGCAGTGAACAGATGCTCCCGTACAGATGCTGCTTGATGGCACAGTTTTATGAGTTTAGCAGTTCAGGCTGACTTGGTAAAATCTTTCCACTTATTCCAGTCTGAACTTATTAACAGCTCTTATCAGCCATTTCTTTATCTAATCTGCAGATCGAAGGGATTCTAATCTGATGCAACTACAACTTTGAAATAATTCACCAAATTTGTATCCACACCATTAGATTTACTTGAATGTTACTATTTATTTTTTAAATAACCACCTGTTAAGAAATGCTCTATGTGGGTACCTAATGCATTTCTGTAAAGGTGTATCAGTTGAAACACAATCAAACTATAGAGGCTGCAGATACAGTGATTGAGAGAGACCAATAAAGATGCTTTGTCCCAAAACATAAAAAAGATTTGGTTGGAGATTGTGAATGAAGCAATTTACACATTCGAATGGTCTTTAAATTAAATTATTGGTTAGTATAACCACACAATGTCCACAGCTTTTTTTTTGACAGACCTGACGCAGCATTCTACAGCCCGGTAGCAATGGAGGACCTCACTGTGGAGCGTACACAGCTGCAGGCACGACAGAAATACTTTCTCTGCATCTCCATACCAACCCGCATCCGACAAGAATCCACCTGGAATCAAAGAGCATCTGATTACTTCAACTGGGTCAAAGTGTGCGTGGTTTGAGAAAATGTTTACTGCATTAACAATTATTCAGGTCCATTCATTCTTTCAGATTTTATAATGTTGCAGCTTCATGCTAAAAATGCTTTATTCCATTTTTAACCCACATCAATCCACATTAAATTGAGCTGATGTTCCCCCAATTTCTCTTGATCATCACTGAGATGTTTCTACACCTTGATTGGAGTCCACGCTCTTGTAAATTCAACCTATTAGACATAATTTAGAAAGACACACATCCCCTGTCTATATAAGGTCTCACAGCTGACAAGAGATCAGAACAGAAACCAGTGGTTTTTGATTTTGAAGAAGCTGCAAATACAGATCTCACAAAATATTTCTGCTGCATGAAATGTTCCCAGGGCCCTCCATGATTCTTGCATGAAAGAAGTTTGTAACAACCTTCATAGTGTTGATGCCAGTTCAAACTGAGAAAGGTCTGGACAACAGAGGTGACCATAAACCTATTTGTCACTCTGAGTTCCAGAGATCCTGTGTTGCAATGGAGGAAACTTCCAGAAGGACAACTGTCACTGCAGCACTCTAGTGATCTGGGCTTCATGTCACAGTGCTTAGACAGAAGCCTCATCTCATTGAGAGACACATGAAAGCACAAGGACTCAGACTGTGAGACACTAGATTCTCCGGTCTGATGAAACCAAGACTGCACTGTATGGCCCGAATTTTAATATTATACCAGAAACCAGGCACCTCTCATCACCTGCCCATCCCAGAAGTGAAGCATGGTGTCTGCAGCCTCATGCTGTGCATGTTTTTCAGCGGCAGAAATATAAATAATGGTCGGGGGTTGAAGGAAAACTAAACAGATTAAAGTACAGAGATATTGTATAATGAAAACCTTGTGCGTGCACACACAGTAGGACCTCAGACTGAGACTTAGGTTCAACTTCCATAAGGACAATCACCCTAAACACACAAACAAGAAAACACAGGAGTGGCTTAAGGACAACTCTGAGAGTGTCCTTGAGTGGCCCGGTCAGAGCCCTATGGCACAGTGTGGGTTACAAAATTAAGCCTCCTGAGAAGTTAGCGGAGGCTCTATCCCTGCTGAAGCCAGCTATTGATCTGGCCAGTGAAAAGCAGTAGCTGCTAAATGAAGGGCCTGTGGTCGGAAATAAAAAGCCAACTTTTCATTTGACCTAAGTAGTAACCCAGGCATCCGACCTAGATCAACTGCTGTGTTCACACATCAACTTCTCCTGGATTCTTACAGTCATTATACTCAGGTCAGGAGAATAAAATGCTCAGAGACTGTGAAACGTTTCACTCAGACATTTGCATTCACACATGCACCTCCTCTGGAGAAAATACGAAGGAACTTTAACTTTTTAACATACTTTTACCTATCAGTTAACCCCGTGACAACATCACTAGCAGAAATGAACGGCCTTACTCACTCAGCTGCTTTCAGAAATGCACTCAGCTCCGCAGAACCTCTGTACTTTCTCCGGAGGAGGTGCATGTGTGACAGAGTAAGTCAGAGTAAGAGGCTCTGGATAAGACTTTCTCCGCCTGGCCCCCTAGTATTAAGTCTGTATAAAGTCAGGAGAATTCAATGTGACAACACAGCCTGGGATTCCCCGCAATGGAATTTATACGTCACTTCCTGCCTCTGCCAGCAGCTCCACCTCTCGCATGAATAATGCAGATGATGCTGTTGTGTACTTGTCTGTGCAGAGAACCTCGTGCTGCATTGCACATGTGTGAAAATCAAATTGCGGGTAACATCCATAACCAATTGTTTACCCGCAGGTCATGTCTGAAAATGGCTATAGTGTCTCTGCATCTGTCTCCATCTTAAATTGTCTGTATGAAACCCTCTCTCCCCTCTCCCATTATTTACCCAGCACAAAGCCAAACTGGATGGCCTTCTCTTTGACATGGGCATCAGACTCTGCGATGTAGGAGCAGCGGCGGCTGAAGGAGTTGGCCAGAACTGAGGCAACCTTCACACCATGGTCCATTAGGGCCTGGAAACAGTGGTGCAGGAGGTGTCTGCAGTAAAGAGGACAAAGACATGGACCACGTCAGTTTTGGGAAAACTACAAGTCAGTGGTAATCAACACATTTGTTTATACATAGTTTACATTGCAGCATTTATAAAAAGAGAGCCATCAGGAATCTTGACAGACTGAACGTCCTATCAATGACTTACAATCGTATGACTACAGCTGTTCAGCCTGAAGTCGCAGGCTTCATTAACATTAAGCCTGTCAATGCAGTTTGAAACAACCCACAGCACACAGATAACATTATGAGAACATCAATAATTAACCTTAACCTCAGGCCTCCTTCACATTGTTCAGGGCTTTCATGTCTCACACCAAGGTCGCAACTTTCTGCTTTCACAGACCATTGCCCCTTTTTTTAAGAGAACAATGGCTGAGGAGAAGCCAGGGCTTATGCATTAGTGAAAATATATATAACCATAACCGTTGATTAACGCAGTTTTCAGTTAATACAGCATGAACTGCTATTTTAATAGTCTGTTTAATGGACTACAAAAGCTGGGACCCTTTTAAAAAAGAGCTGATGGGTCCTTGTGAAAGGTAAAAGGTTTCAGGCACAGCTTAGTCCCATTGTGTTTTTACCTTTTGTCTGAGGCCCGTAGAACTTTAGCAAACACCTCCAGCTCACAGAACTCTCCTCCGAGCTGGCAGAGTCGGCCCTGCTGATAAAGCTGCAACACAAAGAGATGGAGTTAAAGGTCAGCATGAGTCTCACTGACAATGATCCACATGTCATCTCTTCCATTAGTGGCACAATGTTGAATCCATTGGTAATAACTGATCTGATCAATGAGGTTAAGATGTTACTTCTTCATTCTACTTTCTATTATGGGTGTGTTTTAAGTTTAACTTTAGTAAATGCTGTGTGCTGTTCAGGAGTTCAAACAAAATAAATTGCTGATGTCTAGCCTGTCATCAAAATGCACTGAGCTGGAAGTTGTTATATTCAATGGATTTCTGTGGTGGGGTCTCTGGGGGACAATACCAGTCTCAGCTGTGTCTCTCAAATGCAGTTATTGGGTCGAGTCTCCCTTAATAATAATCTCCCTTTAATCCAACCCACAGATGAATAGATGACTAGTGACATGTCTTTATTCTCTTTGTGCCAGTGTAAAGTTCCACGTTACTTTGGAGCCCAGGCCTTAAAACCCAAGTTACACTGGCTGATGAGCAAAAAATGGTTCAAATCAATATCTATGCTTCAGCACACATTGAATCTGGAGCCTCCTTTTAACCAGGGTAGAGTACATGTGGGAATATACCTGGTTATTCAATAGTTCCTATCACACATGGTTATTCTGTTCAGTCAGCTAGTTTGAAAAAGACTAACAAGATAAATAGGGACAGAGACAGTGAGAGCCAGCAGCAGTTTATGTAAGTTAGCAAAAGAAAGTGAGTGAGAATGAGACATCAGGAAGATAAAATGAAACAGGCTATGCTATGTTATGTTACACCTTTTACTTGGTAAAGCACTTTGGTCAACCAAGTTGTTTTTTATGAGCTATATAAATAAAGTTGACATTGACATAATGTCTTATTTTTTTGTAATGTATGTGAGTAACTGTGTGTGTAACTGTTGTAGTTTCATGTCTTTGTAAATAGTGATAACGAGAGAGTAACTTATATTATTAGTCCCCCACTGATATATCAGAAGGTTTCACAATATATTATACACCTCATTTAACAGTTCCAAGAGTTACAGCAATTCAGTGTGACTTTGTGTACGTGTCCCACCTGAATGAGAACAACCAAACAAAAATCTGTATAAAGTCCTCAACATACCCAAGTATGGACACAGACTTGCACAACTTGCAAACTTGTTTGTTGCATTTGGCTAAAAAACATAATAGGAAATAAACAGCACATATGTGGTGGATGAAGCACGAGGCTGCACAAGGTCCATGTGGATCCTTATTGACCTGGACCGATGACCATCACAGCCACATAGATGTGGAAACAATTAATTGGATTTGAGTGAAGAAGACAGTACAGGTGATTTAGGGTTGTCAGTAATATCTATCTGACAGGGAATCCTAACAAATCAAAAACTTACCAGCTGACAACTTAACTACAAAATCATTTTACCAAGTTTTGACAGGATTTTCTAGTAATTTAAGGCCTATTCAGAATTTAGCTGAAAGAAGTTTTATTTCACAATGACATTCACTCCAGTCTGACATCTAATGATGTTTTCATGATCATTAATAAAAACCTGCACTTTCTGCGTTAGGAGCTATGGATGAACCTCAAATGACCAGAGACATAGTTAAAGCTAATGGCATCTGTTTTCTTTGGTGAAGGAAACTGAGAATCTGATCACTCTGGAACTTAGTTTGACATTTCATTTACAACATGTGCATTAGAGGACCCGGTAACTGGTGAGTGTTTAGCATGAGCAGTGCTCGCAGTGTTCGTGACCCCAACCCTAACCTACTATCACAAACCAGGGTCCAAAATGTACACACACTGCTCTCCAATTCCATATAAAGGTTTATACAGGTGAATAAAACAAACACTGGTGAGTAGCTTAAATAAGCCGACTGCTAAACATCAGTAAAACACGACCCTTCGAAGTAGATTGACTAAGTTTCGCTATTCATTGATCTACCCTCGCTGTCCACGTCACTGTAGCTCAAGAGAAGCAATCATATCTTATTGATTATATTATTTTTGGAGCCAGGTGTCGAGCTTAACCAAGTAGTAAGTACAACCTGTAGTAGAGTATGTGAGCGTACAATCCCAGTATCTTCTCAGAGAGTTTACACAGGTAAAATTTAAAACAATTCAACTAATCAGTCATTTAATCCAACATCTTGGTGATCTGCCTGGGCTGTCAGATATTTAGGTGAGAGGTGAAAACACACCTAAGGTACAAGTTGGGTTAGCTTAGCTCTTATCCCAGCGCTCTTCCCTTTTGGTAACTACTATAGTATAGCATGAGCTTATGTACACACCTTATTGCTGACTTAAGTAAAGTGACAACAGCTAATGGCAAACACTGTGACAACATAAAGGTTTTTCTATCACACACAGGAGAGACTCATCCCCACGTCAGAGACTTGCTGATTGAAAAATAACTCACCTACATTTGTTGATATAATTATCAAGTGTTTGCTTGCCTCTATAGACACACAGAGATATCAGAGTAGAGATGGCAGATACAGAACTCACAGAGAGAACAGAGAGGAGGAGAGGAGAGAGAAAAAGATGAGACAGAAAAAAAATCCATCCCTTTGTTGTACCACACTTTAAATGGCAAGTTTCAAATCCAAGTGTCAAAAAGTAAATAGACTTAAATATATACATGAACATATTCCAATTGACAATGTGTTATTGTGTAAACCCCTCACACTCACAGATGTGAGCGTGCATCCTACATGAGCATTGTCCCTGGCTGTGTGAATGAGGCCTATCTCAGAATGAGGTGTATTTGACCGTGCGTTTCCAGCTATAGATTTCCTGTGGCTGACACCTGAAAACCAAAGTGTTCTCCTCAGTACTCTGAGTATTTCTTCAGTCCTGGCCGAGGCCCAGCTCAGAGCTCAACAAGCAGCCCTGTTTACACTTCTCTCTTTTTTCTCTTTTTTTTTTAATGTGACAGTTAACCTGATCAAATGTCACGAGAATGAACACAACAGTGTTCAGATTGGTTTTGTAATAAATTAATATTTAAACTTGTCTTGGAGAAATCAAGAGTTACAACAAGTATAACTGCCACGAGAAAGGCTCCTTGAAATAAAGTGGGTCAAACGATGACCCCCCCCTCACAAACAGTTTACATGTGACAACACGGACACTTTTCATTTACAGTCTCCGGTGGAATTAGCCACAGGATCGATGCCACTGAGGGATTCACGTCGAACCCTTCGCTGTGCAGGTGAACACCCTAGCTAGCTAGCTAGCTACCACGACTTTTAGAAAAAATAAAGGCACGGTGATCCAACAGTTAGCATTAGTCAGCTAAACCACAGAAGGCAGTTTCTCATCTTCACGAGCTAACGCATACTGAGCTAACTGTTAAAGCTAGCAGCTGATTAAATGCAGTCCGGTGGCCGACACACCTCGAGCCCGAGCGGGTCTCACCTTATAATACACGTCGAACTGAATGTTTTCCGGCAGGGACCGTATGTCCCTTCTGGATCGGCTGTAGTTGTCCACCACGGCCGAGATAGCCGTGTTGTACAGTGTCTCTGGGATCCATTCGAGCTCCACCGCAGCCATGTTGTTTTCCCTCTCCAGAAGAAGCCCAGCCGCTCCAGCCGTCCCCGGCTCTGCCTACATCAGCTGCCTCACTGCGACGGAAGCTCTCCCTCCGCGGGTCCTCGCGCAGCATTCGCGTTCGAACGACGAGACAGTCGGGTGTTCGCACCGTCGCCGAGTCCCCCCGCTTACAGCCCGAGCAGCTCCTGCTCGATCTCCATCTCTCTCGACCCTCCGGCGGCTCCGTGCCCCCGTCCCGACGCTGACGCACTGACGTCATCGTGCAGTCGATGCGGAAAATAAAAACCTTTTTACACTGAAAAGAAGAAATAAAGTGATGTTTTCATGAACCTGACACGAAATGTGTGTGTTTTTTTCTGTCTTTGTTCAATGATACAACAATAATGGATGCAAGACATTAGAATGTGTGCTTGAGAAGGAGCCTAAGAAGGAGTTAAAGACATAATGTGACTTGTGTAGAAGTTTAAATGATTTACTGAACTGGTGTTATTGTTTCATTCTTCACGTGTTGGCTCTTTCAGAGGTGTGTTAAAGGTTCCGTGTGTAGAGTTTAGTGACATCTAGAGGTGAAGTTTCATGTTGCAGCTGAACGCTCCTCATCTCACCCTCCTCTTCCCAACATGACAGAAAACCTGTGGTGAACTTCAGCTGTCATGAAAACTCAAAAGGTTTTAGTTTGTCCAGTTTGAACGACAGTAAAAAAAAAACATGGCGGCCTCCACAGAGAGGACCCCCCCTCCATGTAAATATAAAGTTTTTTTTATATAAAGGACCCATTCTATGTTAAAGAAAACAACAATTCATACAGTTTAGTTGATTACACACCAGCGAAAACATCACTAGGATTATTTTATATTCAGTTCCTGCCAAATATCCCTTTCTCCTAAATCTTTCACACGGAACCTTTAGACAATTGACACTATCAATTCAGACCCCAGTTCGGAACTTTTCAAAATAAAGGCTCTGGTTTTGACCTGGGGTTTGACCCAGTCGCTGTAAATTATTAGAAGACCTCAGATAAGGTTCCGACTCAATTCGCTGACTCAAGTCACACGGCCCAAGCCCCAGTGACTGCTACAGAGCACTGGTTGCCTATTCATTAAAATTGTATTAATATTGAATATGAGCGACTGTACCTGTAGTTTGATACGAAGAAGAGGTTGTGGTTGTTCCCTGAAGTTCCTATCTTCTCTTTTATAGTCATCAGCATCAAAGTTCAATAATGTTGCTGAGGTGGGGCTTTCTTGTTTATTAGTTCAGGAACAGCAAAGCTCTGCCTGTCACACGGATCCTGTTCAACATCTCTGCAAAGGCTGACGCGTTATCTCAGTCAGAGTGATTTTCTGAAAACATTCCTGTCAATCTCTCCTGACTCTGCTGAGTGATTTAGACTGTGTCACTGGTGGCAGCTGATTAAAAATCTCCAACATCTGGTAATGACATTCTTCTCAAGAAGGGATATCCTATGGATCAAGGAATCTAAAGTCACTTAATTTCCACTCCATTGTACTTTTACCACTGTTTTTACATTATATTCTTGCATTGAAACATTGATTATAACACTAATTTCAAAAGTAACATGTGCACACCCGGGTGTCCAGAAAGGAAAGCAGTGAGTGAACCTAAAAACCCAAGAAATAAAGTAAAGTAAAATACTATACAGCTCTACAATGTACTGTCATTTTTTTTATTGTTTGTGTGCCAAGGTTTTTGTAAAGAGTCCCTTGTGCCCTTTGAGTTACAGTCACAAAGCCGGCAGATACACACTCTCAGGAAAAGTTACAGATGCTTTGGTATCTGCTTTTTTGGCACATTTTCCTCACAGTAAAATGTATTTATCATCTGAATTTGTTTTTTGCAAAAAAAAGACAGTAAAGCACTCTTGAAGTTGGTTAAACCTGATATTTAGACTGTTGAATTAACGTGGTTTAAAAAGTTCTACATCCTGGAAAAACTTAAATGCAATAAAATGTCGGTGTCTGTTAATGCCACTCTCACTCCTGTTGTCTTTTATGGATTTTTTAAAAGTTTTAAATTGTATTGCACACTGCAGTCAAACTCCAGCACAGTAGATGGCGGTAATGCACCTTTAACGTTAGAGGCCAGAAGAAGAAGAAAGAAAAAATATATAGGTGACGCCGGAAGCGGATGTGCAACACGGATTCTTTTACCAGACGCACATGCAGAGGGACGGTTATTGTTGCTCGAACACAGAATAATTTAAAATGATTTGCTTTATAATTTAAAATGTGTTGCGCGTTGAACGACACCACGGGTTGAACTTTTACTCTGAAGAAAATGGAGGCGAGTTTGGGGAGCGAAGTGGCCTCGATCGTGGAGGTGTCCATCCAGGCGGCGGTGTCCGTGTTCAGGGATGTTTGGGCGAAAGAGGCGCCAGACACGGAGTTTCAGGAAGCGAAGCTCGGTGAGATCCAGGAGATAGAGAAGTGTCTGGTGGCCCAGATCCACAAAGCGTTCACCCGCTTCTCCTCCGAGCTGTCCGAGGAGAACGAGGCTCTGCGGGCCAAAGTGGAGCAACTGGAGGACGTGCTGCAGAGGAAAGCCGGGCAGCTGGAGCAGGAGCTGGAGGCCAGAGTGGGTCAGCTGAGCCGAGAGATGGAGCAGCTGGAGAGAGAGCTCCGGAGCTTCAGGCACCGCGACAAGGCTCCGGAAGAAGCCGGTCACAGCCCACTGCCTGACGGATCAGTGATGGGTGAGAGACAATCAATCAATGAACTGACAAACCTCAGACAGACTGAATTTAAAACTCCATTCTACCAAAATCATTTACCTTTCCACTGTGGTGAAGTCAGGTTCAGGCTGTTTCACAATAAGTTCATGTTTGACACCTCTACATTGTTTTTGTCTCACTGTGACCCACTGACTCCAAATCAGATATTACTGCTACCAAACATAAACACACCTCAACTCAATGCAAAGCTTCCTCTTTTACTGCAGTTTCTAAATAATACATGTGGATTTCAATAAGACAATAGTATTATTAGTCTAGAGAGTCCATTAAGACCTAAGGTGCAGGATTAAAGCACACTCTAAACCTTAGTGTGAGAGAATAGTGTAAATAAGTTAATGATTTTCCAGAGACCGAGTGCTGTCGTCGTCGTCTTCTTCTTCTTCTTACACACTGAACCTTTAAAACAGAGGGAGGCAGCAAATCTTCACACCTGAGAAACTGTAACACGTCTGTCTTTGTCTATTTATTTTTGTCATTTAATTTGACCCTCCACCAGATTCAGCAGACAGCGAGGTCGCTGCCAGCTCCACGGCTGCTTCTACACCTGCAGCCGCCTCCATGATAGTGGGCAGAGTCTGCTCTGCTCCCACGGTGCTGTTGGTGGGTACCAACCAAGTTGTAACACAGGCCCCCACGCCATCGCTGGCTGTCTGTAAAACAATGGGAACAACGCAAGTGTTCATCAAACCAGCAACAATGCCAGAGTCTACGCATCAAGATGTCCCCAGTCCAAACTCCAGCACCGTCAGTGATCATGCCTCAGCCGAAGAGACGGTGGGTGTTATATTTGCCCGGAAGCAACAAAATCTGATATTTAAATGTCTCTCAGGCTTAACTAGTTTGGACCAGACATAATAATTAATTAATGAACGATTATTTTATTACACAACAGAAAAAAAGAGTACTGTTTTTAGAATTTTGCCATAGACAACCCTATTCTGTAATATGTAATGCCACTGTTACGGTTCTGACTGCGTCCTACTACCTTTTTAATTTAAACCATAATGATTTCCTTGTTCATCACAGAAATCTTTGGAAGAGGCTCCATCAGGGAGGCCAAGGAGGACGAGGAGATCAACTTATAAAATTGAAAAAGGTACCATCAGATTTCAGACTGTTGCTTTCCTTATTCCCTGACATTTAATCCATACATTGTTCCGTAAACGTTTGTTTTCTGGATCAGCATTTTTTTCCTATGAAATTATGTGGCTCAGGTAGTGAAGTTTTATTTTAGATAACTACAGGTCTTCAAGTTTTGCTTGTGCCCGAGGGAATACGTCATCACTCGATGACTCTTGTTTCAGTTTGTAAAGCAACTGGAATATCTAGAAGATATATCCCTCTTAACTATTAAATTAAAATCTTTAAATAATATCATGCTAATTGTGTGTATTTTTCTCATCCATTTCCAGTTTCTACTGACAACAGCTCTGAAGAGAAGAAAATCAAACCAGTTGGAAAAAAAGAGTTACAGGCAGAAAAGCGTTTTTCCTGCGAGCACTGTGATGTCAGTTTCCATTTCAAATGTGACCTGAACAAACACATGAAGGTTCACAAAAAGCCGTTTGCTTGTGACCAGTGTGACAGAAGTTTCCTGATGAAGAAGTCTCTGGAGAACCACGTTCTGCGTCATGAGGCGGGTAAAGTCCCGCGGCCCTTCCCCTGTCCACAGTGTAAACGATCTTTCCGGAAAGAGCAGTCGCTCCAGAATCACCTCAAGAGTCACCAGAGGATGAAACCTCCGAAGCCGTTTGTCTGTGATCAGTGCGGAAAAACCTTCAGACTCAAACAATCTCTGGAGAACCACCTTTTACGGCACGAGAAATGGAAGCAGATGCTGAAGTGTCAGCTCTGCGACAAGACTTGCAAGACTTCCGTCCAGCTGAAGTGTCACATGGCTGTGCACTCAGAGGAGAGACCGTTCAGCTGTGAAAAATGTGGGAAGGAGTTTAAGAGCAAAGACACTCTTCGCTTCCATCAGGTAGTTCACACAAACACCAAGAATTACAAATGCACAATGTGCGAGGAGACTTTTAAATACGCCCATTCCCTGACAGTGCATAAGAGGAAGCACACAGGCGTCACGCCGTTCACATGCACCGTGTGCAACAGGTCTTACAGGACGGGCACTGCTCTGAAGAGACATGGCATCGTCCACACCGGGGAGAAACCATTCACGTGTCACATATGTGGAGCGAGTTTCAGCCTGAATAACAATCTCAAGAGGCACCTTCGCATTCACACGGGAGAGAAGCCATTCACCTGCAAGGAGTGTGGCAAGAGCTTCTCAGACAACAACAAGCTAAAGTCCCACATGCTCATCCACGGAGCCAGGAAGCCATTCATGTGTGATCTGTGTGGGAAGACCTTCCTCTTCAACTGCAGGCTGCTGATGCATCAGCGGTATGTGCATTTCGACAGGAATGAAGAGGCCGACGGCACACAGAGACATTTGCAGACAAAACGACGAAACAAGGCTCTGGTTAAGCCATTCAGCTGCAAAATATGTCTGAGAGGTTTCTGCACCACTTATTCCCTCAAACTTCACGAACGAGGCCACAGTGAGCACAAGGAGTACGAGTGCGGCCTCTGTGGGAAGGCTTTCCACAACAAATACTCTTTTGGCTATCATCAGAGAAGCCACGCAGGTGAGAAGCCCTTTGTTTGTGATGTGTGCGGGAAGAGATTTTTCCATACTGCTAGTCTGAAGCAGCACGAGCGGATTCACACGGGCGAAAAACCGTACAAATGTGACCAGTGCGGCAAAGCATTCAGAACGGATGGAAATTTCTACAGGCACTTGCGGATCCACACAGGCGAGAAGCCGTTTCAGTGTGTGCACTGTCAGAAAAAGTTCCATCAGTCAAATCAGCTCAAGTCCCACCTTCAGATCCACACCGGGCAGAAGCTGTACTCGTGCCAGCAGTGTGGACAGGGCTTCTCTGACTCCAGGCAGCTGAAGAAGCACAGCTGTGACGGGTCATGTCATAGTGTGATGACCACCAGTACGCTCGGCTAATGACAAATCATGTGTTAACTACAGCCTGGCCGATATGGATTATCTGAGGGGCAGATGCTGATATTAAGGAGTAAAAATGTATTGTCCCAATATATTGGTCGGTATGTATATTCAAATAACATGTCTGTCAAGGAAAAACAGTCCCCTTATATCTCACAATGTTAAAGAAAGAGATAAAAATAGCTGGATTCATCTGCTGATCCAGATCCACACTGAAATTGAATGGATTTCCAAAGAAAACAGAAAAAAATTACCTCCTTGGCAGAAATACAAAATGTCTGATTCTTACGTCGTTATCAAACCCTTTTGCCTAACGACTAAGGATTTTAATTGAGGTAAACAAAACACAAATGCAACTTAATATATAGAAATTAGAGAAAGACATTTTTTTAAATTTAAATGCACATTCTGCATTGTTTATTGTGTAAAATTAACCTTACCATATTAGTGCACATCAGTAAACGTAAACACAGATAATAATGTTTGCGGAAGGCTCATGTCAGTCAGGCTCAAGTTTAACTTGACAAATTCATAAATGAAGGGAAAAAATATTCACTGAATCAGATAATATTATCTGATGTTGAGACTGGGTGCAGATTTATTTTTGAAATGAATCTGTTCTGGTTTTGGCAATAGTTTGAGTTGTTGAAGTTATTAAGTAAAAATACAAAACATTTGCTTATTATAGTTCTGGGCTCTGGAAACTGTCACTTGTTACAATTATTATATTAGATAAAAAAAATAAACAGCAGTATTTAATACAGCATTTGATAGAGGCAGCTCTACTCTCATCCAGAGCCTTAACAGTAGAGGTCAGCAGCGTTGTTTGTGCCATTTATTGGTTTCGTTTTTCTGCTTCATTAACCTTTGACTGTTAAAATAAGTTTTTACATTTATAGGAGACTGTGGCCATTCAAACAGCTGAAAGTTTGTGTGGTGATATATTGAGATGCCTCTGTAAATATGGTGAGGGTGATAAATCCCAGCTCTCGGTTTTCTCTTTAGCAGATGAGTTGATATTCAAGTGAAGATTTGGATCTTTTTGTGTTGTTTTTCTTTAATTTATATTTTGAGTTCACAACAATTAATCAAGATGAGGTAATTATTCTCTGAGTAAAACATGTGTACCGTTGTATGCATTCCTGCGACATATGTCCTGTTTCTCGTTACTTACTGAAATAAAAATAAGTTTGCGAATGAAGACGCTCTGAGTTTTATTTTGAAGTGTGTAGTGTTGTGGCTATTTCCGTTTCCGGCATCAATGGCGGCTGCCGTGCTGCTGCTCGTCTCCGGTTGAAGGAAGCAGCTGAGAACTCAAACATGTCGGAGACCTCGTCCGAGTTTTATTCAGAAACTCGCTCCATCATGGAGACGGTCTTAAAGGCGGCAGCGGAAGTGCTCGGAAACTTAAAGGAAGACGTTTCCGGAAGTGTCCGGGACAAGAGGCGCGAGGTGTGTTTGTGACGTGAGCCTCCAGCCAGTGTTTGTTGATGTTTCTGAGATCGTGTGTTCGGAGGAGATTGAACCGATGGAGGAAAACGAAGAAGAGTAACAATGCTAACAAGATGGCGGCGCGTCAGTTAGCATAGCCGCTACCTAACACCGACTAACTCCAGTTGTGAATAAATAAAACCTGGTTGCTCAATAAGCAACAAAACCACAACTTCTCAACACGAGTTTTTAAATATCTATATTTAAAATTAATTTTGCGTTAACATCTCAATCGACGTGTATTTGTTTGTTTAGCCCATATTCACTCATGATCATTCGTCTCAGATGCTAACAAGATGTGACATCCTCGGATCTTAATCCTCAACAGAAGTAAAAAGTTATTAACAGGGAGTTAAAGGTAGAAACGTCAGAGTCACACGTGAAGGATTCCTCTAATGGAAAGAAGTGTTTTAATGTTTCAAGTGTTTATTCAGAAGAAAATGTCTGAGCAGCGAATGAAGTAAGATGTTATCAGCAATGGAAGCATCAGGTTGCATTACCGCCATCTAGTGGCATGGAAGAAAGTTATATAGATAAATAGAAATATAGATACAGTATATAGATAGATAGACATATAGATAGATTTACAGACTGTGGTGAAGACAGACTGAAGAGGTCACTTAACATTCTATGCATTTTTTGTGATGTTTTAATTAATTTGACTCGCTTTGCATTATCAGTCTATACCAACATCATGTTTTTAATTCAGTATCATCTTTATTTTCATCCTCACAGTCAGACAGCATCCTGGAAATGTTGGCACGAGAGGCGACGAGAAAGATCAGCGCCATTTTCTCCCAAATGACCTCAGTGCTTCACAATGAAAACAAGTCTCTGCAAGCCAACATGGGACGGCTGGAGAACGAGCTGACAACCATGACAGAAAACTTTGCGAACGCCAGACTGTGGAGAGAAAACGTCCTGAACGGCTGCCCGGTACTGTTTGAGCAGAGTGGGCAGATTTTCACCTTGAAGCCGTTTGGGAAGTTAAAAAGAAAAGGTGATGATGTGATTGAGGAAGTCACAGAATCATCGCCGGCTGCTGAGACACTGAGTGAAAACGATGCTGGTAAGTTTCCATCAAAGAAGAAACCCACATGAAATATTAACAAGACATGAAAAAATAGAAAGTGGAGAGTTCAGGAAATACATTATTGTCTAGACTTTGGTTTTCTCCTCTTTTAATCTAGTTTTTAATTAATTAATCAGAGTAATGATTTTATGTGTTGACATTTTTTTTCTTTCCCGTGTAGTGCCTTTACTCTGGACATGTGTTGTAATGTTTATCTTGTTGAATCTGTGTAGATGCTGCAGAGGATTGTTCCACAGTGAACAAAAATACTGATGTCCACCACACACAGGAAGCAGGCGTCAAGAAGAAAGGGAGGATGTTGGTGTGTGACGTCTGTAACAAGAGCTTCAGCCGGCAGTTTCATCTGATGAAGCACATGAACACTCACAAAGAGCAGAGGCCTTTCGCCTGCAACCAGTGTCCCAGAAAATTCAGGAACACAGCAACATTTGAGTACCACCTGCTGCGCCATGAGGAGAAGAAGTACGCTGCCTTCCAGTGCCAGATCTGTGAGAGGACGTTCAAAACAAAAATGCACTTGAAGACTCACCAGCTTGTACACACAGACAAGAGGCCGTTCATCTGCTCCACCTGTGGGAAGGGCTTTAAAACCAAACACAACCTGCAGGCACATCAGCTCGTTCACACCACAGAGAAGCCGCACAAATGTTCAGATTGTGGGGAGAGTTTCAGATACGCCTTCACCCTTCAGTGTCACAAAAGTATTCATACTGGAGAAAATCCTTACAAATGCACAGAGTGTGGGAAGGCTTTTATAAAGAGGAGGTCACTGAGGACGCACCAGTCAGTCCACCGAGGGAAAAGGTTTACGTGTGAGACATGTGGAGCGGGTTTCACCCTCCAGCACAATCTGAAGAGACACATCCGAATTCACACTGGAGAAAAACCGTTCACATGTAAAGTCTGCAGCAAAAGTTTCATTCAGGAAAACAAGCTGAAAGCGCACATGCTTCTTCATGGTGCCTCAAAGTCGTTCATGTGTGACCTGTGTGGAAAAACATTTCTGTACAACTGTCAGCTGCAGAAACACCAGAAAGTGACTCATGATGAAAGACACGGGCTGGTTGTTCGGAGACGGACGCAGGAACGAGGAAATCGCACAGTTATCTATCGACGGGACAGGACCACAGTGGATGTGACGCCGCTCAGCTGCAAGACCTGCCGCAAGAGCTTTGACACTACGACCTCACTGAAGAAACATGAGGTGATCCACACAGATCGGACACAGTACAACTGCCACATATGCGGGAAGTCCTTTTTCTACAAAGCCACGTATGACTACCATCAGCGGATTCACTCAGGAGACCGGCCGTTCGGTTGTGACATATGTGGGAAGAGGTTCATCATCAATCAGGCTCTCAAGTCACACAAACTTCAACACTCGGGAGAGAAGCCACATAAGTGTGAACAGTGCGGCAAGGCCTTCAGGATCTACACCAACTTCCTCCGACACTTACGGATCCACACGGGGGAGAAGCCGTACGCGTGTGAAGTTTGTGGAGTGAGGTTCAGGCAGCTCGGACACGTCAAGTTTCACATGCAGGTCCACACGGGAGAAAGACCGTATTTTTGCAGCAGCTGTGGACTCGGATTTTCAGATTCAAGGCTGCTGAAGAGACATAAATGTACTGAGAAGTATCAGAAAATGTTAGAGAAAACACACACAACGGTCTGAAGCGTTGAATCAGCCATGGTGCTACACTGCAGAATAAGACTTAACTCAGGTAGATCTCACACTTTTATTTCCTGCAATAACACCCAGACCTACAATTATATATTTAAAGATTTGTACAACCAAAGTAGAACCTGTTGTTGAAATAAAACTTAACACTACTCGTACCATAAACCCAAAAACGGATGAAAACTGTTGGTTTTCGCAGAATAACTTAATTCACAGTTGTGATTTTTTCTTATAAATAAAATGTTATGGTCTTTATAAGACTTGGGGCTTTCCTCCGCTCATTAAACTCTTAAAAAAGAATCCACGTTTCTTCTCGTTAATGAAACGGTGTCAGATTTTGTCAACTCTATGATTATTGTGCTCTTTGAAATGTCCTCAACTAAAGATTCTGCCAATATATAAAAACCTAAAAACTTTGAATTTGAATAAAGGTTGCTTTAAAATATAAAACTCTTAACTTTCATATTATCGGTTTTCCTTCAGTATATGTTTGACTCTGAAAATAATGAGCATAAGTATGTTAGTATGTAAGTAAATCATAACTGATGTAGTCTGTTGATGTTATGTCTACAGGTACTACTAACTCACTTAATTCCCTGAGGATGGCAGTGGAAATAAATCAGCAGTCAACCTTTTTTATGAAAATACTCTGGTTTCTGGTGTTTCTGCAGCTTCGAGTGGTTTTCTACTTACGTTATTTATTACATTTCACCAGGTGGATTATCTGTTTCTGCTGTCACACATTACATTAGTGTTAATTTGTAGTTATTTATTCTCAGGGGCTGAATTTATTCAGTTTTACATGTTCAGGTTGCTGAAGAAGTGTGTCGAGAGGGTGCGGGGTTTTATTTTGAAAAACACGACCCGGAAGAAGAAGGTGTTGATCGGTGTTGTCAGCGGTAGAAGTTCATTTTCTCTTCATAACGACAACAACGATCATCACAACCTCTCCGGTCCCGTCTGGAAGTTAAAACACAGCGAGGGCAGCTGCGGCCGACACGGTGACTCGTCATGGCGGACTTGGAGCCGCGGGTGGACTCCATTCTGCAGATAATGGTCGATGAGACTGTGACAGAAATGAGCAAAGTGACGGATGAAAACATTGACGGCTGCTCGGGGGAAAAGGTTGGTGACCTCAGCGTGTTGTTGTTTGTGTTGCTGTTGTTTACGTTGTTGTTGTTGTTGTTGTTGTTAACCCCCCCCCCACCCACTCTGTGCTGACGCCTCCTCCCACCAGCTTATCATAGAAATAGAAGAGCTAGCTAGCTGCTACAGTTAGCATCCCTCCTCTCAGCTGTGATGTGATCTGAGCACAGGACTGAATATTTACACTGAAATACATGTAAACACGTGTGTGTGTGTGTGTGTGTGTGTGTGAGTGAGGAGACAACAGAGAGTCCATGTTTGGACGCCATTTTGAGTTGGACAGCAGGCCCAGGCCTATCTATGTGCTGTATGTCTACAAGTGTCTCAGCTACAGGTTCTCATTAAGCAGATCAGTGCATCAGCACGTGACCAGTGCTGGAGAGTAACTAAGTACATTTACTGAAGTACTCCGAGGCAGGCCTGGTTGTGTATTACAATGTTTTAAAGTAGTTTATATTTCCACACATTGATGGAAAGTAGTTGAATACATTTACCATTTTGTCCTTTTTTAATTTAAAACAAATTAATTTAACTTTTAACCATTAGATGGTATAGTAAGAAATTAAAAGAAAAGAAATAGTCCTAATTTTTCCAATAGTAATGAGACATTAATAGTACAGTATAATCATAATATTGTATTATTGCTTCATATCCTCGTATTGGTGATTCCCGATGTTTTTACAAGCTGTAAAATGTAAATTGTGTCATATTTCCAATTCATGAGGTGATCCAGTTCGGTGTCTTCATGACGTCTCTGGCTCGAGAGGCTGTAGAGAAGATCTGTCAACTTTTCCACGAATGTTCCTCCCTGCTGCGTTTAGAGGTACGTCGCAAATTTAAATACTTATGTATGTTGTCATATTGCCCAATCCTGGTGTTGAACAATATAGATGCACAAATTGATCTTGATTTCAATTTAAAAAGCTGTTTTGTTCTTTTTGTTCTGTAGGTGTCACAGGGCGTGGCAGAGATTGAGGACCTGAGGCGTAAACTGGACGTGGCAGAGAAGGAGCTGAAGCTGGTGTTGGAGGGCAGCAAAGGCCAAAAGGAAGTGGAGGAGCTAACTGACGGGGGCGACAGAGAGAAGGAGGGCAAGACGGCTCCGACCAACGGAGCAGAAGGAGAAACTGTCCAGATAAGCCACCGCTCAGGGAGAAAGAGTCGCAGAGGTGATGACTCTGTTGTTTCTCATGGACCACTGTGCTGCCTGTAATTAATCATGACTCATTTTATCATTTTATTCAGAAAAATAAATGAGAGGAGTTGCAAATGTTAAGAAGATTAACTTGTTTCAATTCCTGAACATACATTTTTATTTCTTTACACCTGCAGCTGATTAGCTTAGCTTAACATAAACTGGAAACAGGGCGACAGCCAGCATGTCTCTGTCCAACTCGCCACAATCTTTGCGCTGTACTTGGTTCGATTGAATCCTAATAAATATCTTCTTGATTTAAATTTTTTCATTTTACAGCCGTGACGACTTGTGAGACTGGAGTGAAAAGGTCTCCTATACTTCACCTGTGGAAAGGCAGAACGTACGAGGTAAATAAATTCCCACCTTGTTTCATACAGATGTTTTTTCTCTGTTGAGGCTGAAAGGGGCTATTCTATGTATTAAGGCCTCATTTATCTGTGAAGGCTTTAAACATGGGCGTCAACTCGCAGACACCCAAACTGAGAGAACCAGGTCTTTATGGGCCTTTTTTTGTGAATGAGGTCTTTGTCAGGTTGAAACACGAAAGGGTCTTCCCCAAAAAAATCAACATCTAGAATATCAAGTTGTATTTAAGCTCAAAGAAATCTGTCCTTATTTCATTATTGTGTCTTCTTCTCAGGACAGTGTCCAGCCGGTTATAATAAAAGAGGAAGGATTTGATGCGTTCACTGGCCAGACGTCTCCAGATTCTGCTAAGTGTGTTGAGGAAGCAGGCCAGAACGATGACGACGATCCAGATTACCAGGTTGATATCATGGATACAATGTTTTTGTGTAATTTCTCCATAATAAGGTTTAAATATTTCTCACTGCTCTTTTTCCCTGTTTGTCTCTGTAGATATGTTAATATTTTAAAATACACAGAATTTTTTTTTCATAATTAGATTGCTTAAATGGCCAAAATGTGTTAATGAAGATGAAAGTCTGCTTTAAGGATTTATTGAACCACCACTGTTGATATGATATGGACTGAGCATCAAGCCACCATGAGCAAAGCCAAGACAGTTTGTCTTTTTCTTTTCTGTCAGTTGGACCCAGAAGATCTAGATGAAGGCGACCCAGGATACACCACAAGACCTAAACGTGTCATCAAGCCCAAGTTCCTGCGAGGTCGAGCAAATAAGGAGATTGCGAACCAGCAGCCTCTGAGCTGTAGACACTGCAGGAAAACCTTCACCAAGCTGCTGCAGCTCAAAGCTCACCAGGCGGTCCACGGGGCGAACACAGAGAAACCCTTCCACTGTTCTCAGTGTGGCAGAGGGTTTTCATTCCAGCGCAGCCTCAACGCACACATGCTGCTCCATACAGGTGAGACTCAGCTATACAGTGAAACAAAGGAAGGTCACTACACCTGCAGAGTAGGGTGATGATTGTCATGTTTATTGGTTCAGCTGTTACAATACTCCTTTGTCTCCGCCTGCAGGTGAGAGACCACACACCTGTGATGTTTGTGGGAAGGGTTTCACCCTGAAGCAGCTCCTGAGGAACCACCAGCGACTCCACGCTGAGGTCCGACCGTTTCGCTGTGAACAGTGTGGGAAGAGCTTCTACCGAGCCCACGGCCTGAAAATGCACAAGATGGTACACACAGGAGAGCGGGCCTACATATGCCAGTACTGCAACAAAAGCTTCACAATACAAGGTAACCTGCAGCGACACCTGCGCATACACACGGGGGAAAAGCCGTTCAGGTGCGACACTTGTGGCAAAAGCTTCAACCAGGCCGACACTCTGAAAGGCCATCAGCGGATACACACCGGTGAGCGTCCCTTTAGCTGCGAGACCTGCGGCAAGTGCTTCATCCAGAAGAGTGCCTTGAAGATGCACCAGAAGACCTCCCACTCAGGGGAGAACTCACTGGCCTGCGTGGCCTGCGGCATGACAGTGGCCTGTGTCGACTCGCTACGGAAACACCTCCAGACGCACGCGACAACTATTCCATGCACATGCGTGCTCTGCAGCCGGCGGCTCAGCTCCATCACAGACCTGCGCTCCCACCAGCAGCACCACACAGTGGACAGGCCTCACAGCTGCGGGCTCTGTGGGAAGAGTTTCAAGTCGTCCAGTTACCTGAAGATTCACATGAAAACGCACAGCGGGGAGAGGCCATTCTCCTGCGACATCTGTGGTCGTATGTTTACACAGCACAGCAGCCTTAAATCACATCAGGTAGGTTTACACTGACAGCATCACCTTAAACACATCATAAAAATAAAGAGAACAGCTGATTTCAATAATTCACAGCAATGACAATTTTGGGTCAACCCCCCTTTTAAACTAAGTTTAATGTCAACAAAAACTGAGTCAATTTTTTGAATAGGCAACAGCCTGACTTCTTATCTCTCTACTTCAAAGGTGGTCCACACAGGAGAGAAACCGTTCAGCTGCGACACATGTGGGAAATGTTTCAGCAACACAGGCAACCTGAACCGTCACCAGCGTATCCACACGGGGGAGAAGCCTTTCAGCTGTGACACGTGTGGACGCAGCTTCAACCAGGGCAACAGCCTGAAGGCCCACCTGCAGATACACACCGGGGAGAAACAGTTCATGTGCGACAAGTGTGGGAAGAGTTTCTCCTACCTGAGGAACCTCAAGGACCACAAGTGTTTCTACGTCTGATGCGAAGAGACGCCTGCCCCGGTTGTAGAGCTGATGGCGTAAAGTTCCTTTTGACTGATAAACAAGTGGATGGATTGAGTGGGGGGTGGGACTGAATGATTTTCAGATGTGATTTGGTTTTGTTCTCAAGGAAAGTTTTGTGGACATTGTAGTTCAGACACAGACTGTATATTGCGATCGACGATAAGACTTCTCCCAAAAGTGAAGCCGAATCACCTTGATCACCTCCTGGTGGCAGGTTGGAGTATAGGTCATAAACACTGCCCTCTCGGCCGACTCCAAACTATGTCAGAAACACAAGAAGGGGGACAATCCTAATTTAAAGTGGACAATGTGTGAAGTCCACACCACTTTTTGAGTTGACTGGAGACTCAAAAACCAACACATGGAAACAAACACACAATAATCCTAAAGTCATCAAACTGAAAACTGATAAATTACAAGAATTTGTTTTAAAGGAAAGTGTCCCTAACCCCTAACCCTGAATAGAAAAGACTAACTGTCCTTTTATATTAAATGGACGAACTAACCACTTGTTTCTGTACAGAGTAGACGAGTTAAAGGCATAGTTCACCCAAAAATGATAATTCCCTCATTATCTACTCACCTCTATGCCCATGGTGGGGTGGGTGAACACTTCTGTAGTTTCAGAGGTAAACGGTGAAGCAGCTGAATCCAATACAACTGAAGATATTAGTGACCTATCTTCAGTAATAAAACAACACAAAACAAACATAACATATCTCCATACTGCTCCTGTGGTGTCATCCAAGTGTCTGCAAGCCCTGACATTCATATTCAACTCGAGACAAGGTCATTTCCACCATGTTTTACAGCATAATTCTAATAAATCAAGACCCACATGTGTCTATGTCTGATTTACCAATGGGCTTCTTATAATGCAACAGCCTCTGGATGAAGTCTAATAATGAAAATAATAATAACTCACAGATCCATACGCTCAACTGTTTGGACCTTCTGTCATTCTCAAACATGGGGAGCAACAGAAACAGTCAATGACTGGAATACAGTTAATTAATTTAAATTAAATAAATTTTGGAACCATGTTCATTTGTGCCTTGAGGAAAGAGGAATCCAGTCAACCATCATGTCTGTTTAATATTCTGGTTGCTCGGGCTTTAAGAACAAGCTGATGGAGTTTATCACTACGGTTTGTGTTTTATTACATGAGATAAATATTGTCATTTAAAGGTCGATCCTCCCAAACAACAAGAAAAGAACTACAGCACCATCTGCCATTTTTATTTACACAGGTCTCCTGCAAAAGCTGCCTAAATAAATTCTGAACATGGGGGAACTGCCCTCCCATTCTTTGCTCCTTATATATGTAATGAATTACAGAGGATTTATTAAATTAGAATGTCTCTTCCCACATGTATGTTGTCTTACTTTTTTTTCTGTGCACATTTTTTTTTCTTTATTCTCTGCTGCTTTGCTCAGGTCATTTTTGTAAATACTTGAGATCTTGATCTCACACATTCAAACTTCCTTTGACTTCTTCTACTGTACTTCACTCTATTCAAAACTAGAGAGGTATATTCATTTAAGAGGTAACTTTTTTCAACCATAACAGTCTTTTCAAGAGATTGTGCTGCTGGAGACTCAAAGAATATGATAAAGTGGAAGGAAATATTTGGATTTTTGGGGGGATTTCTAAGTCAGGGCAGTAAGATGGTGCCTGATACTCATGCAGTGACGTAACCAGATGAGAGGCAGCTGACAATCACCTGAGAAGTATAATATAAAAAACATTGTACCCAGGACGGACTGATTAACACCTGGAAGTTTGATTGATTTAACCAACCATGGCATCCGTTGGCACTGTAATGGAAAAATATACCTTTATACCACACTGTATATTATCTCTGCTTATGCATACTGTGTCTGCTTGTGTAACTGCCAAGGTGACATCAGAAGTGGGGGGAGAAGAGACTTTTCTCTTCTCCCCCCACCAAGACCTGGAAGAGGCCTTCAGTCTGTGTCTTATCTCATGGGATTTTACTTCTTACTCAGTTCACACACAAATATTTCTCACCAGGTCAGATTCCCATCACAGCACCTGTTCTTCTGAATGAAGACATCTGAAAGACCAACCCTGTGGGTCTTCTCTTTGGGTCTTCTCTCGTTCATCACACCATGTCTGAGATTCTTCAGAAAATTAGCAACAACACATTAGCACTGAATGTTGCAGTTATGAACCTTCACCATCAGAGTAATGGAGCGCCCCTAAAAATGATTGGCTGAGTCTCAGGTCACATTGACCACATGCAATACACGTGGAATGACGTGTAAAACTATGTATCACCTGCATTATATGACAGAATCTATGCTTTGTTGTTAATGATAATAATAATATGATGATCTTTGAGACAACACCATCAACCCAGCTCTGTGGCTCTCTCATGCTCACTGCTTCACCAACAGATGGCAGTCTATTCTACTTTTTTGTACTTATTTGATCAGTAAAATCAGAAGGTTTCCACTTTTTGCAGACAAACCCTGGAAGCTTGCTGTGTTCTTCCTTTTAATTTTATGTTAATGACGTCGGTGTGTGCATGTTTCAGCTGCCTGTGGGCTGTCTGCTACTGTGACTTTGCTGCATGGTTGGCTGAACAGTCACTGGGCTGTAAGGTAGGTCAGGCTGGCTGTAATCCACTCCAGACTACAGTTCGTTAAAGGAAGTGCGGGGGATTGGAATAGACAACACTCAGTACAACTGGCTTCCTGTCGATTTAAAGAGGACATGAGCTTGTTTGTGTTTTGGTTTTCATGTGAGAGCCAGGTTCAATTTCCACATGTATACCTTCTTTTAAACAATCACTGTTTTCTACCTTAATCTTTTACAATATTGTTTGCTATTTAAAATGTCATGGTAATCTGTCCTGTAGTTTTTCCATTGTCCTGCAGGGCATGTTTAAATGTTGCCTGGATATCCTGTCATTTACATCTCCATACAGTCTCATGGTGAAACTGCTGTACATCCTCAAACAATCAGTCAATTTTACATCAATTATAAACATTAAAGTTATTATTGTGCACACATATATAATTGTACATGTATAGAAAAGAAGAGAGTGAGTTTCCCCACTTCGTCAGTGGATTGTTTGAAGGTCAAATCCCTGGTTTTGCCAGCCAGAGAATACATTATGTCAGTGAAGGACCTCATACACATGCATCAGAGTGAACTAATATTTATTTGTCTATGTGTCCATGTCCTAAGGGTCAGTGTGAGCCAGTGGCTCAATCAATCACTGCTGACGTACTTAGAAGAGCACAAATCACTAGCTGTGGCACACGCATGCAAACATGTACGTACACACACACACACACACACACAAACACACACATCCTTATTTGGACATGACTACCATTTGTGGACAGCCTGATCAAAATGTTATCCTTAACCTCAACTATGGCCAACTCCTGCCTAACCCTATCCTTAACCTAACCACAATCACATTTCACCACTAACTTTAACCAGAATCTTGTGCTTTTTTACCATTGTTCCTGACAAAGTCAGGGTTGAAGCTGGAAAATGTCCTAAAGATGTCACAAAAACAAGTAGACGCACAAACAAAGGCATGAACACACAAACAAATACACACTCTCTCAAAAAAATGTAGAAAAACAGCAGACACAGACTCACTCCCCTCCCTTCCTTCCTTTTCCATAGACCATTGGATATATCGACAATTCCACATCCAGTGTTTTTCCTCTAATTGGTTTATACACAGCTGACCGGGCAGTGATGCAACGATGCTGCACGGTGTACCCTGTAACACAGTGTTCGGTGCAGGCTCTGCAGTCCATGGAAATATGGACCGCTGCTGCTCTTTCCAGCATTGATTCTCCCTCAGCAGCAGCAGTAGCAGTGCTCTGCTCTCCTGCCAGATCTTTCACTGTGCCTCTGTTCTCCGAGGGATAACAGTGAATGTGTGTTGCTCAGCTGCTTGCTCCAGTGTCAGTCCCACTCTCTGCTGGGGTTCAGGTCACTGAAGGTCTCAGTCATAACCAGGAAGCAGGGCTGAGAGGGAAGTATGAGGCCCTGGGTTCGTTCCAACAGGTCCAGATCAGTCCAGGTAAGATCTGTGTCTAATTTGTAATGAGCGATGTTCTTTCACTCTAAAGTGTCGTTTGAAGATAAATATTCACCACAGCTAAACCTTTTGCTAAACTACTGCAATCTAATACAACAGTCGTGCAATAATTACCTCCACCAAGGAGATTCCCTGTTCTTTAGCAGTTTGTAAGAAGATTTCTACAAAACTTGGTGGTATGATAAAGTTTGGGTCAGTGGCAAACCCATCAAAGGGAGATTCGGGTATTTTGTCCATAACCAGCATGTACACCATCAGGCACACATTATAATAATAGAAGAAGAAGAAGAAGCCTTGGTTTCAGCCACCAGGAGGCGATGATGATTTTTAGGAAAAACAACTGTGTTGATTTTTTTTTTTTTCGGAAGTAACAACAGTCATTTATTTCTGATCACGTAAATTCAAAAGTTCCTCCTCGGTCCTTTAATTTTGACTAAACTTCCCAAACATACGCTGCTTATCACTTCCGAATCCCTGGAGACGGATTTTCATGAGGAGTACCTGAAGGCAACATGAGTGAGAGTGTGTGTGTGTGTGTGTGTGTGTGCAGCAGCCCTGGCTGTTGACATCACTGTCCTCCCCCCCTCCCTCCTCTCCTCTCCCCCTTCTCTCCCTCCCTTCCTACATGTCTTCTTTCTCCTCTCCTCCCTTCCTTCCTCATCTTTTCTCTTCCTCCCCCATCCTCTCTTCCTTCCTCTCCTCCCTCTTCTCTTTCCTCTCTCGTCCTCTCTTCCTTCTGCCTCTCCTCCACCTCTCTTCTATTTCCTCCCTCCTCATCTTCTTTCCTCCCTCCCCTCTTCTCTTTCCTTCCTTCCTTCCTCCCCCCCTCCTCCCCCCCTCTTGTCGCGGTGTATTTTGGGAGGTGGAGGAAGTGAAGCTCCTTGGTTTTCGCCTCCATCAGAATAAACACTGTTATGGTTCCGACCCCGGGACAGACACGCACATCTACCCGCCGCTGCTCACCCGACCCCGGCCACTTTTCTCTCCGTTCACCGCCACCACACTTCCAGCCAAAGGGAGATAGAGGATCTAGAGGACGGACTGGACCGAGGAGGAAGAGCCGGTGATGTGACGCTGCACATCCGCCGCTTTCTTTAAAAACAACCGCAGTTCTCCAGCCATTGATTTATTTTGCCCTGACATTTCTCCGGATCTTGAATGTTGGCTCAGCCGGTTCTTGGTTGTTTTTTTCCGGACAGTTTCTCCGGGGGAGCCGCCGCTTTGTCCCCACAAACATCACGTTAGCTAGCTAACAGGAAACAGCCTCCCTTTTTTTCGCGGTGGTGGAGGTGGTGGTGGTAGCGGGGGACCTAGGGTCGTGTTCCCCCTTTTTTTTTATTATTAATCCTCACTGGATGTTCTCTTCCCCCGTGTCCCCGGGAAGCGATGCAGCTCAAAGTGAACTGGTGAGCACCGGGCTGGTGTAGCGGACGATGCGGTTTGTGTTTGCCGACATGGTGCGATAACGTTTGGGAGGGATCCGGGGGGGGCAGTGAGAAGCGGAGTGGGGGCCTTTAGTCTGGGCTGTTGTTTCATTTGTCTCTCCCTGTGGTGAGGCTCCATCCTCGGCAGACTGCAATGAGGCGACTGGAGCGGTTTGTTTTTGTTTAACGCTTTAAATTAAGCTGGATCCCTGTGCCGGTGATCCGTGCTGCCTTCAAGGACTGGAACAATGAGGCTTGTATGAGACGCTGTGTTTTTCTGATCCTGGTGCGAGTGACAACCAGGCTGATCGGTGGGGTGTGTTTTTTTTTTTTTTTTTACCTCGCTGTGAACACAAACCTTCGGCTCACTTTGTTTTTCATCTCCCGGACGGTCGGAGAGAGCACTCAGGGACGAACATGTCTTTACGCACGGCGCTGCCCGGGAACGAGAGGAAACCAGACCATGTAAGTAGACGATTAAAACACCTCCAGGAGCAGGAAGAGGAACGCAGGCAGAGGTTTAGTGTGCTTTGGAAGAAAAGTGTGACACGTATTCTGTCCCACGAGGCTGTGAGATTAGTCTGACATGTGCACGGAGCAGTAGCGAGCTCATTTGTGCCGGTTACGGGTTTTGCGGTTGGACACGGGCTCAGGTTGTCCAGTGTGGAGATGGAGAACACGGAGGTGAGAGCTGGCGTTATGGAGGGAGGTGTGGGTGCAGAGCCATTTTTGTTTTTTATTGATTACACAGCCCTGCCAAGAAGCACACATTTAATCAAAATACACACCTCATTCACTCACCAGTGCGCATGTTTAGTCTTTTCTCCCCAGCTGATCAATAATGAATGCATTTTACGCAAGGCCACCGAGCCCTCTCCACACCCAGCCTGCCCTGCACCCACCCTTCAGGGTGTACCAGTCCATCCACCCCTCCTCCATCACCTCACCTCCAGCTTCGTCCCCCTCCACCCTGTCTGACCTGTCCAGTCTCATCCTTGATGAAACTGTGAGAGGCAGACCCCAGTGTTGAGAAATCTGCTGTGTCATGCTAGCCTGGTTTGTCCTGCTAATGTTTTCCAGTGTTTTTGGGGGAGACAGGACTTTAAATGGAAGGATTTCACACCTTTCTGTTCTCTGGATTTTCCCCCCTGAATATGTTTGCAAGGATGTGAGCCTCTTGCAAATATTCCTCCACTGCATGTTGACATTAATAGTCTCGATGTACAAAGAGGGACCACCTTTATCTCAAGGGCACAGAGCTTGCATCACCCCAGCAGCCTGAGTTCTTTTTAGATTTGAAGTTTTCACCAAGAGCTAATTCCTTTTGCAGGACCAGCCAACAGCTGACAAAATACACAACTCTTCCCTCATATGTTTAAAGACTGTTCAAAGGGGATGTCATCACTACACTAATGTCCTTGTATCTGCTGTTTAGATATTGTCTAAGTATTTCATACGCCATATTTGGGGAGAAGACAGTCAAACCAAAAGACCATTTTGGTTTGAGTGGCCATTAAGTGCTTGTTTGGTATTTGTTAAAAAATGCTGGCGGTTGCATGCTAGACTTGCATATAACTAATAATAATATACACAAAATACAGTGTGATAATAAACTACGTTTACATTTTGCTAATTGAGACCTGACACATTTTGTTCCATACACTTTTATCACTTCCTGTTGTGGTTGTGCAAGATAATGTATTAAATTCTCCTCAGATCAGTTTCTGGGATTGTGTCACTATCAGTGTTCATGTTCTCGAGTGTCATCATATGTACACATAAACAACTTTACTGAACCTGCTAAACATACAGCTGTTATAGTATAAAGAAAAATTAGGTGTGTAACATATGACATTTAGTCAGTGAATCTCCTTACGGGTACAACGAAGAGGTACTATCTGTATTTTATTTTGCTGCACTGTGGGAATGGATGTACCTTTTTGCTCTGGGCAAATCATAAGGTTTCTTTCAGTCTGTGAGACAGAACAGGCAGTCAGTTCAGTAGGTGTGGGTAAGTGCATGTGCCTACATGTACAGTTGTGTCTTCTCATAAAAAGGCCAAAACATCTTTCAGTGTGCCTCCCTGAGGTAGAACAGGGCTTTTGTGTTTCCTGGACAAGCTAAAGACTCACAAGCTAGCTGTCCCGACTTGTTTCTCAAAAGCTGACACCCAACTCTGATGCCCCTGATGGCATTCGTTTCACCTAGAAACACATTCGATTTACACATAAGCAGCCCCAGGCTTTCAATCATCTGATCTGCAGAGGCCAAATGAACCATGTACGACCGGAATAAAGTGAGGCGTGTTCATATTAGACGACCTACATGTATATTGGTCTCAATCATAGACTGTAACGATGGATCAAGTGTCTTCTTCCCACTTTCCAGAAATTAACTATCAGTGTCATATGTAGCAGTCCCAGCAAGGTCCCACTAATACACACGCTTGACCCTTTCTGCAGCCAGCTACCAGGGGTTGGGGAGATGTCATGTCGTCCATTTACAGTCTGTGATTCCAAAGTTGAGATTTGCATGCCATAACAGTTTCTACCAGGGTACCCATGAGCAAGGTACTGAGCTACCAATTTTCTCTGGTGATGTTTGTCATTTGGCAGCATTGGCAAACTGTTATAGTTGTGAATAAAAAGTAGATCCGAGCCGCGAAAAGAGCTTTAGAGATTTGGCAGTTTTCTGTAAATTACTTGAACCAAGAGAGGCAAGGTTTTATGGGTAACCAAATTATTTTCTGCATTGTTTTTTTATGCATTGCAGTTTTCTGTGTGACATCTGCTATCTTGAAAATATGCAGAGGAGGTTTAAGTTACTTTCGGGTCTCTACCAACAAGTTGTGTATTTATTCCATTATATCTGATGGAAACACAAGTTGTCTTCACCAGAAGTTTTGAGCATTGATTCTAGGGAACTGGAAATTATTCATTCATATATCAGTTAGGGATGAGTAGCAGCCATGAACAGACATTTATGGGATGTTAAAACATACACCTGATGCACCTTGTATAAGGCTGAAACGTATCCAACAAATTTGAGTTCAGCATCAGATGGAAGATTAAGAGGCCAATTATACATATGTTTTAATTTAACATGTTGATTATATGTTACTTCTGTATAATCTTTTATACACCATTTATTTATAACCTTTTTGGTACACAAAAAATGTTTCAGGCTGCAATTATATAACTCAAATTAAGTGGTTTTTCAGAGATCAGTGCTGAACAGGTGGCATCATGTGGAGATCAGGCTACCATATAAAGAATGACTGTTCACAGAGCCTCTGTTAACTGACACGCACACACTCACCCCTTCAGATAAACACACAATTTCACAAACACGTACAATTACAAAAAGAAACCTGTGGACGAGCATAAAGGACACTTAGATGTGAACAGTCCGAGCACACAGTCAACCTGTTGTGTTCATTGTATAATGGGGCTCCTCTACTTTCAGCTCTCGGGTGTCGTTGTCTTTTCTCAGGCGTGAGCCACTGCAGTTCAACCCACACAGCTCGTCCTGATATTTATAGTATGTCTGCATCTGTAGTTTCTCAGGCTCTTGACAGGATGTAATCAAGTCTGGTTATTGGTTGAATGAAAAATATCCTAATTTAAACAGTTAGATCTGTTTTTTCCTCACAAATCTTAAAAGCAATGTTTCTGCAACACCCTTTTTCCATTCAAGTTGCACACGTTTGTTTTTTTCAATTGGATGGACAATAGTGACAAAGTCATGTGGTATCTACATATGTTCCAACAGGTTTTTCTTCTCTAGACACTACGTCAAAGCTGGTTTCCTTACAGTGCACTTTGACTTCGTGGTTATTCTTAGCCGTATGAGATTAAGACAACGTCAAATAGTCTGTATGTGTGTGTCTGTGGCAATTGTCTTGTTGTAAACCAGAGGAAATGTCACAACAAGCAGCCCCTGTTACTGTCCATTAGCTAAGATCAGCAACAAGGGTGTCCTTTAAATGTGGTCAGAAGAAACAAGAAGCCTGTGATATTGTTATTTTACTTATGTACTGTCATTTTCAACCGAAGGTTTCCCTTCAGGTTGAGTGTGCATTATATTACTATATTAAACAGATAACTGTAGAGACATCAGCACATTGTCGGAGCCTTCAACTGTCGACTTCCCCAAACAGTGAGGTTTCAGTTTTCTTCAAAAGACTGTAATTTCAAATAAACGCATCAGCAATTATCAGGCATAATTTCCCAACACGTTTCAAAACCAAAAGAATACATAGAAGTTCCTTGTTTTAACCAGGTAGCTCGAGAAAAACGTAGTGGATGTTATTATCTATAGAGATGATACCCACAACTACAAAAATAAGACAGAGCTTTATGTTTTTGTAAATTCGTTGGGTAAGAAATTGTGTCTCATTAGCATCTGCATCTCAGAGCATACAGTGACACAGAGGTTTGGGCCCAGCGGAGAATCTGTTTGTGTAGCGACTGTGAGAGAAGCCAAGGAGTGACTGTTTTTTAATCTGCTGCTGTTGATCCAAACAGAATAAATCTGACCCGTCCTAAGCCTGGTCCGATGATCACAGCCCTGTGGTGAATGATATGCTGAGTAATGTGGCAGGTCTCCAGAATCAGAGAGCATCACTGTGCGTGTGTGTGTGTGTGTGTGTGAGAGAGACTGAGGATTCCAGTTACACTTTGCTTACTGACGCCGGATAATGTCAGACTGGAGGAGGGAGGTGGCCTCTAACCCTCAATGCTGGGTTGTAGTAGTCCTCTTCAAAAATATTTCTATGTGACCCACCACATTAGTCGACAGAAGTTAAGATGTTTGATTTTTCTCGGTTTCAAGATGTTCCACTATACGAAGGTAATACACTTGCATCTTGTTGTTAGAAATAGTGGCATTTATTTGTTCAGTATTTCGTAAAAGAAGATCTTGTTGTGCTTTACAGTCAAGATTAACTGGAATTACTTTCTAAATAAGATGGTGAATTACAAATAGAGACAGTCGTACAGTCTTGCAAGATTTGACAGTTTGTAAATTCAAGCTCCCTTTAATGAGGATTTAGGTCCTGGAAGCTATAATCAACAGGCTGAGGAGAGAGACCTTCATGATTGCTAAAGTCATGGAAAAACCTGAGTTAACCCCGGCAATTATCATGATTTAGTATGAACTCAATGTGTACTTGTGTTTTAGAGCCAATATCCTGTGATGAGAGGCCCAAGAAACCTGTTCCAAAGTTATGTTAAATTTAAAGGAAGCTAACCTCAGTGTAACGAGGGGTCAAATGAGGCTGCTTCGAGTTAAGTACCTGAAGAGTAGAGTTTTTGAATACAGTGCCTTTGCTACTAGAACTGTACTTGGCACATGAGACAGAAGACTAAGATCGGGTCTCTACTCAGAACAACACAATTCAGCCTGTCCTGGGGAAATATACAGTGAATGTGAGAGAGTGAGGTAAAAACTGGTTTGACTCATAGCCTGGCCATGAAGGCAGCAAGTAAGCCAGGTTTGAATCCAGAACAATTTCTTGTCACCCTCGACAGCCTCTGTCTAATAAAGCTGCAAAACCGCGACATAAATAATCAAAAGCCAATTCTATTAGCAGCATTTTTTAACATTTAATTATTCTAAAACTTCGGTCCAGTGTGACCCTCATCTGTTCTTCCTGCCATTGAACTACCTCTGTCATCCCGTACAGCCGAAAAAAAATACCCTTCAACAATTATTCCCTGTGATGAAAACATTGATTGATATACATGATTTTTTTACTGAAAGTTTACACATGAACATTTAACACAGTCGCTAATTTCCAGTTAGCATTTTTCCCTAGAACAAGTGTATTGTATGGAATTAAATGCTTTCTGCTTTGTAAAGAAATTAAAAGGGAAGTTTGCTGGACTCCACCAGCTGCACAGTATCAGACAGTCTGTCTGTCTGTCACTGCTCACAGACATGTTTTTCTGGCAGCTCTCGATTCCTTGTGCGATCTGCCAGGAAAACGCTTACTGAGTGTTGCAGTGCGACATGTGACAGGCCTGCTGTCATCACTGTGACAGCGCTCTGCTGGACAGGAAGTGACGCAGGTTAAGTTAACGCAACTTTCTGCTGCGCTTCTCTCCTGTTCGATGAGTTAGTGAAGTTTGAAGATTTAGCTGAAGTCCGGATCTGCTTCGGGTTTCACAAAGCTAATATCTATGTGTATTTTCTGTTTTTAACATATAGGATCCTTTAATGACAGTTTTAATACTCGCTGCTTTGAGACATGGATATTTTCCTGAAACCTTCTGGAGAGGCTGAATATGAGAACACAAATATCTGACTAAAATATATCTTAGACAAATGAAATCATTAGCTGGTTTGTAAAGTAGATGTTGAGCAGCTCTGTGAATGTTGTCTGTGGTCCAGATTCACTTTGCACATATAATCTCCAAACAAAAATTTACCGCTAACTGTATTTCGACTACTGCTTTGGGACATGGTGATAACCTTGATTTTCTGACCTTCCCTTCAGGCGTGATTGGCTACATACTTCATTTCAGACATTTTGGAAATGTACAGCATTTGCACTGACTGGAATAAGCAGCACAGATGTTTTACGTAATTTAGTCAAATGAGCTATACGGATAACTTATCCTGTTGTTTTCAGCAGTGTTATCTCTTTGTTGTGTTCTATGATGTTGTGGAGAGAGTGTGTCTGCTGGTGTGTGTCAGGGCCAGTGACAGACCGGTCTGAGGCCAGGAGGCCGAGAGCCACAGCAGCTAGAGAGGAAGAGGAAACCGGGCACACGCTGTGGGTCAATGTGTGTGTGCATGTATTAGCAGAAGTGGAGGATGGTTTAAAGTTACGCCACCCCTCTGCTGGGGACCAACGTCAAATATCCGGTTTTTACTCAACAGCTCCATATCTACGCACACACTCAGACCCACAGTACATCCAGACTGCACCACTTAGACACCTCCCTCAGGGCGTGGGCCATTGTTTGGAAACATGTTTCTGTTCGTCACTCTACAAGTGTTGACGTAGCAGTCGCCTGCCGCTCCCCCAGCTTCATTTAATACAACAATAACAGAGCAAAGAAGAAAGAGAATATCACATTTGCATGTTGCATTTTCAGCATCACCACTGATGCTCACATGAAGAGTTATTTATGAGTCCAGTGGCAGAATAAGCAATAAAATCTACATTATTAACATAAAAATCTCAATGAGTGGCTGCAAGTAACAATGTAGAATATGCCTGTAGCTTAGCAGTGGCACAGAAGCAACATGAAAAGAACAAACAGGTGATGAAGATGTTCAAACAGCTATATGAACATTATTGTAAACTGAGACACGAATTAGTTTGAAGTACAAAAGGGATGTGGAGTCATGTTCTGTCAAATTATGCACAAAGTCCCAAGAAAAGAACTGAGTCACTAGACTCACAAGTTCCATTTGTGTGACTTTTTATTCAGCTGTACGCCCACACACACAGCACAGATGGAGCATAACTGCTGTACTGTGTGATGGCATGCCAGACATGCAAGCATGCATGTCACCACAATGCCATTAGATATTTTAGCCAACACTTATCGTCTTTATACTGAAGAGGATTTAGACATTATGAGGGACGTCTCATGGTTCCTATTATTTGTGTGATATCCCTCAAGGGTTTTTCATTTTTTAGTTCACTTCAGTAACAAGATGTTAGCAGAATGCGGTAGATCCACTTTGGAAAAAAGGTACAAATAAATGTATGTAATGTTTGAAGGATGCTTCTAATTCCAGCGTAAGATATTGTGCTCAACCTCACCCTCCTGGATGCTTTGTCCAGATTGTATCTTATACAAGAAAGGGGTGTAATAATTCTCCAAATCCACAGATTTATAGGGGGAACCAAAATGAATGTACTTAAGGAGTCTGCAATCTCAGAATTATTATCTTTAAAAATTGAAGACTAAAGACTAAATTGCCGTTTGATGTTTAGTCAATGAAAGGAGCTTGACCAAAGTGTTTAATTGTAGGCTGATATAGATGGATTTATTTTATGATTTTAATGGGTTATCATAAAACTCAGCTCGTCATCAAGGGAAGTGGTTTAAATGACAACTGCACTATGTCAAATATGACCATTATGGTATTATTAGATGCGTCTAGCTTCAGTTACATCCTTGACTCTTCCATCTGCCCGACAAGCTGCACCAGCAGCCGAGAGCAAGGAGTTAAGCAGGAGACGTTGAGGTGTAGGGCATAGTCACAGAGAATTGGATTCAGTTCACACGGACAAGGTGCAGCTTGTTTGCTGAATGTGCAAATTACATAGAAGGAGCCACCCCCTCTCTCTCTCTCTCACACACACACACACACACACACACACACACACACACACACACACACACACACACATGAACACATTCACTTAACCATCCACCAGCCCTCCATCTATCTCTGATACCAAATGTCACCCTACATGTATAATGATACATGGGGGGAGCTTTCATCCCCCCACTTTCCACCCAAATACCTGCCTGCCCCAATCTGCTGGCAAGAAACCTTGTCACACCACCCAACTACACACACATTCACTCTGAGGCCTCGTCTTGAATGAAACTGCGTGATAATCAGAAGGAGTGGTTGAATCGATGGACTGCGCTCCTTGAAAGAAGTATGTGGGGTGGAGGGCTGGTATAGGGCATTGGGGGTGAGGGGGTGGTAGACGGCAGCTTGAAGCTCAAATTGATGTGAGGTCGCTGAAAATAAAGATAGTGGCGCGAGACAAAAGAGAGGGCGGGTCCAGGCTTGGAGAGTAGACTAGAGGGACGGGAGGCAAATTGATTTGTCTGGGGGATGGGGGACGAGCGAGGAGAAAGAGAAGAAGGGAGAATAAATAGGGGGGGAAGGGTGAGGAGAAAGTGAAAATTGGTGCGGAATAAATTTGGACAAGCACCATATTCTGCTTTATGGCTATAATATCACAAAGTGCCTTACAGGGATCTTCCAGACAGGAAAGCTGTTCCAGTTCTTCTTTTACAACTTCAGTTTCACAGTTTCAGTTTTTGTTGCTGTTTTTTGGCGACTGTGATGAACACTCCACAGACGCTGATCAAATGTTTCTAAAACGTCCTCCGTCTGTGTCTCTGCTCAGCTTTGTATCAGACAAGATTACCACAACAAATTGTTCAACCTATTGATTTTGCATTTTGACAATGGTAGCAGTAAAATGAAGGACTGATGTGAAACATGATGTGAACGATGAAGGAAAAAGAAGGTTGAGTCTCTGAGGGTGAGGGCGACGTCCAGTGAGCCAATCAGATGCCTTTTTTGTAAATGAGTGAGCGTATTGAAAGGAAGATGCAGGAATGAAGGAACATCTGAAGAACATCAGGGATCCTGCCGAGGAGGTTATGTTTTCATCCTTCATTTGTCTGTTGGGGAGTAGGATTACCAAAATCTACTGGACAGATGACTTTAAGCTTGGTGGAAGGCTGTGGTATGGGTCAGGGAAGAACTCATAAAAGTTGTGTGGGGATCCAGGGATTCATTTCACTTTATTTGACATGGGGAGTCATTCTCCAACATTTTCTTTGATTTCTCAGGGAATAATTCATGGGTATAGGTGAAAAGAATCAGACACATTTAAGGGACTAAATTTGGTCCAAGTACAAAGTACATTTTCTGTATTGAAGAATAAAATCTTTGGTGCAATTCAAAACAGTTGCAGACTGTGTCTTTGCACTTCCTAACGTGTCTATTTGAAAATCTTGTGATCTCACCACAGTGTTTCAAGATGATGTGGTTTTGTTTGTGTGTGTGTGTGAGCATTTAGGATTTTAGTTCTCAGCTCCAGTTTGTGATGGTTTAAATTAAAGCTTGTCATGTGTATCAGCAGAGTTTCAGGAGTTCAGGGCAGATGAGTTCCCCCCTCACGTCGTCCGGCCGCAGATAAAATAAGTGTCTAAACATCGGTGACCTCACAGCCACATATGAATGTGAGGAATGCAGACTGTGAGGGGTCAGATGAGATTGTGACCTGGCCATTCTCGCTTTTCACCTTTGGATATTTGGTGTCAGATGGTAATCACACGACAGGACCACAGTCAAGGTCACATTGTGTTGGTCACACTGATGTTTGTATATGATGTTTAGGAAGTTTGTTTGGACTGTGAAACTTTCTTTGACTCATTGTCGTCTATAAGGATGGTAACCTCTCATACAAATAGAGATAAGAGCTGCATTTTCAGGATTCGTTGATTGATGTGAAAAATGCCCTATTGCAGATTCCTATGGTTGAGTGTGATGTCTTTATATACCTGTTGTTTTGTCTGACCAGTCGAAGAAACCGAAACTTACAAACTTATATTTTCTTGCACTTCCTGAAAATCAGCATTGTTCAATATGGAGTAAAGAGTGTTTCATTATACTGACAGTGATTCTTCTTTCTCTCTCCGCAGCATACCTCCCTGTCGGCCAGCCGCTCAGAGAAGGGTAGTGGCTGGTCAAGCCGTTCACTTGGTGCCAGATGTCGTAACTCCATCGCCTTGTGTTCAGACGAGCAGCCGCACATTGGAAACTACCGGCTGCTCAAAACCATCGGCAAGGGTAACTTTGCCAAGGTCAAACTGGCACGGCACATACTGACCGGCAGAGAGGTGAGTTTAAAGAAACAAGACGGTAGAAGATGCTGTTAGTGTCAATAAAGTTATGCTTGTTGGAAACATAATTTGTTTTTAAAGATGGTTGGAGTATAGGTCATAAACCTAGCCTCCTCCATGTTAGCAGATGGAACATGGAAAAAGCCAAAAAGTCAAAGTACATTTTTCCTAGAAGACGGTTTCTGTCATTTTTGGATTTTCTTATCACATTGATGTGTGTTCAAGTGTTCATGTTTCTGATGAGTTTGGTTTTCATAAACTATTTGATGCTACAAAGAAATGGTGAAATGTCATGATTGACAGCTGAGACTGACTTACGATAAGTGTGTGTCTTGGCAGGACCTCGATACTGTGGCTCCATTACCCGATTACTACTGCTCAGACTCTGGCTCCACATGTAACCAGTATGTGGTACCAGCATCCAGGATATTTTAACTTCATTTTTGTAAAACATCAGGAAGTGGAGACACTTGGATGAAACAGTTACCTGTTTTTATGATTAACCACAGTAAAATTCCCAACAGTTAGTTGTACTGTGACTATCATTACAACAAGGGCTTGATTACCACGGTGTAAAGCTCAAGGTAAAAACTATCCAGCATCGAACACAGGGAGAAACTGAGTCCCACACTTAGGCGCAGCATGCAATGAGCGGTTTTATTTGCTCCAGAGTTTATGAGAAGCATATTTAAACACAGTTTATGCACACGTAGTGCGTCTGCGACACACACCACGAGACATGACGTGCACAGCCAGGACATCAGGGTTAAAGTGATCGGAACAATCAGGATTCATGATCAGACATAATCAATTAATAACTAAATAAACGTGATCTTCAGTTCGGACAGAGACGAGCGCACACACACACACACACACACTTAATGATAATGCAAATACTGCCGTCATTGTTATTGATGATAAATAATATGTCAATGTAAAACTTGGTGAAATTACTATAGCCTGGGACTCAGTAACGTTTGAACATTAGCAGCACATTTTAACAATACTGATAATAGTGATACAAGATGTTCATACCGTTTCATCTCCATCTTTATTCACGGTTTGTGGTAAAGAGAAAGAGTTGACAAGCTGAAGCAGACTCCAGGGTAATCAGAAGAGAATAAGAAAAGAGGCAAACCCTGTGACTCAGCCAACAGATGGATTTTTAAAGAGCTATTCCCACAAGTTCAAAACACCTTCTATCATCATTTTACAGTCAGCCAGTACTGTCTCATCTCTAAGCACAATCAAATCCTCAGACCCTTGAAGAGAGACAGTTGCGTTTTATTGTGTAGGTGTAGGATATGTTTGGTAAAACCCATGACATATATTAGCTGTTGCTATTTCAATGAGGCTCAAGAGAAAGTTTGTGTTTCTGCTGCTGGCTCGATCATGTGAGAGCCGCTGCGTTCCACCCACATAATGAAGAAGACAGTCATATGCTGATGGTTTGTAGTGGTAGTTTGATGCAGTGTTTGATCAGGTCACCACATGTTGTTAAGCCTCTTATGAAGCCCTGGTTTAGATTTCATTGTGTTCACTACATGCCCACTGTTTGCCCTCACTTTTTGATTTGCTTGTTTTTTCCCTATGTAACTTTGAATAAGGGCTATAACATATGTTGTTTCATTGTAATCCATTGTGCTTATAGTCCAGACGCTGGTCTCCAGAGCTCATTGCTCAGCAGCTCTGATAAACAAAGACAGCTTTATACGATTTAGAAACTGAAGTAGTTGATAATAAATTAAATTAGAGATTAAACAGAAACTATTTGGATAAATTAGTTGTATAAAGTCAATTTTCAAGCAAAAATATTGAATGTTTTCTTATTTGAATTTATCTGATGTGCACCTGTTCTTTGGTTTTTGAATATGTTGACAAAATTAGACATCGGACATCATCTCAGGTTATAGGACATTGTAAAGGGCATCTTTAAATGTTTTTTTTGACATTTTGTAAACCAAAGCATTCCTCAAGTGTGTGTGTATTTAATGTATTTTCTCTGCAAGATTGTAATTGTTAATTTCTTTTTCTGTTTCTTTTCCTAACAGGTTGCAATAAAGATCATTGATAAAACACAACTCAACCCAACCAGCCTACAGAAGGTGAGTGACTTGTTACTCTATGAGTTTGTGTGCAGGCGTTTGTTTTCATCTTTATTCTGAATTCACTTTTTACTTTGAAATAACATCACAGAACCAGAAAACACACATAAACATGTTAAGATGGTTTTTTTTTTGCTCAGTGTTTTTTGTGGAGACATCCGGGTTGATCGCTTTCTCAGCTTATGTACATCAAACTCATGCAGAGTTTTCTTTCTTTTTTCTTTACTTTTTCTTTATGATCCTTGTTTCAGCCCTTATCATTTTTTCCCACACTGTGCTTTTATTTTAAAGATTCAACAGACAGCGAGACCTCATGGTTGTTATGTGAAACTTAATGTGGGCTGCATGTTAAGAGCTGAAGATCACCCTATGCATCATCTAGGAAGAACGGTTGAGACAACAGCGTTGGTTTCACTACTGTTTGATGAATGAAAGATTTAAACTGAAAACTCGATATAGTTTCATTCAGACAGTCTAAAAAGTCCCTGAATCATTGAGTACTTTGCGTCAGTATAACATAACCACTCAGTCCACTGGAACTAACAAGGTCAAAGGACTAATGTGCGTCACTGTATTCATGTCTACTGTCATCTAGGGGTCCTGTATTAACTATGTGTATTGCGCTCATGGCTTAATGAGATTGGCCCTCTCATGTGTGAACTTGGCTCGCTGCAGGTGTTTGTGCGTGCACGTGTGATGCATGTGTTCACTGAGAGCGATCTAATGAAACAAAATTGAGTGAGAAACTTTGCCTCAGGCCTGCAGCCTGTTTTCAAACTGTGAAAGTTGCTCTATTTTCTGTTTACTGTTTTGTCATTAATGGAATATTCACCTCTGCAAATGAAGCAGATTTGAAAGATTGTTTGCCTTTTATTTGTTTCATGAAGTTGCGTGGTGTGTGATTCTTGATTCTGTGAGAATGAAATCTTCAGTGCTGATAAATGTAATCAGCCAAAGAACAAATCCAAGTCACTGAAAGTGACTTTTCAGCTGATCAATTTATTGTTTTGTCAGCATGTCTGAAAACAGTGAAAGAGTCCAGCAGTCTAAAATACAAAGATATTCAGCTTGAAGTGATATGAAACAGGGAAAATCAGAAAGTACTCACACGTTCAGATGTTGATATCTACAAATATTAAAAAATTAATCACCATAGTTGCCCAAATGTTTAATCGTCTCTCTTGAAGGGATGTGTGTCTGTGTGTATGCCCAGTTTTTTTTCATTAAGTAAATTTTGCATTGTCTTTGTAACTCATAGGTGAAGTTTTAACCTGTGTTTAGTTTTGTGTGGTAGCTTCACAGATGTACGGACAGCTCACACAATTCAGGCTTTGTTCAGCAGAGGCTCTGCTGAGTCCAAACACAGTCACATCGTCAAGATCGATACTGGATCTCACAAATGCAGATACGCACTCAAACACACAGCCTATTGATGAATACTCAGCTTGTTAGCTAATCAGTCCAAGCTGGGTTTTGACACGACTGATATCAGTGAGTTAGGTAATTGATGATATACAGCTCAGTGTTATGGGTGGTTAAGGATGGCAGGTTTTAAAGCATGAAATAATAAAAAAAAGAAATGCACACTTTTTTGGCCAAGTCCTACCATCATATCACCTGTGTAACAAAAGATTGCAAAGAACATCCCATGATTAATTTTACAATTTAAACAGATTCAGATCTACTGTGTTGTATTACATTTCTAAAATCTCCTAAAAAATTAAAACAAGAGAATTCTAGTCATCATAGTAAAGAACCAGTGTTTACAAAGGAAGTGTTCATCGTCATCAGGCTGCTCATCAGTTTACAGACGGAATAAACTGAAGACTATTGTTTTGTGTCTCAGAATACACCAGGACAAAACTTTTATAAAGAACCATCATGTCACTCAACACAGTTGAGACTGTGTCAGTGTTATCACGGCCTGATAAACTACTGACAGAGGTGAAACTGAGCTGATTGATGGTTGTGTGTCCCTTTGTGTTTGCTTTGTGGGAAACACAGAGTTTCCTATGCAGATAAGCATCTGTGAGATTAATTTGCCTGAATCTGTCAGCTAAGACCTTGGTTTTTAAGGGGTCATGCGTGTGTGCGTTCTGCAGCGTGGCAGTGGTCAGGGATGTGCATGCCAGTTGCGTCCTGTTCTGTCAGCATTGTGTCACCGACGACAAACACTCCCAGGTGACACCGTCGTTCCCTTTGTCTCGGTCTGTCCCACATAATCTCTCAACTTCTTTTACTTTTTCACACCATCACTTTCTCTGTAACCTGAGATGAATCTGCACATCATTTCCTGTACTTAAATTCTTATTGATCTTTTTTTTTTGATTAATCGATTCATTTCTAATTTAGTTTATAAACCTTAGATAGTCTAAATAATAATTTACAAAACACTATTGTACATCATAGAAAATGTGCAGCATGTAATGATTTATTGTAATGATAATTAGTGGATTATTTTTTTCAGTAAAATGTCACTAAAGTGTTTAAGAGTTATTATTCAAGTATTTTGAGATAAAACTGAAGACAGTCCTGCTGCTTTCTCACCTGTAACAAAATGGCCAAACATTTAGTCTGTCAGTTTTGCTTGATACCAAATCAAACGTCTTTTGAACTATTCTCAGTTAATTTTATATTTACTAATTACTTTGATCTCCTCGTTGTTTAGAGCTGATGCTTTTAACATTTGTCTCCATCTAAGCCAACAAACATTAAAGTAGCTTTATGCCTGACTTTTCTCTCTCTCTCTCTCTCTCTCTCTCTCTCTCTCTCTCTCTCTTTTTCCCTCAACTCTTTTTTTCTTTTTCTCTTCATCTCTTTATTCCGTTCTCTTTACTCTAGCTGCGTGTCCCACTTTCTCTCCTTTCTCCCCAGGCGATACGTTGCTCTACTGTAATCACAGCTGTACCCTCTTCCATCTGTTGTGCTAGTATGTGTCTTGGAACAATTTCAGGGATGTAGGGATCGTCAGTTTTTACACTTTTCAAAAGAGTTCTCAATTTAGAGAATAGACAGTACTGTCAAAGTGCCACTGTGCAAACCCCCTACTTCACCCAAGTACCAGGCTGATCAAATGCAGTAGGTTGAAGAAAGACTCTGACATTGATATAAATCGTTAGTGTTGCCATTGCAGCTGTACGTAATCATGTGATAGTGGATAATAAGCCTTGGTGTTTAAACAATATCACTAATTAGCACAATATAATGAAAGTCCAAATCATATGGATATAATATCTATGAGCACAGTGAGGAGGTTTAACACATAATTGAGTTATCTCTGTAGATGTTGGTCATTTTCAGTTCCTAAAGAAGATATAAACCACAACCTTCACTCAGGGGCACAAATCAGTCTTAACCCCCTTAAAATGGAAACTTGGAGGTTTGAAAAATAGTTTTCTATAAAACATTGCCAAAAATACACCATTGATCACAATCAGAATCAAACACACCTGCCTGCACTCTAAGTCATCCTTTAAGAATATGGTGACATGGTATAAGGGTTGTTATGGTGGACAAAACAGTTATCATCTTTCACTTGGTAGAGTGTAAATCTTCTGCAAATTGCAAAGCTACACCTTCTATGAACCGTTAATTGTCGCCTTGGAAAAGAGTAATTATGCAGGTTTGTAGGTGTTTTTGAGCAGAGCTGGAAATCCGAATGTCAGACATTAATTTAGTGGAAGAGTTAGATAAGGCTTAAAAATTGCATGCTGTTCGACAGAAAACCTGTATCTCCCCTGAATAGCAGTAAATGTATTTGTAAGTTTTTATCAGTCTCTCGCTGCTGCACCAGGATCAAGTGGGGTTTTGTTGTGCACTCTTCCCCTGCCGTGTGTTTTGTTGGATAATCTGCCAGAATATGTGGGGCCCCATCAAAGTCTGGTGGTACTTTGAGCACTGGAGAATTTTGTTTAGCCAGCCATGCCGAGTTGTGCACAAAAAGTGAAGTGTATGTGTGTGCAGACAGGAGAGTGTTTGGGCCACCATCTATAAAGTGTGTTTTTTCCCCTCACCCAGGCCCCTTTCAGCCAGGAGCTGAATTCCAGACAGGCAAACAAAAGGGTTTGGGTGGGGTGGGGGTGTGATGGGGGCCTTGGCACAGAAGCAGGGACCCTGAGAAAGACAAGATACAGAGCCGAACCAAAGAGAACAGACTGTGTGCGTGTGTGTGTGTGTGTGTGTGTCGGCCTAAGTGAATGATAACAGGCCGATAACCCCACAGCCTGACACGGTTTCTTCCCTGCCTTTGTGTGCACGTGTAATGACATTATCTGCATTGCTATTGTCACTGTGGGTGTCTGTGCATAATAATATTGTTGCCGCTCTTCGCATTGTTGTGATTGTGCCTGAATGTATAGAGAATAATTAGAGTATGAAGGGACAAGAGGGTGGACAGACTGAGACCAGAAGGTGTTCCCACAACAACAATAATAGAACAGTAGAAGAGAGGAGAGACGTTCAATGCCCTGCGCTTTGGTCTGCCGTAATCCCTACCTTACGGTTCCTTGTTTGGCCAGCATCTATTAAACTATATATAATTCTCCTTATTTAATCTAGCTGAGTCAGGCTTCTAATTGTCTAGGTCAAACTGCCAGCAGAACGAGAACAGAATTAAACTACAGCTACTCCTCATTAACGATTCAGCCCCTCCCGTTGACAGGCCTGGGAGCTCCAATTACCGCTGTACTTATGGGTATGGAGGCGCTGGAAGATGGTGTTCATATTATGGTCTGTTTATTGGTATAACGTAGAAGGGCAGTGCTCCCAGCAACAGGCAACAAAAGGAGGAGTGGGGTCAAAAGTCTATTCAAATGTTCCCCAGCGACAAGAGCAGAGGCAACGCCGTGAGTAATGTTGCTCATTAGAGTCTCTCAGAACCGTTGACAGGACACTGACAGTTTGTTTGCCTTTAACTCTGTCAGACAGAAGCATCAGCATGTGTTGACATGGTTCATACCTCAGAATGTTGGATTTTTTTCAGGTCTTTGCTCAAATACGCT